GGGGGGGGAGGAGGAGGGAGAGAGAGAGAGCGAGAGAGATGACGGACGCGTGTGAGTGTGCGAGAGAGGGAGGAGAGAGAGGCGGCCTGCCTTGATGTTCATTTGGTGCATGTTTTTCACTCTCTGCCTGCCTGCCGTGTGTGTGAGCATACCTGTACACCTGGCTGCGTGAACGAAGGCATACCGTGCTGCGTGTGCGTGAGAGAAAGAGAGCTGTGCTGCGCTGCATGCACTGCAGCCAGTCACCACCCCAGCCACGACACCCACACACACGTCTGGCGGGCGCATTCTTTTTAGCGAACGTCACTTTTCTCACCCAACCCCATGGGATGAGAGGGCAACAAAACAAAGGTGTATGTATTTTTTGGCCCATGTCCCCCAACAACAACAACATTAACACAAACACGGCCTGGCCATGTGGTCTGCATGTCTGTCCGTGTGGTGTGCATGATGTGATGATGTTGATACGCGCGAGCGCCCCCGATAACTGACCGGCTGGTCGGGGCGCTGGCTCACTGCTGGCTGACGGTAGGTAGCAAGGAAGGACCCTAAGCTGAGAATTAATTTAGAGATTAGTTAGAGGCCTTCTTGATGTGTGTGTATGTGCGTGTGCGTGTGCGTGTGTGCATGTGTGCATGTGTGCATGTGTGTGTAGTGGCTGGTGTCCATCCACTGAGGCAGCTTCTCACACAGCTGGGTGGACAGCAGAAAGGAAGACAGAGAGAGACAGGGAGGGCGCGAGAGGAATGTCAATTCATGATAATGCATACAGCTGGATTTTTCGCTGTGTCTGTGTGTGTGTGTGTGTGTCTGTCTGTGCGATGATGGACGGATGGATGGACGGATGGATGGATGGATTTGTCCACAGGCAACGGACAAACGGACGGACGCGCGAAGGACCGACGCCACGCCTTTTTCCACGTATTCTTGTTCTTCATCATGTATGTCTATATGATCTTTGCTGTCTGCATGATATGATCCATGTGCCTCTGGCTGCTGTTGCTGCTGCTGCTGCTGTCTAAATGCTCGACAAAGAGAGAGACAGAGAAATGAGATTGGCTGCCTGTGGGGGGGGGGTGGATGGATGGATGGATGGATGTGTATATGGCTGTCTACATGGCGTGCAAGCTTGGCTACCCAGCCCAACAGTCTTGGGCACTCAAAAAGGGAACGAACGGATGGATGCGCTCAGCAAGGAAGAAAAAGATCAGACGAGGGAGGGAGTGCCGTAGGGGAGAGAGAGCGTGTGCTTCCACACAGCAGTTTCTTGCTCTGCACAGGGTGATCGACCGGAATCAACCGACTGACTCGCTCGACAAACAAACCAAACCAACAGACGCTGGCTGGTTGGGTGTCTGCCTGCCTGCATCTTCTCAATGACAGACACACCCGGTCGGCGTGGATGGATGGATGCTCTCTTTACATGGCTGGCTGGCTAGTCTTGCTCGCCTCCTTCCTTCCACCCTAGCTACCTACGTAGCGTCGGTCGCTCTTTTTTCCCACATCCTCTCTCCCCCTCCCTCCCAACCCGATGGATGAGTGGGTGGGTCATCGGGGGGTGGGGTGAGCTTCGCATGATGGATGATGGCATTTTTGACCGGGGGGATGGGATGGGATGGGTGGATGCAGTGTGATGTGATGGACGCAGAGAGCCTGTAGGATCGGAGAGAGGAAGGAAAGAATGCAGAAAGCGAAGCGTGTGATGAGTGAATTGACAGAGGATTATGGCAAAAAGACGCATGAATTGACAGAGGATTATGGCAAAAAGACGATCGATCAAGCTACGGTCAAACTAGACGTTCTGAAATACTCATCTCTGTGTCTGTCTCATCAGCTGATGAATGGAGGCATTGTCGCCTCCCTCGGCACACCGACAGCATCACCCGCACCCCCTCTTTATAAACAGCACGAACCGACACAACAGGCAAAAAGCGCTAAACAACACACACACAGAGACACCATCGGAGTACACTACCCCGACCCACTCCCACGGCACCCTACTAATCGCTCACCGTACCAGACACCCGCACAATAAAAAGGCCCACAGGAATGAGGGTGCCATTGACACAACAAGGCACCAGCAATGAGTGCGATAAATCCGTCCATCCATGCGATCAGAAGCCAGCCAAGGAAAAAGAGGAGTCTACAGCCACCCCACCCCAGCAGCCAGTCAGCTGCTGTGCACCCTCCCTCCCCTCCTCCCCCTCACCAGACCTGGCACTCCTCCCCTCTTGCCTGTCGATTGACCACCGAGTCCGCCGGGCAGTCGAAGGCATCAGAAAACTCCACCAGGTTGGACACCGGACCCAGCGAGCGGAAGCGACCTGGCGAGTGCACGGCAGTGCCCAGCCGACTGATGACACACGCACAATACAACACACACCATCACAACACCTGCCAGCGGCCAGGTAGGTGCTCACCTTTTGGCGACCTTCGGTCGGACGATTTCGCACCAGTTCTGTCCCCAGGCCACCCAGAAGAGCTGCTCGACTGTGAGGTCTGACCCGTCGAGTGGGCGTGTTTGCAGGTCCTCCTCTGAGAGCGTCTTCCGGAGGGCCCTGCGGGCCAGCTTGACGCCGCCTGCAGAGGAAAAGGGAGGGACAGACGCGAGCTATGCACCAAATGAATGCAATCACGGCATGGCAGGTTGACGCACCCACCCAGGTCAGCAACATTCTCGCCCAAGGTGAGCCGGCCGTTCATTTTGATGTCCTCCGTCTCCCCTGGGAGGTCTTCGGGGGTGAGGACGACGTATTCCGAGAACTGGTCGGCCACACACGTGGTGGCGGCCTCGAACTTGGTCTTGCTCTGGTCGCTCCACCAGTTGCGCAGCTTGGCGTCTGCGTCGTACTGCGCCCCTTGGTCGTCGAACCCATGTGTCAGCTGCAAGGCGCACACACACACACAGGGAAGCGAGCACATTCATGCCGGGATGGATGGATGGATGGATGGATGTGCGCGCTTGACCTCGTGGCCCATCACACCGCCAAGGCCGCCATAGTTCAATGCCTGCGACACACAAACAGAGATGCTCATCATATGCACACCCACACCCACACACATGCACAGCAGACCTTACCTTCTTTGCGAGGACTTCGTTCCGTGGGTCGTCTGGGTTGAACGAGTGGAAGTTTGGCTTCTGGAGGATGCCGGCCAGGAAGACCATTTCGTTGTAGTAGGGGCTGTAATAGGCATTTTGCTCGATGGGCGTGACGTCCCACACCTCACGGTCGACAGCACGGCCGTAGAACGATGCCAAGTAGTTGAGCTGGCCGACAGACAACACGCACACGCAGACACACATGCCGTCCGTCGACACAGAAGTGCGTGTGTGCGTGCGTGTTGGGTGGACGGCTGACCCCTCTTCTGGCGAGGTAGAAGGAGGCGTTGAAGAGCTGTCCGTCGAGCTCCCTGGCGGCGTCCTCGGGGCCGTACAGCTTGGTGAGCTTTGTCTTGTAGTCGTCGGACAGCACCCACTCGGGATACGCAATCTTGTCCGTCATCTTCTCTAACTTCTCGTACGCCACAGACCTACATGAACACACACACAGACGAACGGCCTGTCATTCGCTCTCTCTCTGTCTCTCTCTCTGTTGCTGTTGTTGTGTTGGCTCCCTGACTTGGTGGTGTCGCTCATCCAGGTGCTCTCATCCAGTGTGTCGTTGAAGGCGGCCTTGATGTTTGCGAGCATCTCCTCCGCCACAGCCTTGGCCTGTGGGTCGAAGTCAGTCAATATGGTCCGCGTCACCACCTGAGTGAACCACCCACGCAACAGACAGACAGATAGCAATTGCATGCGCGGCTCCCTGGCTGGCTAGCCTCTCCGCCCACCCACGCACGCACTCTCTCTCTCTCTCTCTCTCACCCAGTCCATGACAGCTCTCGATCCCGACTGACATTCGTCCCACCGCTGCTTGGGCTCCACGCCGTACACGTCACGACGAAAGGTGTACCATAGGTCAGCCCACTCACGCGTCAGGTAAGCACCCGCTCTGCACGCAAAGAGAGAGAGGACATCATTTGACGGCCTTCTTCGTCTGTGTGCGAGCGTGTTGTGTTGGTGTCTTGGTCTTACGCGTTGAAGAGCTGTGACTGGAAGTAGGAAAGCAGCGCTTTGTCATCCCATTTCTCGGTGAGCAGCGTGTTCAGCTTGCGGAAGTAGTCCCGGTTGTGGATGACGATCTCGGTGTCATTCGTTATGGGGATCCCGTTCAGGTCGATCTCAGACTCTACACACAGCACGTGACACATCCATCCATCCAGCGGCCAATCAACATGCCCGTCTCGCCTCTTATTCATGCGTACCATAGACCTCAAAGAACCGGTCCCAGTCAAAATTCGGTGCCAGCTGCTTCATCTCTCCCAGGGTGACCGGCAGGGTGGTCTTGACCACATCGCGCTGCTCCTCCGGGCTCAGGAAGATGCCCTGCAGGTCCTTCTCGATGGCCAAAGACGCCTCGGCGCTCTCTGCAGGCGAGAGGCGGCCGGATGAGACGCCCCGCAGCGATGGTGAGGGTAGGGCGTCCTGGAACAGCTGCTGCGCGCCATTGAGGAAGGCCACGTAAGCTTCGGTGGTCTTGTTCTCGTTGTACTGTGTTTGAACCAACAGACGAAGAGCACGAACAGACGCATCATCATTCTGGTGCGTTTCCTTATCTGCCTTTCTCCCCTGTCCTGCGCACCTGAGTGTAGTCGAGGTTCAAGCCGCTCTGCAGGAGAGAAAAGGGGCGAGCAGTGTTTGTGTGTGTCCGGCCGGGATGGATGGAGGGGGAGTTGTCTGTCTGTCTCGTTAATTCACCTGGTACAGCTGTATGACTGTGGTGTTCTCCGGCGTGATCGGATTCTGCTCAAAACTCAGACTGAGGAGCGACCGGATGCCGTTGGCCTGCAACTTGCCCAGCATCTCAGCAGCCACTGAGCCCCGCTCTAATGTAACAGAAACGCACAGAAAGACAGACAACCATACACCCCATCGATAGGCACTTCGTGAGCAGACGGGGTCGGTGGGTACGGGTCGGTCACGTACGTACCTTTGGGCGTCATGTCGTCCCACCCCTCGATGGACGGCTGCAGCACGAAGGGCAGCGAATCCTGCAGAAAGTCGATCATCGGCTTGGTCCCCAGCTCGTCCTGCCGGTCACGATTCATGCACGCCTGCCCAGCCAAACATGCCACACCACACCCATCGTCTCATCTATGTGTGTGTGTGTGTGTGTGTGTGTGTGACTTGGAAGTAGCAGAAGAGGAGTGCCTCCCATCCGTCCTTTGGGGCTCTGGTGCGGTTCTCCTGGTCGGGCAGCGCCTCACAGATGCCGCTCTCCAACACTTCGAGAATCATGTACCTGTAAGGTGCAACACACACACACACACAGGCACAGGCAGGCACGTCAGATCGGCAGATCGGCAGATCTGGTTGCTCGCGCCACTTGACTCATTCACCATTCACCTCGTGTCGTTGTAGAGGTTATCGAACGACTTGGTCCAGCTGCCCTCTTCTGCGGGCAGCTCAAAGCTCTCCTTCCACGAACCACACGCAAAGGAGTCAGGGTCCTGAAGTGACGCAGCACTCACACAGAGAACGGCGCCCTCTGTGCCCGCCCGTTCGCGATCCTCATCCATCTCTTCTCACGTAGCATGGGTCTGCAGAGAGGTCCATAGAGCTGAGGACGCCCTCTGTGAGGGGTGACAGCGGGGAGCCATTGACCTCTTCTGCCTCGCCATTGGTCGGGGGATCTCCTGACGTGACCTGCTAACCTCACACCACACACGGAAGCAGGCACACACCACACACATCCACCGATGGATGGATGAATGCACACAGGCCGGCCGGCATCATGTTTCCGGGGATCTCTTCACCTGTGAGATTCCACGCTGCAAGATGACGCCGGCAAGCAAACACAAAAAGAGCTCACGAACAGCCATGTGTGTCAGGGGGAAGAACTTGAAGGCAGAGAACTTGAAGACCCTCGAGATTCTGTCTGATGCAAGGCAGCATGTATGCAAGACACACAAGACAGCTCTCCTTGTCCAGCCAGTCTCAGATCTTCCGCCTGGGGAAGGGGTTTCTCCCTCTGGGCTAGGGCTGAGGGCGCACAACAGTTTTCAAACAGCGTACCAGTCTAGTCTGGCGCCCTGGCGCCCCTTGTGTTTTAGCGGAAAGGTGAGATCGGTGAAGGCTCCGAATGCCCAGGCACGAGCTCTTGTTCCTTCTGATCCAGCAGCCGTTAGGGTCGAGGATGCGGCGTCCGATGCGCTGAGAATAGTGGGTAAGTGGCGGACACGCCGGCTCCTCAACGAGTATCGCAAGGACTGCCTGCTGTAGTGAAACCAGCACCTGTCGCCTCTGTCCGGGAAGGAAGCATTTACAGCGGAAGGAGAAGGGCAGGACGGCATTTTTCCTCGGCTGGGTGGCTGACGGGTGATGGGGCTGCGGTTTCTGTGGGGCTGTGTTGGTGTTTTGTCATTGTACGTCACTCGTGTGGCGGGCCTTACATTTGACGTGTCGAGGCTGAACGTCACGAAAGACCCCGAAACATGGGGCGTAGAGAGAGGTTCGTTCAAACACAACACACCACACCACGAGCGCAAAACACCTCTCCTGTGTGTCTGCCCTGCCTGTGTGTTTGTGTTTGTCGATCGCTCGTTCATTCAGAGTATGTATGCGCCGACTGGTGGCTTGATCATCAGTTTGATGACAGCCATGACCTCACTGTGAGGCCCTACACCAACCTCCCCACGGCCAAGGCTTGTCAGGAGGCCTGCAAGCTCGTCAAGGAATGCAAGTACTTCACGTGGCGACCACCAGACGTGCCGGAGGTTTTCGATGCGCCATCGGGCAACTGCATGCTCAAGGGTGGCCGCACGAGCGGGTACAAGGTGTCCAGGGGGGCCGTGAGCGGCGATGAGTCATGTGGGGATCTCATGGATATCACCGACGTAAGGGGCGACGGCATGCGGCTCTTCAATAAGACTCATAAGGAAGGTAAAACGGACCATCTCGTACAAACAGGGAGGGACACGCTCATATCATTCTGTGTGTCGATGGCTGCTGCAGGTCTGACCAAGTCGATATCTGGGTTTCTGTACGTCCCCCTGGACAAGTCAGGCCGCGTGACGGCCGGCCAGTCGCCCTCTGCCAGCTTCGTGGAGCTGCCCAGGTCCCACCACATGATCGTCGACCCCAACACCACCGCCCACTTCACTCTCGCAGCCATGCTCACCAACAGCACCGACGCAGCCGTGCCCCCAAGGTCCGGCGTCGTCCGCTACACGCTTCTGGACATCACCACCGACACCAAGAAGGTGCTTGTTGTCGACACCCTTTACCCCTGGACATTCACCGACGGCGTCGCCGAGGCGCCCGCCAGGCAAGAGGACTTCGAGGCCTGTCAGAACAAGAGCCTGGCCATGGGGGGCAAGCACGAGCAGTACGCCGACTACCGCTGCCGGACCTACGCGAGCGCCCTCCGCGATCTCGACCAGAAGTGGGCGCGCATCGGTCTGGCGTGGGGCGACACCATTGTGCGCGAGAGGCGGCTAGCTCTTCGGGCTGAGTACATTCCCAAGGGTTCTGAGGGCGCCACGGGGCCCCCTGCGTTGGTCTATTTTGACTTGAGGGAGGGGAGTATGGTGCAGCCATATGAGGAGCTGGGGGCGGACTCGGAGGAGGGCATGTGCCCCGTGGCTTTCCCTGACTGGCTCAGGCGGCAGTGTGCGGGGGCGTCGGGCACCAAGAGTGACTGCCACGTGAGCTGAGCAAGTGGAGTTGAAACATGCTCATGAGGAGAGTCCACCTTTGTGGGTGTTGCTGTCTTGTGCTGTGTAGGCCACGTGTTGCTTTGGCGAGAGGGAGCCCGAGCGTGGCCACAGGGACGAATTCGACGCATCACTCAACTGCTACTATCCAGGTGGGTGTCCCTTACACACGAACACACACGCACACACACACTTCCCCCATCCCCGTTAACCCTCTTTGTGTCGTCTCAGTCTGCAGCGCCATGCAGCGACGCATGAATCGGTGTCCAAACTGGGTGGAAAAGCGGGGTTTCCACGACAAGCCCCTCGAGCTGAGATGCCCCCCAGTGGCCTCCAACACCAGCAGCAGCAACACCACCGCCTCCAAGACATCGGCCGTGACGTCTGTGCGGGTCAACACGCGCGGCACGACGCTTGAGCTGTCGGGCGAGGGGCGGGCGCGATCGCTGCAGCGTGGCCAGCAAGGGGATGACAGGCGGCCGCTCGTGGGCTACACCACCAGGGCGTGCGGGGCCGAACTCAGCTTCTTCCACCGAAGTCAGTGAGAAAGACACATAGCGACGTTACACATGACAAAAGGGATGGATGAGAGGTGTCTTCTTCTCTGTTTATGCGTGTGTGTCGATGGATGGATGGATGGAGCAGAGACAAGCCAGGCATACATAAGGGTAGAGGTGCCGGGCGAGGAGGGTCACTTGCGTGAGATCGCTATGACGGCGACGCCCACGGACGCCACGCTCGACACGATGCTCGGCCTGGCGCCCTCTTGCTGCGGCGACGAGGGCTGCTTCGCATTCGCACACGCACGTACGCCAATCGCCATGCACACACACACACACACACATACAGAGAGAGAGAGAGAGAGAGGAATGAGGACAAAGGCTCCATTTTGCTGCCTGTCTGTGCGTGTGTGTGTCAGGTACTGTGTACGAGGGTGACTTGGTGTCTCCGCGTGTGGTGACGATTCGCACGAGCGTGCTGCCGGGGACGTACTTTGCCGTCCTGGGCAGCTGGGACGAGACGGCAGGCATCGCCGACCTCTCACTGTCATGTAGCCCATGATGACTTGATGGGGATGTGTTGATCATGTGTATGTAATTAAACAATGGAAAGACGGACGGACGGAGTGAGGGACAGACGGACGGAGGGAGGAAGTCAGGCCAGGAGGAGGGAGTAGGAGGAATATTTATGTATTTGATGTCTGTGCATAGCATAGTTGGTGCGGTCCCTGCCCGTGTAGGCGGGATCACCTGGTGGGGCAGGGGGAGGGATTCGCAACGTGCATCATGTGCCGGTTTTGTGTACGGCCCGGACAGATGGACGGTGATCCGAGCGAGCGACGGATCCTGGGTGTCGTTTTCTGCACATGCTTGCCCCCCTAGCTGCCTGCCTCCCTCTCCTGCACACAGACAGACAGACAGACAGCCAGTCGGATGGACAGTCAGACGGGCAGGAAGGAAATCGGCAAGTGTTTGTATGTATGTATTCTCTATCGATCGATCGTGCATATGTACACGTCCACGTGTACGTACGATAGATGTAAGTACGTTTTCCCGCATTGCGTACTTCCATTCTTCTATCCACACAATGATGCGTATCTGAGAACCCCCTCTGCCATTCTCCCCCCCCCCCTCCCGCCTTTCATCTCCCTTCTCCCTTCTCCTCCGTCTCTGTCTCTCTCTGTCGATGCAGTGCGGGGCAGGCGCATCCTATCTATCGTGGGGGGTGGGGTGCCGTGAAAAATGCACGGGAATCGCTGCTGGATGGCTAACTCACTCACTCGCACAGACACACATACAGGGGATGAATGAATGGATGGATGGATGGAAGGTGTGTGTGTGTGAGTTTGTGTGAGTGTGTGTACGAGTGTCAGTGATGGACAGATAGCATTCAGTGGCGTTGCAATGGCTCATGTGTGACGTGATGTGACGTTTTCACTGGCGCTCACTAGCTGTGGTTGATTGATATGTCCACTCACTCACATCGCAAAAAGTCCGCCGATCCTTGACGTACAAACACCAGACACCACCTGTTGTGAGGGAGAAAAAACCTTCTCTCACGCTCTCCTTCCGTCCGTCCCTTCGATTGCACACGTCCACGCCGCTCACACAAAGGCACACGCACAGGCACCACACGCACCAACACACAGCACCGATCGATAAATACGTCAGTCAACACATCAACGTGCACAGAGCCGCCCCCCCACCCAGCAACGCCAAAAACAAAAAACCTGCCTCAGCCCCTCCACACCCACACACAGATTGGCTACGACCCCTGCTCTCTGCCCCAGACATAGCCGAACGCCGTGGAAGCATACCGGAACACATCCACCTGGGCAAACAGCGACGCATCATCGGCGGCCGCCAGGTCCGCCTGCTTGGCCGCTGCGCCATGCGGGTGCGCGTGTGCCCTCCCGTCGATGCTGCCGCTGCTGCCATGGCCGTGGTCGGTGGCCACGTAGGCCTCCACTCGCTTCGCGAGAGCTGTGCCGATATCCTCATCACTGCACTCACACGCGCACACACGCGCACAGGGAGGTGCCGAAGAGCGTTGCATCCGACACAAATTGCTGCATTTCGTCTGACCTTTCGTCATCCAATGGCTGCCTGCCTCGGCTGGCCGAGTGGTTGTGGCCATGTGCTGGTGGGTTGGCGGGCTCCTCTGGTACGTGGAACCAGCGGTAGAGGCCGTATACGATGGTGACTGAGGCTACCATGGACGCCACCACCCGGGCGACGCCGTGAAGCAGACCCTGAAGCATAGCATACAAGCCTTGTTTCGTGTGGCACATGCACTTGTGAAGGCGGTGTGTATACCCACCTGGACGAGTGGCGTGAGGACGAAGAGCAACACACGGATGATGGCCAGAGGGCTGCACACACAACACAACACATCACGACACGACAGTTGGTCCCTCTCGTCCATCAATCGCCTCTCTCCTCCTTTGTCTCCCTCCGTTCTCACATCATGATGGCGTATCTAATGAACACAAATATGGGCCTCTGCGGCATCCACTCCTCGCCATCGAAGCGAGCCATCGCGGCCTCCCTGCACCACCCAGCACACACACACGCAAGCTCTGCGTGGGTTGGATAGGTCGCTTTGTCGTGTGTGGCTTACAGGTCTGGAACGCGATGGGGAAACTCGGTGGCGATGATGGCCGACAGGGCATTCATTCGCCGCGCATGGTCCCTCTGAGCCATCCAGTTCTACAAGCAGCACACAGACAGACAGGCGCCTGTCTGTCGTCAATCTCTGTGCACCCACCTATCCCGCCCGCCAGGCTCACCTGCGTCACGATGCCAACAAAAGCGAATACCACTATGGCAATCGTCATGGCCCACAGACACTCCCTGACCGTCACGCCGCCGTGGCAATGGCCGTGCCCCTTGCCCCACTCCACCACAGCAGTGCCGGGGCCGGCCGTGGGGCTGTTGGGGTCGTGCACCTTCGTCCAGTCGTCATCCTGGTGGTCGGTGCTGCTGTTCATTAAAAGCCGTGGGCGCGCTGCTGCCGCTGCTGCTGCTGCTTGTGGTGAGGCGTCTGTGGGCATGCTTCGGCTCGACCTGGCACGCAGGCGGTCAAGCAGAGCTGTGGATACACAACACAACACAACATCAACGCATGTTGTGTGAACGCGGATGTCTGTTTTGCGTGTCGTTTGTCGTCTCACCATCGGCGTGTCGGAGCGCTGCCACAGTGCCAGAGGGGACCACCTCCAGCCCTCCCACAGCATCACGGTGGCCATCACCACTGCCTCCATCCTGTCCCTCCTGCTCCTGTTGCTCGTCCCGCTGTTGCTGCTGCGGTTCGTCGTCATCGTCCTGTTCATCCGACTCGGCCTCCCAAAACGACGTCTGCTTAGATGGCTGTCCCTGCGCCGACACGTACCCCTCCGAGTCGCCCACCTCGCTCCCACGCACCACGTTCTTGCCTTGCTGCTGCTTCTTGGCCCTGACAGGCGGCAGAGGCGCCCGTCCGATGACCTTGTGCGGCGGGATGCGGCATACCACCTTGCCACGTCGGCCTTCGTCGTAATGCAGGTTGCCGCTGTGCGTGGCGGGAGGGTGCTGGTGACGGGGAGAGCGACGCAGGGGAGGGGGGGACGGACGCTGGGGGCTCTCAGCCATCGAAAATCCCTATGCTCCTCAAGCGCAAGCTTGCCTCGGCAGAAAGGTTACACGACATTTTTAGGGCGACGGACGCCGCTGTTGGGCATCGCAGTATCCCCGCATCCATCTATACCACCATGTCGGTGGAGCAGTGCGAGCAGCTGCACAAGGACTACACGGCCTGCCTCAGCAAGAGCGGACGAGATCCATCCAAGTGCCGGGAGCTGGAGACGAAGGTCCGCACCTGCAGCAGAACGTGAGCAGAGAAACAACGGCTGTTGAACAAACCAGCTTTGCCCACCCTTGACTGCCTGTGTTGTCTGTCTGTCTGTCTGTCTGGTGCAGTTTGGGTTTGAATTTCTGCATCGATGAGGGTCTGAATCTGCTGTTCTGCGCCGCCCGTCCCGGCCCCGATGTGTGTGCCAAGGAGTTCATCCTTATGCGCGAGTGCAACAGACCTGGCGGGCCTGAGATCCTCCTTCAGGTACCTGCCACACACACATGTGGTGCAGGAGGGCAGCCAGGAGAGTCTGATGGTACTGTGTGTGTTGCTCTGTCTGTCTGTCAGGGTGACTCGATGGTTGTGTCGAAGGACAAGCAGCCCTACTACGTGTCGAGTGATCTGGGCAGCATTTCGCCGCCGCCCCGGCTGAACGTCAAGGGCATGCAGGACAAGTGCGACGAGATACGGCAGTCCATCGGCCTCCCGAAAGAGGCTGAGGCTTTCAGGCCAAAGCTGCGGTGATACTGAGCGATTTCCTACTCAATGAATGAATGATGCAATGGTGCATCATGTGTGTTGGCGAATGGCATGGCTTTTTGGAAGAGGGCGTGCATCGGTGTGTCGTTGTCACGGGAGTCCATCACTTGGTCGTCTCGTGGATGTCGAGTTTGTGTTGCTGACCATCGGGTTTGGCCTGCAGCCCTGTCTCGGGATGCCAGCAGAAGGTCAAGTAGTGGACCGACCGATGGACGAATTGAGTCAGGAGCCTGTGCGTGCATCTGTATTGGTTAAACAGTTGACCTTATCAACGAATGGATACACGGGTGGATGAAGAAGGGATAAAACATCCGTCAGTCAGTCAGTCAGTCAGCACTAGGGTGGGTAAATAAAGGACACACTACGCCTGCAGACATCTAAGCATTCACACACTCGATGATTGACGGACGCTCGGCACCACCACAACACCTTTGGCAAAACAGGCACCTGCGTATGGCACTCAGGGAGGCATCCACGCAACGCGACAAAGACACTGACTGAAAACCACACCCGTCTTATTGTGTCCGCAGGAGCACTACACGGCATGGCCATCATCGATGGATGATAATGAAAAAAGACAGTTAAACTCTTCCTTGGCAAACAAACAAATGACGCCAAGCAAAATCACGTCTGCTGTCTGTCTGTCTGTGTGTCACGGCAAGACGGCGTGTGAGGACTGCCTGGTGGAGGTCTCGTCCTCCCCGCCCCGCCTGTCCTTGACGGTGGCCATCCCCACCCCATGCGGCCCAGCGTGGGCCACAGGCCCGTAGCTGCCCATGACGCTCGACGGCCACATGCTGCCCGAGGTGGCTGAGTAGAGGGGCTGCACTGACGCAGACGGCATCACGTTCCCGTACATCCCATGCTCCTGACAGACAACCATAGGCAGACGAAATAAGGCGAGTCATGTGGTCTGGCTTCCACTCGTTCTCACCATTTCAACGTCTTCAGGGTCCTTTGCAAGATGTCGATTGACCACGGGCTCGATGGTGAAGGACCAGGCGACAGTGAGGATAATCGACAGCAGCACACTGACGGTGTACGCCAGCAGAAGGGGCGTCGCGAGGGTGAGAAACACGGGAAGGGGAAGGAAGTTGGTCACAAGGACTGATTGACCCACCCACCCACCCACACACACCAGTTCTCATCCATCCATCGAGGAATGTCGTTCCCTCGTGTCGCATATGCGCACCTATGACGCCGCAAGCCGTCCATGAGTAGAAGAGCGTCCATGCCAGGCACGTGCTGCCGCCTTCAGGGTGGTACAGGTCCAGCAGCAGAAACGACACCCCGTAAAGCAGCGACTGGAAACCGATCAGGCACTTGTAGGCGATGACGCTGGCAGGGTCAACACAAATAAACGAGGGAAGGAAGGAGGCATCCATCCATCCATCCACACACACAGCTAGGTGTGCTCGTCAGCGCTGTGTGTGCGCACCCGAAGGTGAAGAAGCCTCCCTGCAGAAAATGCGCGATGACCTCGTCCGGTGCTTTCAGATAATTGATCACACTCGTCCTGTCAAAAGAAACACACACACACACACGCACGCACACACCATGAAGCCAGCCAGCGGGACGGAGGCAGGTGAACACACATACCTACCATACTGCTAGGTTGATGAGGGTCCAGATGAAGTCCAACGTGGCGCCGGTATAGAGGAAATTGCCGCCGTACCGAAACAGCCGGTGCTGCGATGAGTACCACACGTCAGAAGTGATCTTCACCTGCGCGCACACACCAGACCCCACACAAACAGATGCCATGCTCCATGTCCTGTGACTTATTGATTGCCTACAGCAAAGCCGAGGATGAAGAGCGCCCCGAGCGCCCACATCAGCGCCGCAACATTGGATGCCATTCCGATGCTGCGCACCGCAGCAACGGCGAGTTTGATCTTCTCCTCGTAGGCCTTCTTGTCGACGGGCATGCCCCGCATGTCGGGCTGCTCGTGAAAGGCCTGGAAAATGGCGATGCCGCTGCTCGTCATGAAGAGAAAGTTGGCCATGAAGCAGGCGCTGAGCTCGAGAAGGGCCCCGATGCGCAGGGTGTGCGCTGACAGCATGTCGATGAGGGCTATCATCACGCAAATCTGGCCAACACACAATCCAAAGGCTGCTTTGCTTGCTGGCTGCTTAGTGGTGGACACATATGTGTGTGGTCATTTGGTTGGCTTACGAAGGTGAGTCAGTCTTGCGCGCGTGTTGAAGGCTGAGTCTTCTGTGACTGCGCCGCTGCACTACAGACGAAAGGCAGATACTGCTGTGCAAAGAAAGCTCAAAAATTGCGAGCTGGAAACACCTGCGAGCTTCAAGTTGTGAAGGGGCAGAGTTTCTGTGATGAATGTGATGAATGGCGACTCAGGAGGCGACTCAGCAGCTTCTCTTCTCCCCCCGCAACATTCAAGGGCGAGAAGAAGGCATACCGACGATGACAGGGCAATGGTACGCTCATGAGGCCTGGCATGTGCATCAGTCCACAGGTTTGCATGTCCTTGTGACGTTTGTGTGCAGGACTCCTCTCATCTTTTGCCTCCATCTTCACCGTCAGCCGGCCCTCGCTTGGCCCATGTGCAGGCCACCTCGACCACGGCCGGCGCTCCCCCGGCGAACGTCGGGGAGCAGAAGACGAGGGCAGCAAAAAGGCTTATCAAACGGATGAAAATGGTATGTAACACACGACATGAACCACTGCAGTGGGGCCCCACTTGCCTAAATATTATGTTCTCTCTGTGAACACAGGACATTCATCAGCTGGGTGTGTCATTGGGAGCGATTCCGAGGCCTCATGCGCTGCCGCCCCCCTGCCCGCCGCCGTGTCCGCCCTCGCCGGTCCCATCCATGACAGCACCCTCTCCCCCGTCGTCCCTACCGTTCCCGTTCGATGACGACGACGCATCGGAACAGGCGGAGCTACCAGCACCACAACCACCAGCACCTCCACTGCTGATTGGCGGCGCTGAGGGCTCCGAGAATGTCGCGCTGTTACGGGCTGAGAGGGCCGCTGAGAGGTTCAGAGCCGCGAGTTCTGCGTCGTTCGAGAGTATGGGTGGCGGCCACGCTACTCAGATGCTGGATCTCGAGGTCGGCGTGGGCGTGACGGAGGGAGAGCAGGAGGCGGCGGGAGACGGTGGAGGGGTGCGGCGGGGCAGTGTGGGCGTGCAAACTGATGAGGACAGACCACAAAGCGATAGTGCGACTGACAGGTCGGCTCTCGTGATTGATTGTTTCATCGTGCCGGCATGTATGGTCTTGGATTTGCTGTTGCGTCTTCAGGCGGCTTTCGCGAGGGAGAGCCTCCACAGTGGAGGAGCTGCGAGGCCTTCTCATCAGGGTTAGGAGATCAAAATTGGATCATCCTTCAGGTGCTTGCTGTACATGTGCGGCCGTGTGACACACAGGTCAATCAGTGCCTGTCGCGGGGGCTGCCATGCCGTGGTGCCGATGATCTGACAGATCTGGTCAAGCGCCTTCATCGCACCACGTCCACCATCCTAGACACAGCCCCCTCTCCCCTATCGCCCTACACAACCGCCCTCACCCCCTCTCTGAGCTACCGGATGGAGCCGCAGCAGTCGCCACAACACTCACGTAAGACCGACCAGACGCACACAAGAGAGGCCTTAGCAGACTTTTCGTGTGTGTGCAGTCGTCCCGTTGGGTCGGTGGCTGGAGCGTGGGCGGGGCGCGAGGGAGGCCAGGCAGGTGGAGGAAGACGACATAGAGAGCCGGTCGGAGATCTCCATCGACTTCCTCGCAAACGACGATGCCAAGTCAGCACAAGAGAGACGTACACACATACAGCCAGACGAGCGCATATCCTTCTTGTTCCTTCAGGGGCCTGCGGTCGCGCATTCACTCTTCCCCAGAGCGGCCCTCCTCGTCCCACTCGTATGTGCCGGTGGCCCCGCCCAGCAGCTCTTTGGTCCGGGGCGGCTCCTTCGCTTCAGCAATGAGCGGCCCATCGGAATTGTCCGAGTCCCGCCGCAAGTGGGTAATGGGCGGTGTGAGCGGGGTGTGGTCGTGGGTGCGGACCAACATGCAATGCGCTAGACGGTACAGGGGCAATGCGATGGAGAGGGGAGAGAGCGCCGAGGGCAAGCCTTAGTTTGGGGTCGGCCGGTCGGTCGATGGGAGAGAGAGTCGTTTATTGCTTATTTGTCTTGCTTCCTTTCCTTCTGCTTGCTTCATTCTCCATCCATCATTGCTGTCTGGTTGGGGATTGCTTGTGCATAGCCAGATGCATGTGTGTCGTGCGTGTCAGTGTGATGTTAACCAGATGGGTATGCACGTCGGCACGTGTCTCTGTCTGTCTGTGTACAGTACAGTGAGTAGTCAGCCATGTTGACCATGTGGTGTACAGTGCATTCATTCCTCCGTCTTGCAGTCAGTATTGTCGAGCGATGTACGACCAAAAAGGATGCAGCCAACGACAGACAAAGAAGGGCCATTCACCCCAACTCCCAATCACTCCATGCACCCACGACACACTTCCGCACTTCCGCGCCATCCTGTGTCCACCCTTCAGCACCTTGCGCAACATGCAGGATCAGGGGGCCACTTCAAGCCGAGACAGATGCACCCGCGGCATGCGCGAGCGGCCGTCGCGCGAAGGGCAGCGCCGGGAGTCTCTTGTGCTGGAGCGGAACCGAAGACGGAAGTGACGCGCGCCATCTCTTCGGTATCTTGCGATCTCTGGGCGTGCCCGAGAGCACTGATGGTGAGGAGAACCAGAACGAAGAGTGCCTTGCGACCTGACATGACGAACGGCGCTCTCCAAGTGGGGGCCGGATGGGGGTCTGCCGTCTCGGCAGATCTCTGACTGAGTGAGAGATGTGCCTCCATACATCCATCGTCCTTGTCGCCGCGTTGGCCCTTGCTCCTGCCTCTGCGAACCGCATCCAGAGCAGTGAGACAAAGTCGTATACGACTGCCGCGCCCTTCCGCCTGAATCCTGTGACGCGGTCAGGCGAACACTCATCATGCCAGAGGGCAGGACGGGACGGGGCAGATGATCGATCATTGAATATACAAGCCTTTTCACAGCTCACATAAAATGAATTGACATGAGCCCGCTCACATCATGGCACAGCCAGGAAAACTGCACAACTGACCACACACAAAGAAGCGACATTCCAGGTGTCATGCTACACACACAAACACGCCTAGAGCTTGCTGCATGGCCACGGCTGTCTGCAGTCCTCCTGCCATATCGTCTTCATATAGCGCGGCACCTCAGCGGCTGAAAACAAAGACTTGAGGCGCATTTTGGGGCTGGGGGACGTGTCAACAGAAGCAGTGCCGCTCTCTTCCTCTGCCGGCACGGCGAGAGCCGCCAGCTGGAAGTGGATGTCGTCCTGATAGAAGAGGAGCATGTAGTGCTCGCGTGTCGTGTCGCTGTCGAGCCGGTAGTTGTATACCCGCCCCGTCTGCTGCGATAGAATGATGAAGCCGACATCCAGCACGTCCTCAAGCAGCTCTGCATGGATGATGCAAACCACAAGACAGGCAGACACAAGAAAGCTGATGAGAATGCTCGCCCGAATTGTGTACCCACGTGTGTGCCTGGTCTCACCGAGGTCGACTGCCGTTCCCCAGTGGCTGTTGCCGCATTGGGACAGCTCATGTTCCACCGCATCTGCCTTCTGCGCCATCGTTGACGTATCCCATATCACGCCTGGCAACACACCACACACAGAACACATACGTAGACAGATCAGCCGCTCACATGGCCTCGCGCACAGTTGTCTGCTTGTGTACCTTTGGTATCGACGTATGCGTCCTGTTCCATGATCGCCGATGGACTCCATTCATCAGGCCACTGCTCGCCACTCGCCTCCAATGCCACGAAGGCGTCCATGCGCTCTCTGAAGAGCTTCTCGTCATACTCGCCACCTTCTCTGCGTCCCACAAACGCACGCGCGACGATGCGCCTCAATTTTGGGACCGTGTAGGGGCTGCCGTCGGTGTCAACAAGCCCGCCAGACGCCAGGCCTTCGGCGATAGAATAGAACAGACAATCACCACCTCCACCAGTCTCCTGAAACAACATCAAGAAGCAGACGCGGTGACATGAGAGATCAGGTGCAGGTGCAGACGAACACATGTGTTCGTCTGTTCTCTTCTCTGCCTGCGTGCATTCACCTTTCGACAGATGGTTTGGTCGTTGTCGGCATTCCTCTGGCGCCACCGGGATGGCATCTCTTCCCACTCCCTACCAAACGACCTGCAGCCAGACGTTCTGCCTACACCAAGCACCTCGAGGGCGCTGCGCCATGATCCGACGCCGCCACCGCGCACGACGAAGACGTTGGCTCTCCGCAATGGATGGTTCATGTGGCTGATTACTGTGACCCTTCTGTCAGCCTCTCGCCGCCTCTGCGACAATGAAAGTGCGGCCGCAGAGAGGACATAAGCCATAATGGACGGGACCAGGCAGGATGGCGACATCGAGAGAGGAGGTTCCGAGAGGGTGTTTCACAAAAGCTCGCAGACTCATTCGGCGAGAATGACGAGACAGGCCAAAACGAGATGAAATCTTTCGCTTTTATCCTCGCGTCCTGCCTCCTCACACCTTCCCAGTCCTGCTCTCGTTTGGCTTATCCTCTCCTCTGCCTCCGCTGCCCTGTCTGTTACCGCCATGGCTGTCTCCACGGCAGAGCACGCAGACAACGACCACGAGGGAGAGCGGAGAGGAGTGCGACTGTCCCTGTCCCTTTGGCGGTGTGTTTAGGGAGGACGACCTCCTTTCCCTTCGCCGTCCTCTCTCTTACCTCTTACAGCGCGGTCACGACGGAGACGGGAGCATTTCCAATTGAGCATTTCTTCTCTATCTGTTCTTCGAATTCGTCGTTTTTTCGTCTCCCTTCGTTCCCTTGCAGCATCCCCGGGTTCCCTTCTCCCGAAAGAACTGCCCAAAGTCAAAGAAGGCCTCCACAGTGCAAGAAACGTCTGTGAGGGACGATGCCGTTTCACTACCCAAACCCACTGGGGCGGCTCCGCCTCGGCTGCAAGCGTTATGGTTTCGTGTCGACCAAGGGAGAGGGCAGCGACGGGCGTGCAGACATCGTCGAAGAAGCGGGCGGCCAGAACAACCCCATCCTGCTCAAGTGGACGAGAGACGGCGATGGGTGTGTGTTCCAAGAAGCCATCAAGACGGAGCGCATCTGCTCGGACGCCGCCGACACGGGCGTCGTCCCGAAGTTCCACGGCAAGACGGCCTTCCGTCTGCAGCCGGACGCCCAGAACCCCCACAACAAATGGGGTGTCGGCTTCGGCGTCGAGCTCGGCCAGGGATGCGCCGCAAGTCGGGTGCAAGACGCCGGGCAGTCCATGCGCGGCAACCTCCTCCTATACAGGGAAATGGTACGTACCTACTTACAAACACACAGACACGGATGGATTCATTCATTGCATGCCTGAGCGAGCGAGTGGCGGGCGGGAGCCAAAGGCAGACAGACAGACAGGCAGACGTATACACATATTTATTATCATAGGGTCTGTCTGTCTGTTTCTGTGTGTGTAGGTACATGCGTTGAAGACACTGCACAGCAGCGGATGGATGCACGGCGACTGCAAACTTACCAACGGTAATTGCGAGCGAAGTCCACTCATAAGGAAATAACACATGGCTGCATGGGGCTGGCATATACGCTGTGTTCCTTCTCTCTTTGTGTGTGTCTCTGTCTGTGTATTTGCTCAGCCGTGGTGCCCATGGATGGGCTGCTGCGTCTCATGCTCATCGATTTCAACAGAGCCAAGAGACTGCAGGAGATCGCAGCGGCCGCTAACATCGAGCCGCAGACCGTCGGCCGGTCGGAGTCGATCACGGGAGCGTTCGCCTACTGCTCGTCGTGGGCGCGCTCAGGGGCAAGGAGACCGGCGCAACTAGAAGAAGTAAGCAAGGAACCGAGAGAGACGATGCTTACTCCACTTGGTTGGTTCAGGGATCGCTGCCTGCATTTTATATCTGACGACCTCTTACTTATCCGCCACTGCAGCAACACGACATTCAAGTACGATTGGAGAGCAACTCGTGACGTCTCTGCATTTCATTCCTCCCTGTCCTGTCAGATCGCCGTCGGCAGTCAACACCGCATGATAGCGAATTGGCTTCAGCAGGCGCCTCAGGTCAGCCTGCCACTGCAGCGGCTGCCGCTGAGCAAGTTGAGGCCGACGGAGCGGCCACACAGGGGATGGATGTCATTGCGAGGCCGCGGCATCCCCTCATGCGATCTGTAGATGATGATATGGACGACGGCACAGACGAAGAGGAGGATGACGGCCCTTTGGAGGGCGGCTTCTTCACGTTGCCAGAGCCGGCCATTCCGCCCATGGAGATTGCCCTGCACGTCGACCTCGCCTCGGCAGTGGAGCTTCCCGAGGACGACCCCATGGTGCAGGCCAGCACCGAGGAACACGATCAGGTTGAAGACCCCGAGCGACGGTACGTTCACATCACTTGAACAAATAAGCTGATGCCGATTGATACAGAGAGCGCATGCATGCATCCATTCGCCATCTATATTATTGTGTGCCTGGGTGCTCTTTCTCTCTTTCTCTGACAGAGACAGCAGCTGCGTCCCGTTCAGCACTCAGTGCATTCAAACATCTCTCTCTCTCTCTCCCTCTCTCTCTCTCTCTCTGGCTCTCTTTAGGCATTACAAGCGACTGGGTCTGCCCCTCCCCGAGGAGGAGCAGGAGCAACTCGACTTCTTCACATGTGACACTCACCAAGACATCTGGCCTGACCAGCTGGATCGCATTCGACACATATTCGGTATGCACACAAGGTCAAGCCCACAAAACGCTACGGACGGTTCGTTGTCAATGGTCCTGGCTGCTCTTCAAATCCTGTATTCCATTCAATGGCAGACACGTTGGAAGTCGTCGAGGAGGTCTCTGCCGAGGCCGTGGAGGAGCGGTTCAAGCCGGACTTCTTCACCAAGACCTACGACCACCCGGTCGAAGGCGTGCTGCAGGCCATGCAGAGGGGAGTGGAGAGGGGACGAGCACGATGCAATCATGACATCGAGGTACACACAAATCATTCAACACACATCCACAAATGCCCCCCTGTCTCTTCTCTCTCTCTCTGTGCTGTCTGTCTGTATGTGGGTGTCTGTCTGTGTGTGTCTGCAGGCTGGTCTGGTTTGCTGCGCATCGCTGCTGGAGGGCAAGGAGGAGTTCATGAAGGTGGTGGGGCTCAGCGTCGCGCACAGGGAGGCCATATGGGAGTGGCCACTGAATACTTCTGAAGGCACGTGATGAAAGACACACGGCTCACCGGTGAAATCCACTTGGTTGGTTCAGGGATCGCTGCCTGCATTCTATATTCGACGGATTCTTACTTGTCGACTACTGCGCCAAGACGACCACTTCATTCGCGCCTTCACCAAGGGCTCTTCTTGTCATGACGGACACTTGACACATGTCCCTTTTGTCTGGTCTCTCAGCTCAGCGAGAGAAGCTGACGGGATCGTTGCCGGCCTTCGCCGCGAAGGTGCGTAAGGAAGATAGAACAAGGAGGATAATGCATCAATTTGTTCATGTCTCCCATGTGTTTCCTCTGTTCCTCTACGCATACTCGGCCGCGTCGACAGCCGTCTAGTGGTCGACCAACTGCAGACCCGCCACACCCTTACAGGGGCGAGAGACAGAGAGGGGGAGAGGGAGCCAGCTATGCACACTGTGTGCAGTGTGTGTGGTTAGGCCAGCTACACTGCTGCCAACAGTGGTCGACGATGGCGCCGGAGCGCGTCGACGAGTTGCAGTACATCAAGCAGCGTCAAGCGGGCAGACGTCGGACGCATGGATTGCATGCAAACACGTGTGCGTGTCTGTATTCTGTCGCCCTGGCTGCCTGCAGGACCCAACTGCGCCTCAGTCTGTCCACCTCGACCACATTCAGCGCCCTCCTGGACGACTAGGCCCTGAAGGAGGGAAACACGCATGGCCACTGCAGGCACACGCCTGACTGCAGTGTTTGTTGGGTGCTCTCCCTGTGCTGTCTGTCTGCGTGTCTGGTCATGCAGAAGTTGGCGAGGACTGAGAGGCGCGCGGAGGAGAAGGCTCGAGCGGATGCTCTGACCGCTGAGCTCAAGGCCGTCAAGGAGGCTGCCAAGACGCAGGCCACCCTGGTCAGTGACACAACAAGAACCTCCATCCGTCCACACACACACACACACATCCATGCTGGCCTCCATCTATCTGTGTGTGTGCGGGTGTCGCCTTGACTCGTTGGTTTGTTCAGCTCAAGTCGGTTCGGGTGTGCGAAGCGAGGGCCAGCAGGGCCGCCAACGAACACGACCTGGACAAGTACAAACTGGAGCTGGCCAACCGGCTGCTTCAGGTATGTATGTATGTATGTTGTCAAGGCCACGCCAGGGCACACACATGTTGTTTGTTCTGGGTCTGCTGGTGGGGTCTGTTGTCAGCCCCAGGGGCAGCAGCAGCCCCACCAGCATCGAGGCCAAGAGAACCAGCAGCCCCAACAACAGACCCTCACCAAAGACAACACAGCTAAAAGCGCAAGCGCGGCACGCGGCTCAAGGCCGAGGCCGATGCTCTCGCTGCCAAGGCCAAGGGATACCTCACGCGCCGCACCAACAACCGACAGCAATGGATGTGCCGACAGCCCCACCGGCTGGGCGAGGGCTCCCGTGCCATCGTCAGGGCGGGCCTGGTGAATGGGGAATGGCGGGCATTCAAAATCGCCGTCTTTGACGGCACCAACACCAAGTGGCGCGTCGCCCTGAGGGAGATGGAGGTGGAGAGGCAGCGCATGGCCATGGTCCAGGCCAACAGGGAGAGGGAGGGGAAGGAGCTGCAGCCCTTTCTGCGGCTGTATGACGCCGCCACCAGCCTCGAGGACAAGGCGGCCTACCAGGAGTCGGCTGGTGCGCCGCCGAAGCCCTGTGTGTACATAGAGATGCAGCCACTCAACGGTGAGCAGACAATGAGGGGAAATGCACTAGATGCACTCATTCACGGCTGCTTTCTTTGTCTTGTCTTGATTCGTCAGAGCCCCTAGGGCCACAGAGGTACGTCAGCCTCAAGGAGCTGATTTGGGATATGGGGTGCAACACGGCGGCCATAGGCCGTAACCCGCGAGGCGGCCCCAAGCTCCGCCTTCTCTCGGTCAAGTACCTCGTGCGGGCGTTCGCGTGGGCGGCGAGCACCCTGCGCACAGCCCTCGAGGAGGACGGGCTTAGTTTGCCTGGACCACTGCGCCAAGAACATCTACGTCAACAAATACAAGCTCGAAAGGCAGGAGCAGCCCGACGCCTTCCTCATCGACCTCGCCAACACGGCGCTCGTCAAGCCCCCTGGCCCCTGCATGCACTCTGCCGACGGCACCGTCCCCACCCCTCCCTGTCCCCACGCCGCACTCATCCCCGTCCGCAAGGCCGCCCAAAGAGAGGAGCAGCAGCTGCCCACCTACACCTGCTTCCACGCTGCGCCAGAGCAGTTGCTGTTCAACACGGAGCAGCTCGTCAGAGACGGCACACAAGAGGACATCGCCAAGTGGGGCGGCGAGACCCTCGAGCAGGGGCCGGTCAAGTGGGGTCACATTTGGGACAGACAGGTGTTGCTGCGGGCAGGGCTGCGGGAGCAGCAGCAGCTGGTGGGCGAGGGGCCGATGCTGGGGCTCTGGATGACGGACAGGACGCCGTCATTCAAGCTCGGCTGCAGCCTGTACAATGCCCTGCGCGGCGAGCTGTTCATCGAGAAGCTCGAGCGGGAGGACGGCAACTGGCCAGCGGAGCCACAGCCGCCGAAGGAGCCGCCCCAGGACGCCGCCGAGGACGCCAAGGCCGCCTATCAGCAGCAGAGGGCCGCGTACGAGAAGGCCAGGAAGGCCTACCAGCAGCACAGGAATGTGCAGCAGGCCATCATCGGCTACTGGTGGGCAGACCAGCGGCTGCGCGTGATGGACAGCAACGGCCACCCCATTGGCGGCAAGGAGGGGCTGTGGGAATGCAGGGAGGAGAGGGGGGCTGGAGTGGGTAGAGGGTGCCTTGAAGCGGCTGGACAGGATTAGGGAGGCGGCGACTCGGCCACTGCCCCTCGACAGGTGCAGTCTGGCCGAGCAAGAGCAGCAGCTGCGTAGCGTGGTTGCTGATTTGGAGAGCGTCGCCAAGGCGAAGGCGTCCGGCAGCAGCCCAGCAGCGGCGGCGTCTTTGTCATCCACAGCCGCATCGCCCCAGGGCGCCCACTGCCCCGCACCACCCGCGTCGCCCGACACATCGCCAGCACCCGTAGTGGCCGCAGGCCGCCCAGAAGGCCAGAGAGAAGGTGAGCAATCATGAGCGACAAGTACGTAGCCCATTGTTCTCTCCCCCTTGTGTCACTCAGACGACTCGATCGCTGCTTACATTTTATATTTGTGGAGACCTATCAACCGTCAGCACATGATCTTCCCTCCCCAGAGGGAGAACCAGCATGCCGCCCCCGAGCAGGTTGCCCACCTGGTGAAGACAATCAAGGAGTGTGGCGATGCCCTCGAAAGGCCGGGTCTGAAGATGATTCAACAGGCCAAACTCGTCATTTAAGTTACCAGGCCGGGCGATGTGGATAGGGTGCTGAAGAGCGGCGCCGATGGTGCTGAAGAGTGCATCCATCAAGATGCTTGGGGAATCGACCAGCTCACCGTCACGAAGACATAAGACTTGAAGTGTCTCTGACGGTGCCGCGGGTGCCGAACATGCTCTGCTGCCCTAGTGTTTTTGGAGAGGGGGACTCCAGATTACCAAGGGAGTGAGACGTACACATGCAGAGCGAGACACAACTCTCCCCCAACCATTCCTGTGTGTCCTTGGCGCATTCGAGGATGTGGGTGTCGTGTCTGCAGCAAATTCACCCGGCGGGGCTTCTGCATGGACTTCACGAGTGCCAGTCGCTGCAGGATGAAGTACACGTACATATCAGGCACTCAACATCAGCAGCTTGGCTCATTCAACTGTGTCTCCTCGCCTGCCTGCATTTTTAAGGATGCGACGGCTCCACGACAGCAAGGGCTCCTCTCGTCCACAAGATCGTTAAGACATATGCCAGACCAGCAATGCAGGCAGGTGCATATCCGGCTGGGAGCTGACTGGCGAGGAGACCAAGTGCGTCAGCTGCCATTCAGGACGTTCAGGACGCTGATTGATGACCGACTTTGCAGCACCAAGGGCGGATAGAGGCAGGGAAGGGGGGAGAGAATGCTGGCCGTTCTTGTGTGTGTGTGAGCTTTGAATAGGTATATGCGGGTGTCTGTTGGATGTGCGGACGCTGCTGTGAAGCACTTCCGTGGCCAGTTTCCGTCTCTGTGAGTGGGTGCGTCGTGATCGATCTTGTCTTGAGGTGCATCGCTTCTCTGTGTATGAGTCAGACACTGACACGTATGCATTCATGAATGCTTCTACACCCATCCCGGTTCAACACGCACGTATCCATCGATCCATCGATCCACCCATCAGTAAGTGTCTGTCCGTTCCGACAGCTTGCTACGGGCCTTTCTCGGCAACACACACGCACACACATTGAGCCAGGCGCGCCTTTCAATACGCGAAGGCGCCAGCTCATGTGTGTCTGCATGAGGCGTGTTCAAAAACAGCAACATGGAGGGGAATTTGTAGCCAAAAGAAGGCGACAGCAATTAAAAATCAGCCATCCATCCGTCCATCCATCCATGTGTGTGCCGGAATCCGAGTGTGAAAGCTATGCGCCTTGAGTGCCGCCAATCCATACAGGCAAGGTTCAGATCTGAACCATGACTGCCTATATCGGATGACCAGCATTGAAAGGCGAGTCACTCGGCGGGCGGGACAAAGACAACAAAAGAGAAAAAAGGGGCGACGAGACAGTGAAAGTGCATTTGCCTTATGTGTGCACCGGCCTCTCTCTTCTCTTGGTTTGGGGACAAACAGAACACAATGGCAGAGAGAAAGAGGGATCTGTCTATGGCCACCAGGTAAGTCATCAGAACGGCTGAAGGACGGGGGAGAGAGAGACTGCGTACGTGCTGCGGTGCGGAATATATGTCATGCTCGCCCCTTGCCGCCACACGCGTGCATTCACCCTTCCAGCCACCCATCCATCCAGCAAGCACATGACAACCAGGGGGCAAACAAAGAGAGAGAGAGAGAGAGAGAGAGGCCGGCCAGAACTGTGTTCTAGAACATTTGTCCACGCCACTCACCACTCGCATACACGTACACATGCTGCCTTTAACACTCACTCATACACACACGAATGGGTGGGTGCAATGATGGATGAGTGAGATTGTTCTATCTAGCGTCTCTCTGTCTGCCAGTCGATGTAGCTAGTTGTGCCCGCCGGCCGGTCGCGACGCACCACTGCTGGGCTGCGGCGGTGTCGAAAGAGCAGCAGCGGCAGCAGCAGCACCTGCCGCCCCCCCAGCCTGCTCGCCGTTGGTGCCGGTGCTGTCATCGGGAGGAGGCGGTGCCGGGCCGGGGCCGTTCGCTGGCTCCAACGCTGAAGGAGAATGAAGGCAGGAGACCAGGGGATGCAATGCAATGAAAGAAATGGACCACACCCTTTGCCTCCCCTCTCCTCTCCTCCCCTCTCCTCTCCTCTCCTCTGATCTCATCTCACTCACCTCGGGGCTGGATGGCAGTGAGTGCGATGCGAATGGCGCGTGCGGCCACGTTGAGGTCCTCACTTGTCACCGTGGCGTTGCGACCGGCGGCTTGGCCGAGGAGGCGGCGCTGCGCGGGAGGCGACTGCAGTCATGCAAACATGAATGAATGAGGGAGGAGCTTTCCACTTCCGTGTCATGATGGATATGCGCACCTTGCCACGGAGATTAATGACGTTGTTGATGTCGACCTCCAGGGGAATGCGACACTGGAAGAGGATCGAGTTTACCACTGCAGACACAGACAGACAGACAGACACAGAGACAGAGAGACAGACACACAGACACACAGACAGACAGAGAAACCAAGTGCGTGCGAGGTCGTGTGTAATGTGAGGTTGATCTGCGTACACAGGACAGTTTTGCGGTTGCCCTCCAGTGAGTTGTCGTGACCCTGGGTGTTGTTCTCTGCAACACAGACGAGGCAAGAGGAGTGGGATGTGTGTGTGGGTGTGTGGGTATGTGGGGTATGCTGGCCTCTCTGTCTCCCTCTCTCATGCGGCCTACACGACACGTACCGTGGACGTAGACGAGCAGACTCTCCCTGACCTCAGCAATGTCCTCCACGGATAGCTTGTCTGGAGACGGGAGCTTGATCTGATGGATGGATGGATGGATAAATGGATAAATGGATAAATGGACGGAGAATGACACGGATACATGGATATGGGGGCTGGCTGTACCTTGAGTTGGCCGAGCGTCGCTAGAGTCGTGGAGTCTATGTCGAGCGATGCCTACATAAATACACGAAGAGAACCGGACTTGCATGTGTGTGTGTATGTGGGGGGTGGCTCCTGTCAATTGGTTCCTGCTCACCTTCTGTGTCGATGCATCCTCTGCCCCCTCACCATCAGCCCTATATCCGCAGAGCCATCACACACAGCCAGAGGTGGATGTGCGGGTGTGTGTGAGTGGGTGCATTCATGCCTGTGTTGGCTGCTCACCCTCCTGCCGCCGTGGTGGTGGAGTCTCTGGCCTTCATCTCGATGATGCACAGACACGCCCACGAGTCGACGATCTCCTGCTCATCGACCTGAGCCGACGCAGCAAACTGCACACGCCCAAGCACAAGCACAGAAGGGTTGGTCATTCAGATATCCAGAGTGTGGCTGGCTGACTGCACTCACCTTCAACTCAGAGTCCTCATTGAACGCCTCTCGTTCTGCTTCTACTTGGCCCTCGCCGCCTCCCTGCCCCTCTGCAGATGTCTCACCGCCATTTGCTACCCCATCTCCCTCTCCGCCGTCCCCTGCCCCAACACCACCCCCACTCCCACCGGCAGCAGCAGCAGCAGCGCTGTCATCCACGTCCCACTCCGACCATGCCAGGTGGAGGCGGGTGGCACCCACGGGATGGTTGAAGACGTGCTCTTTCCCGGCCCTCCTTCCCATGGGCCTGGCGGTGGGGCTGCTGGCCACCTCCTCGTTGTGGTTTATGTCCTTCTCTGTGCCGGGGAAGAAAGAGCCGGGCTGTGCGGTAGAGGAGGCTTGGAAGTATGAATCGATGGGCTCCTTGTCATCCTCGCTCTCCTCCTCGTCCTCGCCCTCCTCTTCTTCCTTGTCCTGCTCTGCCTGGTGGTCGCCCTCCTTGTGGTGCTCCGTATCGTGGCCGCCCTCCTTGTGCTGCTCTGTGTTGCGGTCGCCCTCCATGCCCTCACCCTCCTCGTAGATGAAGGTGATCTCCGCCCCATGAAGGGGGTGGATGCCCGACACGCGGAGGTTGCCGTGGGGCTCAGGCGCCTCCAGGTACCACTCGCACACACTCTCGCCGCGGGGGATGGTCTCGGCGCAGCTGTTGTTGGTCTGGATGGACGTTGCACGGCCGACGACTCTGATGGACTTGAGGGGTGCGGGAAAGCTGGTGAGCGGGGGAGTGTGGTCCACTCTAAGGACAACCGTCGCGCCATGCACCCTGAACAGACAGCACATGCAGAAAGGATAGATGGTCAGGATGGATGGTCAGATGGATGGATGGATGAAAAGGTGTGTGGGTTTGGACTCACTCAATTTCGGTCGTATTGAGTTCAAAACCGAGTATGAGGTCAATGATGCGGCTCCCCTCGGCCAGCTTCGTCGCATCTGCCGAGGTCACCGACGCCCATGCATCTGGGAGAATGGTGAAAGTCTAATGCCCACACACAAACGCACAGACAGACATGCGTCCAAGCGTGTGGACGTGTGTCTTTCGCTTCGGCCAACATCCATGCACCCACCTGAGTGAGTTGATCGTATTTGGTGACCTCGTACAGGTGCCTGTCGGGGCTAAGGTCCATGAAGTGGTACTCTCTCCTACCGAAGTCGCCATGGATGGCTAGCCCCCCTCCTCCCCCCGCCCACGCTCCCGCCGCCGCCGTCGCCGCCCCCGATGTTGCTGGCCGCGCCACAAACTTAGCAGACGAGGGGGACTTGGTGACTCCCGGGAGCTTGAGGGGCTCTTCGAGGTCGATGGCCCCCGCCCGTAGCCGGCATGTGGCTTTGACGCTGACGCTTTCGATGCCCCACCCCTTCTCAGCTATGAAGTCAAGCAGCTCGGTCCCGGTCCTCTCGTTGAGCCGCTTTCCTATTCCCTTCATCATTGTGAGCGGCTGGATGAAAACATCGTAGTCGAGCGCTATGGAGTCGAACTTTGTGTGTGGGTCAGCTGATGGTGAAGGGTATGGGGGAGGGGGAGGCGTGATGCCGTGGACGTATGGGTGGGGCTTCATGGGGGCTGATGCGTTGGGGTTGCGGGTTGCAGGGGTGTGTGTGTGTGTGAGGGCTGCGCCGGGGTGCCAGTGGGGAGGTGGGGAGGGGGCGGAGGGGGCGGAGGGGGAGGGCGGGCAGCCATGGTCTGCACACCAACACACACACACACGCAAATGGGTACATAGGCTTTCTGGTGGGTATTGATTGCCCTTGCTGCCACACTTACCTGGTTGTGAGTGTATTGGTTGGGTGGTGCATAGGGATTGAATGCTGGCGGGCCCTGGTTGTTGGTCATCCACTGCACCAGCCAAAACAAGACACATCCATGTGCGTATGCGATTGGTCAGTGTTTGTGCATCTGATGTGTGTGTGTCCGCCCACTGACCGCATTGGCAGGTCCAGGGAACATCGGCGGAGTGTACATCTGCAGGTGAAATGCGGCACACATAGGAAAAACACACGACCATTCACACGATACAGGACAAGTCGCCTTCTATCGTTGCTCACCGTATTGGTCTGCGCGTGGGCGTTTTGGAACTGTAGCGACGTCTGCAGCCCTCGCTCTCGCCCTTGACCACCGCCGCCGGCGCCACCACCAACAATACCCTGACCACACAATACAACACCGCAACACGCCACATCCATCCATCCAAGGTCGCTCCCATCCACCTTTCCCCTTACCATCTGCCCCCGTCCATTGGCTATCTGCTGTCCGTGTTGTTGTTGTTGCAGTGGGGGTCCAGGAGGCCCCATCCCAGCTATGCTCTGAGCAGAGACATGACAGAGAGCATCCCGCAGAAGCATCCCATCCCATCCCATCCCATCCATCCATCCATCCACCTTGCCCGCTCTCCTGTCATTGCATACCTGATTGCTGCCACTTGCTGCCACAGCGGCCGCCGTTTGCATCACCTGGTGCACCTGCTGCTGTGCCGCACCGGGTGTGGATGAATGCTGTGAGGAGAAAGAGATTGAGAGGATGGCTGATGGAGAAGATCCCTTTGCCTCATGGAGTGGGCGTTTCCTACCGATTGAGTGTTGCCCGCAGAGGCAGGCGTGAGCGGCCTTGTAGGGGCGCCGCCCTGCTGCGGGTTGGGGTACATCTTATCGAGGCCTTCAAAGTCGCTAAGGCGCCGCAAACGTTGGAACACGTGCTACGCACGTAGGGAAGGGGAATTTGCCCTCACGTCATTGTGTTGTCATCCGAAACACGTTCATTCAACGAAAGCTCCAAATGCGAGCTTGGTAAACTCTCTCTGCCTTCGATTCCCCCCCCGTCAAAGTGGCGTGCGACGCCCACAGCAGCAGCAACGACAGAAGAGCAGCAACAGCAACAGCGACACCCCGTCGGCGTGAAGCGGAGTGCGGCAGTCCCCCGGCTCCCCGCGCCATTCGTGACTTCTTATTCCCCTACGTGTTCCCGTAGCAGCGCCGCCATGACAGAGGTCCCCATCCTCACCACCCCGAGCGGCAGGCAGGTCCCACTGCCATATAAGTTGGGTAGAGGCTCGCGGGCCATCGTCAGGGGCGGATTTGTCGACAACTGCTATAGGGCCTTCAAGGTCGCCACGGAGCCCCAGCCGGACGACAGCACGGCCAATGGAGTGTGGAGGGTGGCCTGCGAGGAAATGACTGTGGAGGTGGAGAGGATGGCCACGATACAGGCCATGAGGGAGGAGAGGAACGGCCAGCGCGCGTCGGTGAGGCCTTTTCTGCGGCTCTTTTCGGCCGCCACGCGCCCTGACGATGGCGCCACATACCAGGAGTCGCCCAGCAAGCCGCCAAGGCGGTGCGTGTACATAGAAATGCAGCCTCTCAACGGTGAGCATGAAAAGAGGGAGGACAACAAAGTTCCATCCCATGGAATTTGTATTCAATGGCCTTTTTCTGTGTCCTCTTTGTCATCAGGCCCCGACACCCCCGCCACCACCGGCTACATCAGCCTGCACGACCTCATCTTCAAGAAGGGCTACAACCTGCCGGAGATCACGGCCAAGCACAAAGGCAACCCCGAGATCATCCTGCGGCGGGTCACCCGCCTCGCCCGAGCCCTCCAGTGGGCGGCCGCAACGCTCAAGCGTGCGCTGGAGGAGGACGGGTTGGTCTGCCCCGACCACGGGCTGAACAACGTCTTCGTCAACTCGGTAGCCCTCGACTGCACCAACCGCACCGACACGTTCATCATAGACCTGGCCAACACGCTCCACACCAGCCCCCCAGGCCCCTCCATGTGCAGTGATGACGGCACCATCCCCAGCCCGCCCCCCTCCCACCGTCCAGCTGCACTCATTCCCACCAAGAGGGCTGCCAGGAAGGCGGAGAAGCAGCTGCCGACCTTCATTAAATTCCACGCCGCCCCAGAGCAGCTCGCCTTCCTGGTGCAGACCCTCAAGGAGAACCCGACGGGCCAGGACGTCCAGGAGTGGGGCGGCGATGCCATCGAGAGGCCGGGCATGTGGGAGTCCATCAACGGGCTCAGCAACGAAGCGCGGGCAGAGCTGCGCCAGCAGGGCCTGTGGGTGGGGGAGGGCAGCAGGGAGGGCATGTGGATGACGAGCCACACGCTGGCCTTCAACCTCGGGTGCACGGCACACAACGCCATCAGGGGGGAGCTATATAGCACCCCGCTGCTGGCCAAGAGGTGCCCCAAGCCGCCACAGAAGCCCCCCAAAAACGCCACCGAGGCCGAGAAGACGGCCTATGACCAGCAGCTGGAGGCATTCGGGCAGGAGGTCAACGTCCTGCAGGCCATGGTCTCCCTGGACTGGGACCGAGTGCGCCGCGCCATCATGGACCAGGAGGGCCACCCGAAGGGCGGCAAGCCGGGGCTGAAGGAGGCCAAGGACGAGCCGGGGCTGGAGTGGGCAGGGGAAGCTGTCAGGCGCCTGAACCACGCAGCAGAGAGAGCCCTGCGGACCAAGATTAGCGAGAGGGCGAGCCTGAGTGAGCTTGAGGGGGAGTTTGCCGGCGTGGTGGAATACCTGGAGGGGGTCAAGAAGGCCAAAGCGGGCGACAGCCCAGCAGCAGCGGCGTCGCTGCCGTCGACGGCCGCCTCGCCCGAGGGTGCCCACTGCACCACCCCACCCGCACCCCCACCCGCGAGCGCCTCACCGCCAGTCGCCAACGCCACCCCATCGCAAGGCCGTGCTGTGATTAGCCCCCAGCCCGCCAGTAGAGGTATGCAAGAAGGAGAATATGACAGACACGCGGGACAGGGTCGCCATTTCTCGGTCAGTGTCATACTTATCTTCTCTTCTCTTGTGCGTGTGTTGCGTTCACGCAGGTAGCGTGTTGTCGTTTGAAGAGAGGCAGGAGGCCGCCGTCACGCACGAGAGGGGGGAGGAGGACAGAAGCGGACGCCCACTCAACACACAGGAGCAGCATCCCCACGCACACACCCCTCCCATCCAGCAGCAGGAGACGGCCACAGCAGCGCCACCACCACCACCACAACCACCGAGGAGGAAGGACACGTCGCCAGCACCTTTAGCGGCCGCCATTCCATCGCAGGCCGGTGCTGTGAATAGCCGCCATGCTGACCAGGGTATGCCTCAGGGTAGCCAGTGGTCGGTCAGTGCAATCAGTGACATGCATCTGCTCTTATGCTCTATGTATGTGTGTTGCGTGCAGATGCCGGTCAGGTGGCTGTGTTTGAGCAGACTGACGAGAGGGAGGAGGGCACCCCAGACGCCAGAGAGCCATCTGTCCCTGCTGCCCCAGACGTGCACCACACGCCCATCCCACCACGAGCCCCCGATGGCCACCACCGGCCAGCACCAGCGGCACCACCACCACAACCACCGAGGAGGAAGGCCACCCTGCTCAAGGACATCAAGGCCGCACAGAAGGCCAGAGCGGCACCACGCCAACTTCCTCGAGCAAACGGCATTCCCGCCCACCACCTCCCCTATGTGGCCTACCATGCCAAGATCGTCCACTACGACGGGCACACGGAGGGGGGGTGGAAGTGGAATCCGTTGGTCGACGAGTGGGAGATGTGGCAGCCCAGTGGGGAGGGCGAGCACTTGTGGGAGGTCCGTGCAGCCACGCAGGACATGCGGGTGAGGTGGTGGGCCCTCTGCAGCGACGTGGGCGAGACGGCTGCGGCTGCAGGGCAGTGGGTAGCGGGTCGTTTGGGGCTGGGTTGCCGCACCGCCCGCCGCACTTGAGAGACAGACAGACAGACAGACATGCATGTGTGTATGGGGAGTGCATGCGTGTTTCTGATGATGTGTCGTATTTTTTGTCATGGCTGCCGGGGGCGGGACGAGTGTTGGCGGGGCGTGTTTTCCTGGCGGAATGGGGGCGGATGGTGGTGTGCGTGAGGTTGCTGACGGGTCTGGGGGTGTGGGTGACGTTGAAGATGGCGACGAGTTCGACTTGGAGGGCAAAGGGCGAGCGGCAGCGGTGGCAGTCGCAGTAATCATCGTCGTTGTTGGGCTGCGGGGGCGGCCCTCGTCGACCGATAGCTCTTCTTTGGCACGCTCTTGAGGGTACGCATGCACAGAGAGGCGACATGTATTCGGGCGTGGAGAAGTGTGTGTGTGTGTGTGTATACGCGTGTTGTGCGCGGTGCAGGTGTGTTTGGGTTACAGCTACCTGTGCATCTGCACGTTCATCGAGTCGTGCGTTTTCTTCCTAGCGTCCATCTTCCTCAAAAGACACATCTGACGAACAAGGCGTTCTGCGTGCCGCCGACATTCCTTTGGTAGCCATTGACCCCCGAGAGCATCCAACAAACCCTCCACACGCTGGCCCTCCCCCCGGCCAGTCGCTCTCTTTCGATCCAGCCTTCTTCGGCATCCCGCAAGCCGTCCAGAACGCCCATGCAGCGCTGCTCTTGGCCCCCCCAGCACCACAGCCCGACCAATTGGCTCACACTGCCGCTGTCTTACCCTGCACCACAGTGATGGAGGAGGTCGAGGACATCAGCGGCCGACTCGCCCACCACGTGCCGGCCAGGCAGGCGCTCAACATCACCGATCCGACGGCATTCATCGACAGCGGCTGCTCAGCTAACGTCGTGCACAAGAGGGAGCTCTTCGACACGTCCACGCTGCGGCCTTCCACCCAACGCTTCCAGCTAGCCAAGGAGGGCAGCTCGGTCACGGCGGGCGGTGAGGGCATTGTCAAGATGACGGTGCGGGACGACCAGGGCAACTGGATCAGGGTGTGGGTGTATGCTCATCTGGTGGAGGAGTGCCCCCTGACCCTTCTGTGGCAGAACTCGGGCATCGGCTTCCTCAGAAGCGCGAAGAGCGCGGAGCGGGCACTGCTGTGGTGGCAGAGCAGCACGCAGATCAAGAAAGTCATGGTCACCAAGCAGCTCAACACCTACTACCTGACCTTCCAGCCTGACACGTCCACCACACCCCTGCCGCCTCCAGACAAGAAGACGCAGTACATCGTCGAGCGCGGCATCATTCCCATCACCCTTTCTCTGTCAACCAGCCCTCGCCTCATCAACAGCCTCAAAGCCCTGCCTTCCCTCCCCCGTCTGCCACCCTCTGTGGCCACTCGTCATGACCCCAGCATGGACGACATCATGCTGACCATCAACAATGCCATCGACAGAAATGCCGACGACCCTCCCCCACTCACCGGCCCTGACGCACCCATACCAGCACCGGGTGACCCAACACCACAACCAAGCCAGTCGTCTGGCGCGCCTGGATCCAGTGGGGATGGTCTGCTTGGTGGAGCACGTGACGCCGCTGGGGGCGGACTGACGGATGGATGTGATGCGGATGAGCGTGACGGTGGTGGAGACGATGACGATGGAGATGACGGCCATGGCGGCTGCGGAGTGAGCTTCAATGTCAACGGGGAGCTCCGTGTGTCGCTCAAGACTGAGCTCAACCACCCCCTCAACCTCACCACACCCTTCTCCCTCCGTCCAGGCACCAACCTGCCCATGTCCGGCCCTCTGTCCATCGTCCGGCAGCTCAGCGACAAAAGCACTCATCTGGGTGGGGGCGCCGCGCCCGGCAGCGAGCTCTTCTCACACTCGGGCGGAGGCAACGCCGTCCCGTCCTGTCGGGACACCTGTCAACCAGATCACTCTTCAGGGTATGCGACCAGCCGGATGTTTCCTGTGCATGCGGTCACTGTGTGATTGTGTGTTATGTGCAGGTGTTGTTGAATCTGCTGGCAGTCCACTCGATCGCCATCTACGTGGTCTTCTACCTCCCCCCGTCGCTGCTGCGAGTGACCTGCCCAGACCTCCCAGTGCGGATACTCAGATGGTCGAGCACACCCCCAGCCCACGCCCTCTCACTTGAATGGACGCGCTGAGCATCCCCCTGGTCATGCCCAACACAACAGCCACCATACCCCTGCACAGCATTGAGCCCGAGAGCAGCGACAGTGCGCCTGTGGTTCCCCACTGATTGCGAGTCGCGTTGCGTCTGCGGCGCACCTGTCATCCCTCGTCGACCCATGCCTCGTCGACCCCACGGGTGATCCGCATCAGCACACTAGCCCTCAGGCGCATGCTCGAAGAGCAGAGGGGCCAGCGAAAGGCCTCTGGTGTGGTGGAGACACAAGGGGCGGGGGGGTGAGCAGCAAGGTGGGGCGCTGTGGACAGGGACTGCTACACCATCTGATGAAGAGCGAGTACATGATCTTCAGGGACACCTAACAGCACCACCACCAGCGCGTCCAGCCCCCCTTCGCTGCCCATTTCATCCCCAACCCAACTGGTATTACGCTAACGTCGGGCTCGAGACGGACCGACGCGGGCGGACAGCCGAGGAGTGGCCGCATGGTCAGACACACACACACACACACACACACACAGCCAGCAGAGAAAGACATATGGATAAAAGTCTCATGTGTCCGTGTTTGTGCCCCGTTCTCTCGGTCTGTGTAGGATGTCGTGTGACCTGATAGAGCGTCCGCCGTACTGGTACTGGCACTTCTGCCAGACCAAGCAGGCCCTCCGGTTCATCGGTGCACGGATCGACTTGCTCTTCTTCGCCGGCTCAGGCCGCGAGAACCGCCAACGAACACGCATCGCTGGCGAAAAGCACCGGCATCTCCTACAGATCGGTGCGCACTCATTCATTGGGGCACACAACAACAGCAACAGCACCACCACCACTCCGTTTCTCCTCGCGCTGTCTGTCTGTCTGTCTATCTGTCTGGCTGGCTGGGGTGCAGATGTTCACGACGCAGAAGCTCATCGACCGCTACCGTGAGCTGGTCAACGCCGGCGACATCGCGCCGCCCTACGGGTGGGTGCAGGATCCCTCCACCCTCCCACAGCAGCAGCAGCCGGCCATCACCGAGGCATCCGCTGACCTAGAGGACGTCACATCGCGACCCGACAGGGACGCTGACGCCACACCCACCACCCGCACCCATCACACGTCGCTCCCCGTGGCACCCCGCCCGGCAGCCGATCATCAGACTGGGAATGGTGGGGGCGAGGGGGGCGGGCGGTGGCCTTGGGAGCAACACCAGGGGCCCTTCGGACGTAACGACCAACTACGAGTGGAACAGCCGCGTGACTGGCCGCAGTGAGTCGGACTACGTGTATGCCCCCGACACACAATTCCACGGCGATGTGCTCGTCTTAGAGGAGCGCAGCTCCCAGCGGTGCCGCGACGTCGACCAGCTCAGCAACCGCAGCGAGCACGCCGAGCGCCAGGTCGCCGAGCGCATCGATCACCACGCCATCGAGGGGTGGAGGAGGCGACTTGATGACGCTCAAGCAGGAGCAGGAGCATCCCCTGCCTAGGGGCACACTCAGTGGTCTTTCGGGTCGGGGAGGGGACCCCTGCCATCGGTGGCTGGACGCCAGCACTGCCCGACGCACACTCGACACCCTCGCTCCTCAACGGCGTCCCCGACTCGGCCGCAAACACGACCATGGCCCCTGGCGGCCCCATCCACCAGCGCACACCTGCCACCCGCTGCAGGCGACACCACCACCACCACCAATGGGACAACAACGAGTGTGGGCCATATGGCGAACCCGCCCAGAGCAGGGCTGGGCGACAAGAGGGACGCTGACGCCAATGCGGCTGACGTCAAGGGCGATGTTAGTGTTGGCGGCAAGGCGCCAGAAGAGCCCTCAACCGTCTCATCGGCCGGCACCAACGACAGGAGCGCCAGCGCGTCGTCCGTCACGTCCACAAGCGCCCACGCGATGGACTCTGACGGGGGCGAGGCCAAGCACGACGAGGGGCTCTGACTCGCACATCGATATGCACCCCTCATCATCATCAGCAGCAGCAGCAGCAGCAGATGCGTCGATGCGTCCGATGGAGACCGAGGACTCCTCACCAGACGACCAACAAGGAAAGGATGCCAGGATGGACCGCCCGCCCACCCACATACATACCCTCACCCACAGCCAGGCAAGCGCGACGAGACCATGGCCGACAAGAGCAGCCGGACGGAGGCTACCGAGGAGAGCGAGGCCAACCGAGGTGGTGGAGAAGCTGACCCGCAGTGAGGTGCGGCGTCGCGTGACGTTTTCGTACGACGTGTTCTCACGGAGGACGACGTGCGGCTTGACCCTCACAGGAGTTGATGGAGCGGCCCCTCAACACACGATCTGTCACCAATTATCAGACTGTTCGACCCCATGCAGGTACGCATTGGGTGCATGGGTGCACCGACCGACCACACGGACAGAGACCACACCACCGTGTGTTGTGCCACTGTGCGTTTGCATCAGTTGTTGGGCGTCAGTTGTTGGCCTGGCGTCCCCGTACGGCCTCTCGTCCGGTGGTCCAGCCCCCAGGCGCAGCTCTCCTTCACGAGCCTCGCGAGCGGCGGAGACCTCTCTCTCTCACTCTCACTCTCGCCTTCACAACAAGACGCATCAGGTGCAAATGACAACCACGGACGGAACGGGGCTCAGCGCAGCTGCCAATGGGTCCCAGCAGCAGCAGCAACAGCAGCAGCTGCCAATGGGTGCGGGTGGTGGTGGGGGTGGTGGTGGTGGTGGTGTGGGTGATCGGTCGTCTGACAGCCTCCTGGACAATGCCGGGGAGCGGGGCAGTGTCGACGAGGGTAATCTGCTGCTGGCTGCCAGTGGGTGATGGTCTTCGGGGGCTACCTTAAGAGGGTACGTGACGGAGCACTGGACGCACCCAGGCAATGCCCACCGGTGGGCTCACGTGTGTCTCGTGTGTGTGTGCCTTGGCAGGTGGGCCATGTCAGTCGTCCGAGCCAAGCCACGATGGGCGGGGGAAGGCCGTTTCGGCCGTATCCCGTCCATCACGGATGGCTCAGGCGATGTGTGTGGTGTGGGATGGAGGCGGAGTCGATTTGACGATCGTCTCGCCCACACACACACACATGCCCTCCCTCTGGTTGCCGACCAGCACTGTACCTCACTCTATGGCCAAGCCGTAAGCAACCACCAAAGCCCCATCCCCCCACAGCCACGTGTGTGTCTCGTCTCATGGCTTTCTGTCCATCTCTGTGTTTTGTTCGTCAGGTGCACGTTGTTTGTTTTTGTCTGACGCATTGGCCTCTGGTTGGGGCGGGTGCGTTCGCCGCGGAGCGGCCCGACACTGACATCGGCATCTCGGCATCGGGAGGAATGTGAGCGACCCATAGGGAACTACCGCAGCAGCATCCAGTCCACACCCGAACCAGACGGATCATCCACCCAAACCGAGGCCGACCGACAGACACGCGCTGGCCTTCGTGCGGGCGCCGCCATCTCGGCCCCCACCGCCCCGCGTGTGGAGCTCGAGGACGCCACCCCTCCCGTCCATATCATCTCCGGTGTGACCCGTCGCAGCCGTACCACCGAGTCACCGCAGTATGGCCGCTACCCCCTTCCTGCCGCCCGTTCGTTTGTGTCGCTGGACGAGCAGGGCGAGCTGGAGCCGTCGGGTGAGCGCCGTTTGTGGCGCGCCGGCCGGTCATCTGGCCCGGTGGTGGTGACCATGGAGGCAGAGGAGGGCGACCAGGGCAACGGCGCAAAACTCGTGTGGGAGGAGAAAGGTACGAGACCTACACACACGTACATATGGCATGGCGGAGGTCATATCATCTCGTGTCATGTTCTCGTGGCTGTCACGTGTGTGTGTGTGCAGGTCTCGAGAGGCAGGCGGCTGCGTGGATAAATGGGTGGTTGCAGGGGCCTTGGTGTGTATGGGTGCCTTATATATGCTCTCTCTGCTCTCCTTCCAACTGACCTTTCTGTGTGAGATGGGTGTGGTGTGTGAGATGCGTGGAAAGGCGTGAGCGTAACGCCATGGCTGTGTGCATCCGTGTCGACTTACTACTACTGACTGACTGCGTATTTTTATTGTATTTTTGGTCCACGGTACGGTTCATTCGACTTACTCACTCCACTTTCCATGTCTTGTATATGGATGTGTAGGTTTACCTTACTGCACTCACACACTCACTGCTCCTCTCTGCTTTGGCGGCTTTGGGTGCGGCCCGCTCCACACCACACCCGACCGCCAAGACACACATGCGCACCACGAGCACACTAAGGTCGATCCGGTGCATCCGCGGTGACTTACTACTGACTTGACGCCACATTTGTGGTCCACCATTCATCTACAGGCTTCCTTCTGTCATCCAGCGGTTTTGCTGAGCGGCCCGTGACACGCCCACCCACCCACTCAGGCACACACATACGCACCAGGAGCACACACTGCCTCTTCTGATTTGGAGTCGACCCCTTCTCCTACTGCGACACGATGCACAGCCTTCTCCTGCTGCGCAGGAGCACTGCTCTTTCCCCCGCTGTTTTTCGTCGCTGGCCGCCTTTTCCAGCCTCCGCCGGACACCGCCACTGCGCTTTCGGCCCATCCATCCCATCGACAACTCCTTGTACCGCCGCACACCTCATCTACATGTGTGAATGTACCTGCCTGCACTGGCCAGCTGGCCTAGTCAGAAACCCTCACATACGTATCCATGTGTCTATCGGGCAGAGAGAGCATCTCACTCACAACCAGCCACCTCCACACACAGACACACACACACACATACACACACCACACACCACACACCACACACACACACACACACACACATATGGTGTGTCCATCGGTGCGTATACATGTGTGTGTGTGTGCGTGCGTGCATCGTGCACTGATGTGTGGCACTTGCTTACACATACAATACACATACACATACACATTCACATACACTTACTTGCACCATCCACCCCCCACACACACCTCACCCCCTCTCTGTGTCTCCTATGCGTGCGTCTGTGCCGTGTGTGAACGTAAGGTCAGTGGACAGCTGCTTGTGAGTGTGTGTGTGTGTGTTTCTTTTCCGTGGGTTTGTTGCCGCCTCTGTGTGTTTCTTTTCCGTGTGTGTGTGTGTGTGTGTTCCGCCTCTGTGCCGTGCCGCTTGGCACATAGCGGTTTCATCGGCGTTGATTGAAAACATGCGGTTGTAATATTGAATGATTTAGATCAGTGAGTGATAAGTGCCTCCATAGCTCATGTCGCGGAAGATCTGGCCGGCGAGGGTCGCCGCCGCCGTTTCCAGTGACAACAGAAGAGCAATTTGTTCGATGAAAACATCGAACGGTGTTTGGATGCGCCTGTGGTACTCGAGCGACGCACCTCCAAGATCTGATCTACCAACACCAGCCTGCAACAGCAAAGGCACAAGCATTATCTCCGGTCCATCCATCACGTAATCCATCCTTGTCTGTCGCCCGTCCACTTCCATCGCCAAGTCTGCCTTCCGCGCCCAGTGCTACCCTCGGGCGCCAGATCTTAGTAGATCATATCAGAGAGAGATCGTCAAATCGGATTTAAATGGGGAGAATGGCGAGAATCCGAGACGCGGGAGACGGGGGCCTTTCCCGCCTAAAATCGCATCAAGGCCGGCATTCTCAGCTCCCTGAACCCGCCCGTGCTGCAGCGACGGGCGGTCGCACAGCAACGCAGCAACAGCAGCAACAGCAGAGTACCACCCGTCGGCGTCAAGAGGAGCGCAGCAGTCCCCTGGCTTCCCACGCCATACATTTAATTTAGTGCATCAGCGAGCAGCACCACGATGGCCACCCACCCCATCCTCACCACACACGACGGCCAACAGGTGGAGCTGTCCCACCGGCTCGGCGAGGGCTCCCGTGCCATCGTCAGGGCAGGCCTGGTGAATGGGGAATGGCGGGCCTTCAAGATTGCGGTTTTCGACAACGACAGCCCTATATGGCGGGACTGCCCTGAGGGAGATGGAGGTCGAGAGGCAGCGCATGGCCATGGTGCAGGCCAAGAGGGAGAGGGAGGGGAAGGAGCTGAAGCCGTTTCTGCGGCTATACGGATGCGCCACCAGCCTCCAAGACGGCGCCATGTATCGCGAGTCGGCTGACACAGCCCTGAAGCCCTGCCTGTACATAGAGATGCAGCCACTCAACGGTGAGCATCAAAAGGAGGGGGGCTGCACTCCATCAGTGTACTCATTCACGGCGTCTTTCTTTGTCTTGTCTTGACGCTGTCAGACCCCACGCAGCCACCCGACTACGTCAGCCTGAGGGAGTTGATTTGGGATATGCACTATGCCGGTGTTGCTTATGACTAAGCTGCGGATGGACTTTGCCTCTGTTCTCTGTCCTGTTTGGGTATTGGGCAAACACGCACGTGACGTTCTCTATGAAAGAGGCCCTCGAGATCTGCAAGGGAGTGGTACACATACATGCAGGCTGACAAACAACACTCCACCAACCACTCCTGTGTGTCCTTGCAGCAGTTTCACCTGGCGGGCCTTGGCGGGCTTTCTTCACCTGGATCTTAACCGAAACAACATATTGTTTCCTGAGAAGGCCCCGTTCCAGGTGATGCTCGTAGACCTGACGCGCACAAGGGCGATGACGAATGACCCTAGGCAGACGCAGCCCTGAATACTTCTAAAGGTAGGTGAAGAGACACACGGCTCACCGGTGAAATCCACTTGGTTGGTTCAGGGATCGCTGCCTGCATTCTATATTGGACGGATTCTTACTTGTCGACTACTGCACCAAGACGACCACCTCATTCGCGCCTTCACCAAGGGCTCTTCTTATTATGACGGACACTCGACACATGTCCCTTTTGTCTGGTCCTTTCAGCTCAGTGAGACAAATCTGGCCGCATCGTTACCGGCCTTCGCCGCGAAGGTGCGTAAAAAGATAGAATAAGGAGGATAATGCATCAATTTGTTCATGTCTCCCATGTGTTTCCTCTGTTCCTCTACGCATACTCGGCCGCATCGACGGCCGTCTAGTGGTCGACCAACTGCAGACGCGCCACACCCTTACAGGGGAGAGAGACAGAGAAAGAGGGAGGGAGCCGGCTATGCACACTGTGTGTAGTGTGTGTGGTTAGGCCAGCTACACTGGACGACAAGACGACGCACTCCGCCGCACTGAGGGGCGGCTGGAAGCCGAGCACAAGAAAGTCACCCGCCGCTGCCCACAGCTGGAGGCCCAGTTGGCCGTGGCCAGGCAAGAGGCCTCTGTGCTGCGGTGAGTGACTGACTGACGCAGGCAGACAGGCAGGCCGCCGGCCCGAGGGAAGGAGGGAGGGCCCAACCGATACACACAAGGGGACAGACAGACAAACAGACAGACAGACAGCGGGTACATATGTCCCTCACTCATGTCACGTTTCTTTTCCTCCTCCTTCCTGTCTGTCGATGAGTGGGTGCAGGGCTGACAGGGAGGTGCTCGAGAAGCGTGTGGCGGACGCGACACAGCAGCGGGACGACGCCCGGGGCCGCCTGAGGACCTTTGAGTCCGTCTACTGCGTCGACCTGGGCCGATTCAAGAAGATCGACACAGACGGTCTGCGGCAGCAGCTGGAGGGCGTCATCAAGGAGCGAGACCAAGTACAGGTGCGCTGCGCCACACACTCACTGACTGACTCACAGAGGGAGAGGGAGAGGGAGGGGTTGCTGTGTGTGTTGTGTGTGGTCAGACGAGTTACTTGGCCGCCGAGAGTGCCCGTCGCGACCTGGCAGCTGCGCGGCAGCAGCTCGAGCAGCAACACGCCAAGACGACGGAGCGCCTCAAGGGCGCCATCTCGCGTATCAACGAGGTGAGTCAGTCACGTCACAGACCCTCTGCCTCCCTCCCTCCCTCCCTCCATCCATCCCATCTCTGTCTGTCGTCTCTGTCTGTCTGTGTGTGTCCTGCCTGTATGTTATTCATTCATGTGTTCAGCTGCAGAGCAGTGAGTTGCCGAGTCAGAGGGACGGTCAGCTACTCGAGAGCCGGAACACCATTTTGGTGAGCGAACCGAACCCAGTTAACCCAAACCACCCCACCCCACCAAAAGGAGCCTTTGGTTCATTGGCTGTTTGGTGGTGTGTGTGTCTCTCAGCGGCTAGAGCAGGAAGCCGCACAGTTAAAGGCAAACGCCATCATAGCAAAGTGATTCTGACAGTGAGTGGGCCACACCAGGTGTCTGTCATCGATGGATGGATGGATGGATGACATACGACACGACACACGGTGATGGATGGCGTTGTCGTTCCTGTCCTTTTCCTGCCGTCAGACCCCGCCGTGCGGCCTCTGAGACCGCCGCCCGTTCCCCTTCGCTCTCGCCCGTCGCCATGGGCCCCCTCGCCCCACAGGAGCCACCACTCAGCACACACGACGCCGCCCGCGACATGATGCTCCGTGGCGCCCCTCCTGCAGTGCCACCCCTCCCGTTGCCCTCACTGCTCACCCTCAACACCGACACACTCGGCAGCGACCGTCTGAGGCCGCCCCCGGCCGCCTGCGGGCGGAACAAGAGAGCGCGACCTAACGAAGAAGAGGGCAAGCAGGGCGAGGGAGGCGGGGTGGCCGATGCTGCTCATGCGTCGAATGGGGTGGAGCATGTCTCACCCACTCGAACAAGGAGGAAGAATGCCTTCGCGGGAGGAGATGCCATAGTCCCGTCTGTGCCGTCCGAGCCCTCGCCACACCCACACGTCGAGGAGCGACTGGCTGGAAGGCCGTCAAGGTCGGGGACAGCACTTCGGCGAGGAGCCGGCCGCGCAGATGGGTGACGAGGGGATGGAGAGGGGCGAGGGGGGGGGAAGGACCGATCGGTAGCCTGGCGGATTCGGGTGTTGGCGAGGGCGGCCGTGGCGGCATGGACAGGGGTGAGAACGTCCCTGCACCCCCCTCTGGCGAGGGGACTGAGTGTGTGTGTGTCGGGTTTGTGTGCCTCCAACGTGGAGGCACAGCCATCACTGTCTACATTTTATATTGTGCTGTTCGTTGCACGTTTGATCGAAACTCGTGTTGACTGACAGGCCTTGGATTTGTACACGCGTCGCCTGACTCCCCACCGGTCAATCGACACTACCCAACGAGCCATCGGCGTGGCCTGGTCATCCATCGATAATCCATCGGGGGGGTGCGTGGCTGTCGAGTATCTGCACACACACACACACTCATACACACGGAGGGCGTGGCGATGACCGTCCATAGTCGCCAGCTCGACCACCAGGATGTGGTGTCCGCGGCCGCGGCCTTTATCGCCGAGCGACAGGCGATGGAGGCTGCGTGGGTGAGACAGATCGGGTCGCAGACGCCCGGTGAGCAGAGATGCAGAGACATAATATTCGAATGTGTCTCGATTGCAATGGTTGCCTTAATATGCAGACTGTATCAGGTCACAAGAGCGCCAGAGGGTCGAGGACCTGCTCCAGATGGTCGACTGGCTGCCGTTCGGCCACCTGGACAGCGATGTGTACGACGGCATTAGAGACCGCATTGATCGCATCATAGAGCTGTAAGTCAGGGGCAGATACATATCAAAGACACATCCATCAATCTCTTGTCGTTTGCCTAGTTCAGTATCGATGGCTGCGAGGACCAGAGCGACTCGCATACAGTGAATGGATGCGATGTGTGCATGAACGTGTATGCATATTGCATTGGGCGGCTCCAACTCGTCCCGTAACACACCTGACTCCTGAGTTGGAGTGATTGATACATCGCTGCTTGCATTTTATATTCGTGGTGCTTTTCCCGAATGAGTGAGCCGAGACACCTAGTGAGCAGGGCAGTAGCTGTCATGGCGTGTGTCCATCGAGCTGTCCATGTGTGCACACCAGTGACTCTATCTGTGAGACTCCTACGTGTGTTTGTTTGCTCGGAGCCCTACGTCAAGGCATCGATCGCTTAAACCAAGGACATGCAAACCTGCAAAATCTCTCAGAGCGTCACTTCGTCGATCAAGCACCACGTGCACAGACAGGCCAACAGGCAGCCACTCATCGTCACTCACATACACACGCACACCAGCAAGCAACATGGAGAAAAGGGGATAGGATACAGAGAAGAATGGGTGCCTTTCTCCATGAAAGCGGCTCTTAAACAACACTGTGTGTGACCTCTCTGACGAATCTGCGCTGTACAGACGAATCAGAAGAAGGCTCACGTACACACGCCGACCAAACAAATGGGCGGGTCTCTCGCCGGCGAGAGACAAGTTGGCTCGCGATGTCATCAACGGCCTGACACACACAGCAGCACACACATGTTCATGACACATAATGATGGATTGGCGTACGGCATCCTCTCGCGTGCAGTTGCATACCCATTCCAATCAGAGTGAAGAGGACCTCTGCCGCCACCGCCGACACCACCGGATAGTGAACGCTCTTCGTACGCCCTGACGGATGGACGAATCGGTGCGCTTGCTGCCGTCGCCATCGTCAGCAGCAGCACATGCAACTATCCCGCCATGACTCAGCCGACTGAAGGCAGACACCCCTGACACACACACGGCAAATGACAGATCGACCTGACGGCGGTCTCTGCGGCTGCCTTCTGGCTCCCGCCCCTCCCCCATCCACACACATTCGTGCGTACCCATTCCAGCAGATGCATGGCCGCCCTTGTGCGATGCGCTGGCACACCTCCCTCACGCCAGATCCCGCCACGCCGAGCTGCTCAGTGCACGAACCCGCCACGCCTCGTCAGATTCGACTCGATGGATGGTCGGTCTCACGTGTGGAAGAGATGGGCGGCCGGTCATCACAATAGCAGCACTGTAGCGCATCGACAGACACGCAGACCATCGAACACACACATGCACACCCCACACGATCCGCAACGTCCGGACATCGACGTACACGTGTGTGGTACTTGCCAACACGGGGAAGAGGACGGAGGGAGGCCGATCGCGACGGCGCACACGTATACGTCTGATCGTACAATACACACACGCCTGCAGAGAGCAGTTCAACGCACACAGAGAGAACCGAGATGAGCACAGACGCTGTGAACGAGTGAGTGAATTCGTACACGTGTACAGTACACAGACACGCAGACGAGCGCATCGCAGGCCAGTCGCATGCCCAACACGATGCAGTACACATACAGATACATCACTCACGTGTGCGCACCTCGTTTGTTCTCCTCGCCTTCGGTGACGAACGTGACGCACCCCTCGACGCGTAGACGAACCCTGTACACACACAACGAAGCAAAACACAGTGAAATCGTCTCGTGACGGATCTTGCGCATTGTTTACCGCTGACCATTGTTTCCCCGGATCGGCGTTGGGTTGCTTCCATGTTTTTGACCATTGTGTCACTCTGACACCATCCTGTACACATCACCCAACACAATCACACCACTCACAAGCACAATCAGACACTGCTTGGCCATGCTTTGCCGCCCTCTCACCTGTGTCTGTCTGCCACCCTCTCCGCCGCCATGTGAAGCAACAGCCGCCCCTCCCCTTCGCCGCCCGTCACTCTGCTTGGCCCAGCGATGCGTTTCGGCTCGTGAGCGTTGTTCCATCGGCCTGATACACACAGACAAAGCAGTGCAAGTGACGAGAAGGCTCTCGGGCGTGGAGATACACATCATACACATACAAACACACACCGTGAGAGCTCTTTGAGTGTCTGCCCGTCACGTTGCCCACCCTCCCGTACAGTGAAAGAGTGATTGAGTACCTTTGCAATGCAATGGCTCTCAGGAGCTTGCTGACGCCTCTGGCTTCACCCTCTGACAGCCTCCTCGTGCCGTGTTGGTAGTTGACAGTCACATTGCGAGTCTCGGCTGGCTTGAGCGGCCGATGTCAGCCGGTCGTCTGCTCGTCACTGTCGACTCATCCAATGCATCGCCGCCCCTCTGCACACGAGAGAGCCTATCAAACAGCGATGAACCAGCCTCACTCGTGCTGTGTTTGTTTGTTTGTTTGTTTGTTGGCCTCAGGTGATGGTCTCGAGACCAGCGCGTGACGATCTTGGCCGCGGCGCGCGTTGGATGCATCTGCAGCGAGTTGGATGCATCGTGTGCTGTGTCGTGTTCAGCATCTCAGTGTCTGAGCGACAGCCTCGTGATAAACAACATCTGCCAAGCCCCGCCCAGCCCCACCAACAACAAGGACGGCCGCGATGGCACGTCAGCGCCACCCCCATGAGGAACTGTGGGTAGAAGTGGCCATCAGGAAGCTCAAGACTGACGCCCGCCGCCACAAGAATCGCAAGCCGCGCCTCAAGCCCAATGCCCACAGCGCGTTCGACGGCTTCAAGTCGTACATGGAGGTGTTTGGCTACCTCCTTCACTTCAGTGTAAGAAACCATGAGACGAACAAACACGTAAGGCATGCATGGGGCACACAGCAAGTGATCCAATGGATGCGTTCATCATCTTGCTGCATTGTGGCATGTGTCAACAGGTGACGATTTTGCTCCAGTGTGTAATTCCCCGCACCCTCCGCTACCTAGAAATGACTAATGGGCAGTGTCGGATGAATAGATTCTGGAACATTCTGTGGCTGTACATAGACATCCTCATCATAATCTGGCAGTTGTGCCCCAAGTAAGGCGATAGGGAACACGCCTAGAGGGATGGATGGATGGGTGGATGGATGGATGGGTACATAATGGATGCATCCTAGCCATGGTGACACATGTGACGTATGTACTGCGGTTCTCTTGTGTGCTTGTCAGGTTCCGGTGGTGCATCATCATCTGGTGCCGTGTCGTCGTGGTGCCCATCTGCCAGCTGATCAGGGCGACCGGCCGTCAGCCTCGTATCGTTGACGGCCGTGTCAACCTGTATCAGCAGCACGGCAGATGGTACATCGAGATGGAGTCCGGCGCCCCCTTCCTCATCCCTGAGCGCTTCGGCACTGCGGCCGAGATCCACGAGCTGGATCAGGATGGGGAGGAGGCGCTGCGCGGCTCCGATCGAGGTGACCGCGACGACACGGACGCTGCTGCTGCTGAGGAGGCCGGTTGGGTGGAGTGGGTCGACAGCGCCAAGGCCGCCATCATGCGCAGCCATGTCAACAAGGCCACCTACCGCCCCTTCCTGCTCAACTTCCTGGATAGCTATGACGAGCTGCACCCGTAAGCAAGAGACACGACAGGAGACACACGACGTTCTCTTTCCACCATTGATCCATTCATGTGTCTTGTGCTGGTCTGTATTTCAGGTTCCAGTGGTCGGAGGAGGTCCAGGCCGAGTCGTACCTCATCACTGATCCTGACGAGTGTCTCGGCTTGCTGCCGGCGCTCTTCGGGATCAGTGATGACAGCGGCTCCGTGCCGGCTGGCTGGGACCTCTCGGCTGAGAACCTCCAGGCCATCATGGGCGAGTGGGAGCAGGAGAACCCCCTGCCCGACGATGACGAGGATGACGACGAGTGGGTGGATGAGCACGAGGAGGCCCGCGCCATCGAGAGGCGCATCCGCCACGCCATGCGGCACAACCGCAACACCCACACGCGCGGCCACCTCCGACTCTCCGACACCACTCGTCGCATCCAGCAGGGCGCCCCTCGCAGCCGCTCCTCGTCAAGCCGCAGCGGCCGCAGCAGCCTCCAGAGCCGCATCAGCCGGGCGGGCAACAGCCACCGGAGTCGGTGACCAGGGCAGCGGAGGGGGATTGTGTCGATGGAGCAGGACGAGGGAGGAGGACTATCCTTCCTGCCCTTTGTCGAGGGACCGAGTGTGCGTGTTGGTGTTTGCGCGTCTGCGTGTGTGCGTGTCTGCGTGTGTGCATGTGGAAACTTTCTCGTTCGAGCGGCTACGTGACGGCACCACATTTTTTACAGAGATCTGTTTTCATACACACATCCGTACGCGCGCACACACACGAGCATAGCAAACACGCCGCGCTATCTGCACAGGTATTGACTGACACACCTTTTCATGAGGTGCATTTCTTCGACCGGCTCATCAATCCGACAATCCAGCCACCAACCAACATCATCCGCCTAATCCTCCATCCTCGCTCTTGACGCCCAGCAAAGCAAACACACGTACCCACATCACACCACCTAACCTGCCTCATCTATCTGCGCTTGCCCTTTCCCTTTCTCTGGATAGCCCAGTGAGGCCGCTTCTTGATGTTGTCAGCCAGGCGAGCCAGCCTCTCCTTCCTTCTGCGAATCTTGGCCTCTTGCGCATCGACCTCATCAGACGATCCTTCGGTGTCCTTGTCGGCCTTGTCGCCGTCCATACCTCCCTCCTGCGTTGATTTGAGTGAGGGGTAGATAGACACAGAGCGACGTGTGTGCGTGTGTGTGTGTGTGTGGATGGGTCGCCCACCCATTCACCTGTGAGCCGTCTGATCCGCTGTCGCTGTCGGGCTGTGCATCGCCCTCGTCAGACTCTTCTTCAGTCCCTGATCACACATATATACACACATGGCACATGCATCTGTGTGCCAGGCGTATGTCTTCCTCACCTCTGAGTTTCCGCTCGTATTCCTCGACTGAGATCTTGCCTTGCCGCAGCTTCTTGGCCAGACGCTCTGTACAAAAAAACAAGGCATCACGCATTGAGAATCGATGCGCCCATCGTTTGTGTGGAGGCTGCCCACCCTCCAGCGCGAGATCTTCCCACTCGGCGGCAGCACGCTTCCTGAGGAAGGAGGAACACGATGAATGGAGACGCATAGATACGCGCGTACGTGCCCTCTTGGTGAGTGGTGGCTATCTGGCCGGCTGTCTCAAACACCCACCTCTTGGCCCTTCTCTTCTCCCCGCGTGTTCGATACACCTTGCTCTCCTCACACTTCTGTTCGTCTTTTGCCCGCTTCTCGACAGCCCTGACACACACACACACACACACACAGAGACAGACAGACAGACAGAGAGAGATTCTGTCAAGTGGCGCTTGAGAAAGGGATGGCAGTTGGCCTACTTCGCCTTTGTTCTGTCCTTTTTGGGGTCGGTCTGGCTGCTCTCCATCGCTTTCGCCTCTCGTTTCTTGCGCAGCTGCTCCTGCCGCTGGGCCTCACGGTGGGGGTCCTACTCACACACAAATGGAATGAAGGGCAGGTTGTGTGTGGGGCCATTGGTTGCACCGCCGCCTCGCAGATACCTTGAACGCAATGGTGCTGGGGTCGACGTCACTCTGGACGAAGTTGTCGATCGTGCGACCTGAGTGACACAGGCACCGAGAGAGCACATGGGTGGGTGCATGTTCGCGGTGTCGTGCCTGCATGTGTGGTCACCTACCGAGGATTTCCTTGACGCGTGGAATACGCAGGAGGGCGAACGAGGAAGCCAGGTGGCCGATCGACAAACTCTGCACAAGGCCAATTGAGGAAAAAGAATGCATTCAAATAAAACAGGCTGTGCGCAGCGCAGGCCGTGTGGTGTTTGTTGTACGTGCCTGGAATGGGAAGATGTAGGCGAGCTGGTGCTCCTTGTACGCCCGCACAAACGATACAAACGCCGCAGAGGCCTTCTCAAGCACCGCACGATCCTAACCGACACACACACGCGCCACCATATGCATGCAACCCCTCCCTTCCTGAATGGATGGATGGATGTCCCACAAACCTCCATGAGCACTTGCTGCGCGTCTCTCAGCGTGCTGGCGGCCTCCTCGTCCTTGATCAGCTGCTGCTCGGATGAAAGAGAGGAGTCGTCTGGAGGTGCCTTGCGCTTCTTCCTGGCCGCCACCCCTGCAAAAGCGCTCTTGAGCCGACTGGACGCAAAGTCCGCAAGCTCCACCTATGTATATCCAAGGAAAGGACAGTGGCAGGGATGGAACCAGACGCATGAACCCCCTGTGTCGTTTGGCCGACCTTTCTTCTCTGGAGGAATGGAATGTAGGCCGTCTCCTCGGGCAGGAGCATCACCAGCGACCGGCCTGACCGGCCCGCACGCGCAGTGCGGCCGATCCGATGGATAAAGAACTCGGGATCCTGCATCCATCCAACCAACCATCCATGTATGCCCCAAGTGTCGCCCTCTAATTCTCACTCACCTGTGGAGCGTCATATTGGATGATCCAGTCAACGTCCGGCACATCGATGCCCCTGGCCGCCACGTCCGTGGCCAGCAGAATGCCACGGGAGCCGTCGACGAACTGCTGGTATGTCTTCTGCCGACCCTTCTGGGCCATCTGGCCGTGCAGCCGATAGATTGGGTAGTTGGCAAGGGAGAAGGGGTGCTGTCCTGAGGTCTGTTCGCTTGGTATGGGTGCGGCGGAGTTGGTGTTGGCGTCATGTCGTTTGGTGAGCTCGAGGAGCATCTTGTGGAAGAAGTCGACACACGCGCATGTGAGGAAGAAGACGATGCACTTGCCCTTGCTCTCTGGCAAGATCGTCCTGACGGTAACGCCACACACTTACACCATTATACGGGCCCGCCCATATTCCCTCCATCCCATATCCACTCACCTGAAGAAGCGCATAAGGAATGCCAGCTTCTGATCGCTCCTCATGTAGCAGTAGTAGTTCTCAAGTGTCGTGGGCGTGCTGTGCGTCACTGCACCGCCGGCCGCATCCTCGCCGTCCTGCTTGTCGTCTTGCTGTTGGGCTTTGGGTCGGTCGACCTTGACGCAGATGTGCACGGGGTTCCTGAGGCCTGCCTTGATGAGCTGGTGGAGGGCGGTCGTCAGGGTGGCCGAGAAGAGACCCGTGCGGCGCTGTTTTGGCAAACGGCCTGAAACACGGCATGGATGGCTGCTGTGTGCATCATCGATCCATCGTACCGAGAATGTCTGACAGGTGCCTCTCGAACCCCAGGTCGAGCAGCCGATCAGCCTCGTCCATCACCAAAACCTCCAGCGACTTGAGAGTCCAATCCTGGCACACACACAGAGTAGGCACATGCATCCGTGTTTCTCGCCGCCGTCTGTAGGCCGGTCTGTACCCACGTCGGGGTCGCTGAGGATCGTCAGCAGATGGCTGAGCCGCCCAGGTGTGGCCACAATGATCTCAAGCGACCTGTCCGTCGCGGCCCCGCGGATCTGCTCGCACTCTTGGTCCACCTCACGCCCACCGGTGACCAGCCACGCCCTCAAATGCCCGCCATACCCATGCCCGTCAGCCACGTGCCTCATTAAGGCAGACAGCACCTCATGAATCTGCCCCGCCAGCTCCCTTGTGGGCGCCAGAACGAGGGCACCAATGCGGAAGGTCGCCATCGCCACACCGCTGTGCGTTCGCTGCCGCTTGGGCGCGTCCGATGCCGCGAGAGTTTTGAGGAGCATCTCGACACACGGGATAAGGAAGGCGAGTGTCTTGCCGGAGCCGGTGATGGCCTCCACGCAGACATCTTTGTTGTCGAGGAAGAGAGGGATGGTGATGGCCTGCACGGGCGTCATCTTGATGAAGCCTTGGGCGGCGACGAAGCCGAGAGTGGCTGGACTGAGGCCTTTGACGTCCTCCCAGCGACGGGAGGCCTGCTGTGGCTGTGGACGGGATGAAGAGTCTGACATCGATGTATGTTGGATGGATCTCGATTTAGAGAATTGCCGATGAGTACCTCGGTCCTCCTGCGCCGTAGATGCGACCTTTACTTGGCTGGGTGCGCACTGGCGCATGGCAGATTTTAGCTCGCAGATCGGCCGATTTTGCAGTCAGCAGAAGGAGGCTGAGGCCATTCTCAGAGGGCTCTTTGGAGCCAGAGAGGGAGATACAGCAAACCGCGTCTAAAAATGGCAAACTGATCTTGATCTTGACTGGCTGATCTGCGATGAAGGACGCCTCAGACTCATCAATGGCCTGTGACGGTCAGGATGCGGAGCCAGCCATCGAGATCTGCAACCTCTCTTACCACTACGAGAAGGTGCGGCAGACGTACCTCATCACCGAGCTCGACCAGCGCTACGCCGACTGCCTCACGGTGCGAAACAAACAGGCCCATGTGCCTCACGCCTGCAGTGAGTGACACTGACTCTCTCTCTCTCTCTCTGTGTGTGTGTGTGTGTGTGTGTGTGTGTCGTGTGTTTGATGCAGGACATCAGTCTCAAGATAGCGAAGGGATCTCGTGTGTTGGTGGTGGGCGGCAATGGCGCTGGCAAATCGACCGTTAGTCGGCTTGGCTTGTGTTGAAGGAAATGCATCATGTTCATGTCACGTCGGCTGTGTGTTTCCCTTCCCTCCCTATTGCTGTCCGTCTCTCTACAGCTGCTGAGCATCCTTGGAGGAAGAAAGGTACGCAAAGCAATCACGAGCTGGATTGGATGCATGTGATGTGATGGAGAACATCTGCTGCTATTGACCGACAGATGGTTCCGGAAAGGAGTGCTCTCGTGCTGGGTCGGCCTGCCTTCCACGACTCAACGCTCAGCAACGACGTCATGTACCTCGGCGAATGGTGGAAGAACGGTCAGGGCAGTCAGTCAGCCATAGGCAAACAAAGGCCTGCTCACGATATCTCATTCTTGACATGTACTGTGTTGTGCTGTCTGTCCTGTTGGTTCAGAGTTCTTCATGGATGTGCCGATGCGCGACTGTGTGCGGGAGCATCTGGATGACCCCCGCTTCCAGGTGCTGCGTCGGTGTCTGGATGTGGACCTCGACTGGCGCATCTCGCGCGTGTCCGACGGACAGAGGCGGAGATGCCAGCTGCTCGCACACCTCGCCACGTACGTCACGCCCGTAGCCATCGAATCGATGGACCGACTGTTGTTGTGTGTGTGATGGGTGGGGTGGGTGTGTTGTGGTGCGCATGGCATGGTGTGTGCAGGCGGAGGAAGGTGTACATAATGGACGAGGTGACGACCGATCTCGATGTGGTCGGGAGGGACTCGCTCATGAGGTAGGTGGGCTGGTGTGGCATATGAATCCGATGCGATACACACCGTATGTAAGTAATGACGTGTGTGTGTGTGTGTGTGTGTGTTTGTATGTCAGGATGTTGCGTCTTGAGAGCGAGCGTCGTGGCGTGACCATTCTGTACGCCACGCACATCTTCGATAACATGGAGGGCTGGCCCACACACATACTTTACCTCAGAAAGGGGCAGATCCACACCTTCTGCAAAATGGAAGACTTCACACAGTAAGTAAAAGCATGAGAGCGACACCACACAAGGCAGGTGGACAGGCCAACATGCGTTGACTGACTGTGCCGTGTGTGTCGTGCCTTGTGTGTGAGTGGCAGGTATCACAGACTGCGCGCAGAGGGCTGTCTGATGCCCCTGTATACCGTAGTGCGTGAATGGCTCTATGAGGAGCTTCACGAGGGAAACAGCGGCAGAGATCTGACGCTGACAGACGATGAGCTCCTCGGCGGGTCTACGAGTGGCTGAGATGATTGATATGAGTGAGGCTCTGACGGCTGTACAGTTGTTCTGGTCAGCTGTTTCTTGGTGCACTTGGATCTGTCCATGACATGCGCCTGCCTGCATGTGAGCGCAGCCTGCTTGTCGGCTGCATGCCAGTACTATAACCATTGCAACAATGAGGAAGATTCGTGTCGAAAAGACCTGCAAGGGGTACCCTTCTTGTCCCCCATGCCCCCAGCTGGTTCTGTCGATCGGCTGGAGAAAGGCGCAGATCTGGCCTGACTGATCTGGCCTGTCAAGCCTTCCAGCCTCCTCTCCGACGAGCGCGCCTTCGCGCCTTCTGGGAGCGAGCAGCCTCGACTTTGTTCTCCTCTCCGCTGCCTCGAGCTGATCTGTAGAGCCGGCCCTGGACAACGGACATGCCCAATGCCTGTCAGTCTGGTCGCGAGCTGGCTGTGAAGGACGCCAGTGAGTGGGAGTGGAGCGAGGGGCGGGGCGAGGCGCGGCCACATAGTGCATGCCATTAAGGTAGGGCAGGGAGGAAATGGCAGCACAGTAAGACACAGCGTGAAGTCACCGCGTCGGGTGTGTGTGTCTGCATGTGCATGCGTGCAGGTAGCTCTTTGGCGGCTGAGATGAAGGCTGACGGTCGTCCCTCTGCATCATCATCGTCATCCCTCAGTGGCGTCGGGTCGGTGGTCGAGCAACTCGCAGAACTACTCAGAGAGAAGTCGCATCACAACAGCAGGTCTGTCCGTGGGCATGCACGCGCACGTGTGCATGCACCTCCTCTCTCCTTGTCTGTACCGTGTGTGTGTGTGTGCGTGTGTCTGTGTGTGTGTCTGTGTGTGGTCAGTGACCCCCCTCCCCCGCCCCCTCCCCCCTCCCTCGTAGTAGCCAACACGTCTACACCGGCGCACAACCACACTCACCCCTACCCATCCGCATTTAACGTGTACGCACCGCCGCCACCGCCACCTGACGATGACCACCATGGCATCATCACGATGGGCAACAGAATCGTCAGACGCACGTACGAACGAATGGTCGCCCCACACCCACACCCACACCCCCACACATGTGTACCTATCTGTTGTGTGCTGTGCGCTGTCGTGTTCAGCGGCAGCAAGGTGTATGTGCCCAAGGGCCACCGCCAGCACCACCAGCATCACCATCACCATCAGCTCCATCCGTCACCGTCACCCCCACCCCCGCCCACACGCACCAACACACAGTACTACCAGCCCATGACGACACAGAGAACCGGAAGTAGCGGTCTTGGTGGTGGTGGTGGTGGTGGTGGGTGCAGCGCCAGCAGCAGCACCAGCAGCAAAGAAGCGCCGCCCTACTCGACGGCCATGAAGATGAGATATGCTGAGGTCTCACGGGCACTACAGGTGCGCCGTCCGTGCCAAGAAGGAAGGCCTTTACATGGAAAATGGATGCGCACATGTGTGTGTGTGTGTGTGGGGGGGGGTGTGTGCAGATGCTGCTCAAGGAGGTGGGGAAGGCCATATCGGTCGCGAGCCTGGAGCAGATGTTCATACAACGATTCGACGTCACGTAAGCGACCTGAGCGAGCAGATGAAAGGTCATTGTCAACCTATAACTATGCCTTTCGTGTGTCCTTCCTGTCCGTGTGTGCAGTGTGGATCAGCTGGTGCGCATCCCGCTGCTCGAGTACCTACAGCGCAAGGCGAGCATCTTCATGCTCGAGATGGAGGCCGACCCCCCAATGGTGGCCCTCCACCCCAGCATCATGCAGGGACCCCCACTGGCGGACCTCAACGCGCCTAAGGTACGTTGCATTTCCTTCGTGTGCAAGTGCGTGTTGATGGTGTGTGGTGTGATGGGCGTGTGTGGCTGTAGGATGAGGCGTTTGTGGTAGAGGAGTTCGTCAAGCTCATCGACGACTCGGTGACGCACGGGAGTTTCATCTGCTACATCTCCTCTCTCTGCGGCAAGTTCATCCAGCGCAACTCGCTCTCCGTCACAAGTACGGCAGCGACCCTGCACACACCACCACACACACCCCTGATGGACGGATGGATGGATGGATGGATGGCTGTGTGCAGGCATCATTGGTGTCCGCCCGCTGGATCTGCTCAAGCGACACCCCGAGACCTTCCTGCTCGTCGGAGGGGGGTCAGTCAGCACACGCAGCACAGCACAGGGACAAGCGTCCATCCAAGTATGTGTGTGGATGTGTGTCAGGAACGTGACGCTGCGCAAGTACGAGTGCGAGAGGGAGGTGCAGGAGGTCATCAGTGCCGTCCGCGGCGCGTCCAAGGCTCAGAGAGTCGCCAAGGCCGTCGATGAAGCACAGTAGCCCAGCCAGCCACAAGACACACACCAGGCCCTCCTCATATATAACGTCACTCTCCCTCCGTAGGTATCCCCCATTCAGCACTCGCCGCGAACACCGTCCAGATCGGCTGACGGTGCAGCACGTCGTTGACGAGTTCCGCCGTCTCATTCTACAGGACTGCGCAGAGGGCGTGCAAGTGGTCGGCCGGCCTTTCACCATTCACTCACACGCCACAATAAATTGTGTTCATGTTCATCTTGATCTTCATGTTTTTTTTGTGTGTGTGTGTGTGTGTGTTTTGTGTGTGTGTGTGTGGTCGTCCTGTGCAGGTTTACATCTCGTCGCTATGCGGTCGGTTTCTTCAGCGCTATGGCGTGCCGGTGACCAAGATCATCCAGTGCCGACCAGCAGACTTCCTCCGACAATACGACCACATATTCGTCATGACCGGTGCATTCTCTCCCCTCCCACACACACATATCATCGCTCCTCCTTGTGTGTGCAGGGGGCGGCAATGTGGGTCTGCGTGAGGTCCTGGGCCACGACATTTCCTCGGTCCCCCCTCCCCCGCCACGCACCGGCATCATCGACACACCCGCAGCAACATCCAAGCAGCACGCCAGCACCACGCAGGGCGTCTACAGCCACGGTGACGACTACAGCTACATTGACGAGGGGTATGGTGGGTCAGGGGAGGCATCGGAGGAGCGTGAGATCGCCGCTTTGGAGCGGATCCACCAGTGGTGCACCGAGCAAGCAGAGAAGGAGGAGCATTTCCACACGGTGAGGGAGGGAGGGATGTTGACACTCATACGGTTCCAATATCCTCGCTCTCTCTCGCTCTGTGTGTGTGTGTGTGTGTGTTTGTGTGTGTGCAGGGCGTCTCACCCCCACCACCCCCACCACCCCCGCCCCCACCCTCCACGGACAGTGATGGCCTCGGTGTGCAGTCCTTCACACCCGACGTGATGCGGCTGCAGCAGCCAGAGCAGCCACAGACGGCACAACAGACAGAGGGCGGGTGCAGTGATGGCGATGTCTTGACGGACGCTTCGTTGACGGAGCTGCATGACCGGCTGGTCAACGACAAATATACACACATGTATGGGAGGGAGAAAGAAGCAGAGGGAGGGCGAAAAGCGTCACATGCTCTGTCTGTCTGTCTGTCTCTCTCTGTCTCTCTGTCTCTCTGTCAGTGCTGCCCGAGCGGTGCGTGTGGTGTGCGAGGTGCTCAAGCGGCAAACCGCCCTCCCAGTGGCCGACATACTCCTCGGTGACACACCCACACATCCGCCCACACATTCGCCCACCCATCCATGCTCCCTCTCTCTCTCTCATCTGTGCCTGCAGGTGGCTCGGTTGCCTGTGGCGTGACCTCGCTCGAGGCTACGGACGTCTCCCTGGTCCTCTGCGTCGACACCCTCTCCCGGCACAATCCCGGGGCGTGGCTCTCGCCCTCACTCGACACGATCAGGTCGGTCCTGGAGTTGGGCCTCCCGGCCCACCCACCGCACCACCTCATCCCCAGAGAATTCGACACACACTACTCCAAGGGCGCTGTGACGTTCGGTGCGCACACACGACAGACGAGAGGTGTTTATGATATGTGTGAAGGGGGTCTGACAATTGTGTGTGTGTGTGTGTGGTGTGGTGTGGGGTCAGTGCTGCATCCGATGCCGCTGGCGTTGGGGAGGGGCGATGTGGCTGTGGGCGAGCTGCAGGCGATTGCTGGCGGACGGGGGATGACGTTCAGGTGAGGAGAGAGGGGGAGGGAAAGCCACATGTATGTATGTGTGGCGGTGTGTTGGTGTGTGGCGGGGTCAGTGTGAGCGTGGTGCCCATGTTTCACGGCCTGGAGGATGTCTGGAGCTGTCTCGACGCCACACCGCCGTCGCTGCGCTTCTGCATCGAACACGCGCTCACCAGGGAGACCACCGAACTCATTCTCAAACAGACACCAAAGGTAATGAACATATCGACAGAGAGAGATAGAGAGAGAGATACCTGCCGTCTTCATGGACTCGTGTATGTGCGTTGCCGTATTGTCTGTCGTCCGTCCGTCAGGTGAAAGCCGCGATGCGTCTGATGGAGTTCTGGCGGCTGCACCAGGCGTGGAGCTCCCCCCGCACCACCCCCTCCCCCTACACCACAGCCCTGCTCACCCTACACGCAGCCCACCTGCACCTCCTCGACACCCAGCCCCACGAGTCACCCCTCGCTCAGCAGCACACCACCAACAGCAACGGCAGCAGCAACAGCAACAGCGTCGCCCACCTCGCCCCGCCCGGCTGTGGGCCGTGGGAGATGGTGAAGCGGACTTTTGGCGTGATGGAGGGGTTTGAGACGGTGCGCGTGGTGTGGGCGGATGTGGGATTGGCGGCTTACACGGTGAGGGAGGGAGGGAGGGATGGCGCGTTGGGGTGGGAATGTGTGTATGGTGGTGTGTGGTTTGGTGTGGTTAGTACCCGAGCATATGGCCGGCACTGATGGGTCATGAGCGCATCCTGATGGACCCCGTCAACCCCTACAAGAACCTAGCTGGTCCGTCCGTCAGCCGAAATGACACACACCACACGCCCCTCCATCGCTGCGGCCCACTCCATCTCTGTGTGGTGTGCAGATCCGTCAGTGTTTGACTGCACCGAGTTGGTAGCCTTCGCCCAGCCTTCACGGTGGATGGACTTCTTCCGCCGTCACGTCACTCTGACACTCCAGAAGAAACGGGGAGGAGCAGCGGCACCCACACTGCCGGTAGGCGAAAGACACTCAGACAGACAGACAGACAGGCGGCTTCAGCCACACAGACACCATTCTCCCCCTCTCTCTCTCTGTGTCTGCACAGGTGTCTTCTCTCACCGGTCTCAGTCTCATTCGCACCCACACGGCCACGACAGTCACGACGCAGCAGCAGCAGCAGCATGACGACTACTCGCCATCCTCATTTGTCATCCCCAAGCAGCAGAGTGACCCCACCCCGCACAACTCGGACTGCACCACCACCACACACGCGTCATCGGCAGCCACGGCAGCCGCATCTGGACAGCGTCAGGTGTCCTTCTTTGCCAACTTCATGGGGGAAGACACCATGACGGGCAGCAGTGAGGTCACACCGATGTCTGGCTTGCAGGTGAGATAGATGAAGAGGAGAGCAAAAGGCAAGGCGGTCTGTGTGGGACGTCCATGTGCGTGTGTGTTGTGTGTGTTTGGTTGTGTCAGGGTGCGTGTTGTTCGTCTGGGTTCTACTTCCCCGATGCGTCACCGGTGGCCAATCGTGGCAGTGGCACGACGACCGACGTCTTCTCCACCACTCTCCCCTTCCCCAAGGACACCTACCCATCAGCCGACAGCACCCACGCCCCCACTCCAGCCATCGACCTTAACACCGCAGAGATCGACCAGTGGACGCCCCCCTCACCCAGACCACTGCTACCATCCCTCGGCGGCCGATCCGTCCCACTCGACGAGACTGCCGGGGGCAGCGGCAAGGCACCCGGCAGCACCAGCAGCAGCGTGACCTTCCCCATATTCGCCGAGCGCATGTCGCCATTCGACGTGTCGTCACTCTCCCCATTGGAGAGGCGAGATGCCGGCGCGGCCGACAACAGTGCGCCATTCTCCCTGCCGGCGGCAGCAGCATCAGCAGCAGCGAGGGACGGCTCACACATGCTGGCAGGGTGTGGGTGGGGCGGCAGTGGGCTGTTCGGCATTCCGCTTGGTGCTGGTGGTGGTGGTGATGGTGAGGATGGTGAGGCGGACATCAAGAACGACGAGACCTTCTGCCCGCCCCCGAGCTTCAACCTCAAGCTGACACTGGGAGAGGAGGACGACATCGATGAGACGAACGAGGCGAATGAGACGACGGCAGCACCCACCACGGCAGCAGCAGCAGCAGCAGCAGCACCGACGGCCACAAACGGGGAGAAGGACAAGAGGAAGGGCAGGGGGCATGGCAAGGGGAAAGGGGTGTCGTGGGCCATGCTGGTGCGCATGGGGGCGCTCGACCCGAAGCACCACAAGTGAGTGACCAGGGTGAATGGGTGGGGGGGTGGTCCTTCTGCCTTAGTTAGTCGAGTCATCATCTCTATCATGCCTAGATAAATCAACACCAGTTCCTGACGGGCGGGGCGGGTCGGCTATGGGGTGGGTGGTGTTCGTGGATGGGCACAGTATACCCATCGGACTGAATGACATGGAGAGGTCATGCACCTCAGTCTTAGTAGCTACGTATCCGATGCTTTCTACAGAGCAGATATAGCGAGGGAGGGAAAAGAGTGGAACTAGCTTCCTCCACACCAGCCATTCAGTGCCAGTGTCTAGCTTTGCCTTCCTACATGCATGCCTTCATGCAATGTCACTGCCCTTGTACAGACGTGGTTTGTTTTGTCTCCTTTACGAGAGAGAGGTCTGTTGACGCATTGACGAAGGGCGGGACGCGTCAAGCGTGGCGTTGTTGGAATGGAATGTCAGAACGAACGAGAGAGAGAGAGAGAGAGGGAGGGAGGGAGGGAAAGCGGCTTTCCCCTCTATACGGCGCAGGATGCGTGTGTGTGTGCAGAAAGACGCCTTGCCTTCGTGGTGTAGTAGTGCCAAGATGTGGTGTGGTGTGGTGTGGTGGCATGTGTAGCAAGCAACCTTATTCGGGCAGCCCATTTTCCTCCTCAAGAAGAGCTCATGCAGCTCATTCTGGGCGGGCTCTGGAAGGAGGAATGCAACGGCAGTGGTGGTTCCATACCTTATACAGTATACAGGGGAACTAACTGGGTGTGTAGATATGTACGCGTCATTGGACGCATGGCATGGACGGAGCAGACAGACAGACAGACACTCTGAGTGTCTCGTTGTCGCGTCGCGCCTCTGTATGGGTGTATCTGCCCATGTGTACATACGCACGAAGGGACAACGGAGCGTTGGATTGGTATTGGTGTTGGTGTCGGTGTTGATGCCAGTGCGCACGGGGATTGACACCGCTGGGCTGTATTTGTTTGATGTCGGGATCCTGGCGGTTGATGTCGTCTCTGACATGTCAGGAGAGGCCATCAAGCGTCGTGATCGCGAAGATGCAAACAGACCAGTGGTGGCATCCCCGCGCGTACGCACCATGTCTGGTGCCACGTGTGATGTGTGTATCCGTACCATGTTTGTTTTCACTGGTGGAGCGCTGAGTTGGTGTTGATGGGCATGTCCACAAGTGGCTGACTGACACCGCACCGTCACGTTTGATTTCACACGTCAAGACAGAGCAGTGGTGCCATACAGACAGACAGATAATCTTGAAAGCGATGTTTGGTGCCACGTATGTATGTTTTTCCTCTGTGTTTTCCCCGCCGCCGTTTTCCCTTCCGAGGCGTTTTCGGCACCAACGAGCACCAACCCAATCAGCTGTCGATAACTCTGCTACTCCATACTGCCTGGTGCACTCATTGCGCGTGCATGTATGTGTGTGTTGGTTGGTAGCGCACCAGCAGCAGCCATTCCTCCCTCTTCCCTTCCTGCCATAGCTGTGTGTGTGTCTATGTGTGTCTCGTCCTGTGTGCTCCTCTGGCCGTGAGTGTTTTAACTGTCTGCCATCTCTCCACACGTACCCACCTACTCTAATGATACGCTCATGGACGAAGAAAATGATGGATGCCGCTGCGGGCCGCCAAGGCCATATGAATGCTGCCTGTCTGTCTGTCTGTCTGTCTTGGCTGGCCCAGTGCAGTGCGATTCATGCAATGCTCACTGCCCTTGTGCAGCCAGCCACAGAGTTGTGTGTCCGCCTTTGTGTGTGTGGATCGGCGCGACGAACCTGAGACACACACAGCAGCCCATCCCACATACACAGATGATCGTAACGAAAGCAGCGTGTGGTGACCCTCGTCACTGCAGATTCACAAAATCCCTGCGTGGTTGATCTGGCCGTCCTCAGTCGACGAGGGCACGTCACAGTGTAGCCCCTTAACACCGCGAGCTTTTTGGAAACCCTGCGAGCCAGCCCGGAGAGAGGAAAGAGGAAAAAAGCCCGCGCGTAAAGGGATGGCTGAAGACCGCATCCTTAGTCGATGCCTCATCGTGAGGCCACTGGTCTCATCATCAATGGCACTGCTGATCTATCAGCTGATCTGCACTGCTGCTGCATTCCAACCACCGCCCTCATACAGCAGACTGAGCGGCCTGCGGATGTCTTCACAGCGCGCAGACGCAGTAGCTGAAGCCAACACAGACAGGAGGAGTCTCGTCAAGGGCATTGCTGCTGCTGGTGTTGGTCTGGGGCTGGTGGGCGGCAAGCGGGTGATTGACGGGCCCGTCTACAGCAACGTCGTCGACTTGAGTGGGGAGAACATCGTTATCACTGGGGTGGGTGAGCACAGGACGGTGGTGATGAATCGCCTGCTGACCGGGGCGCACTTCGTTTGGTGTTGGTTGGTGCAGGGCAACACTGGGCTTGGGAAGGCCGCTGCTGTCCGCCTTGCAGCTCTCGGTGAGAAGCGATGGACCCCTCACTTCACACGATGTGTCGTGCTGTGCTGTGTGTGGATGTGCTGCCGGTGTTGTCACGTGCAGGTGCTGCGGTTACGATAGCCTGTCGGTCTCCATCCAAGGCCGAGGCGGCTGTCAAGGACATCCAGCAGGCCAGCGGGTCATCAGCTGTCGATGCCGTCCCCCTGGACCTCACGTAAGCATCAGCCACACCGCTCTGCTGCCGACTAGGATGCCATCAGGGCAGGGCTTCCCCCCTGTTTGTGGGTGTGCAGTGATTCCTCGTCGATTGCGTCCTGTGCGAGAGAACTGTCTGGCCGTCTGGGCAAGATTGACGTGCTGATGAACAACGCTGGCGTGATGGCCATTCCCAACAGAGAGACCACCGCAGACGGATACGAGAAACAAATGGGGGTGAGTGAGTGAGTCTGTCAGCAAGGAGGCGACGCATAGCATCCGGCGTCATTGCATATTCTCTCTTGCCCGTCTGTCCGTCCGTTTTGAACAGATCAACCATCTGGGTCACTTTCGCCTCACCAGCCTGGTGCTGCCCCTGCTGGCCGCCGCCTCCACACCACGAGTCGTCAACGTGTCCTCCAAGGCACACACTCTCGTAAGCACCATGCCTGACCTGACAGACTGACGCATGGGCGAGCCACCGGGTGAGAATTCGGTCTCCCCTTTCCCCTTTCTCTCTATCAGGCCAAGCTTGACTTCAGCGACTTTTTTCTGACGAAGGACTATGACCCCTGGGTGGCTTACGGCAACAGTAAGCTGGCCAATATATTGTTTACCAAGCAGCTCAACCAATGGGCCGCAGAGGGCAGCCTCGGCAACGCCGCGGGCAACCTCCGGCAGCTCACGGCCGTGAGCTGCCACCCTGGGCTGGTGAGAACTGAGCTGGGGCGGTACTTCTTCAACACGGACAACATTCCCCTGTTCCCGTTCGGCTGGCTGCTCACCCCACTGCTCATCCCTGGGTGGGAAATCAAGCTAGAAAGGGCAATGGATGGGTGTGGGCGGTGTGTTGGTTCCATTCCATCTCTGTGCACACTGTGTGTGTGTGCGGTCTGCGTGGAATCAGGATCTACGCGAGTCGGTCGCCCGAACGCGGTGCGCAGACGCAGATCTACTGTGCGGCTGAGCCCACACTGCAGGTCACTTCAGTGACAATGAAGCAAATGAGTGTCTCTCGTTGATCAACCGAGTACCTGCTTCTGGTGCGCGTGTGTGTAGGGAACAGCTGGGGGCGAGTATTTCGAGGACTGCCACATCAGTACTCCGTCAAAAGACGCAAGGGATCGACAGGTGCGGAGAACGGACTGGTGCGTTCCCTGTCACTTGTGTGTGTTGATGGAATGGCCTGCTGTGTGTGATGTGATATGTTGTGTTGTTGTTGTCAAGATGGCGGCGCGGCTGTGGGAGGTGAGCGAGAAGCTGACAGGGGCCTCATGGAACGCATGACTGACACGACAGAGCGATGCTGCGATGGATGGATGGATGGATAGATGAGATACTGAGAGGTCGCTGAGAAGAGGAGTGTCAGAGAGATATCGTTTTGGGTGGGTCAGCCATACTTGTGCAGCACTTGTGAGGGGTGGTTTGTGAATGAAGACCTACACTGTAGGTGGAAGAAAATCTCAGGGTGCGGTCTGCACGTGATGTCAGAGACTTGACACCAGAGAGAGGTGAATTCACCGCTTCATTCGTCGGCTCAGCAGTCTGTCTGTCGCGTCACGACAGAAAAGCACGCATCCGTCCACCCACCCGCATACAGAGCCTCACTCTTCAGACAGACAGTCTGCTTTGTTTACACCGATATGTGTCTTTCGGCTGATAGCACCACATCGACCAACCCTAGGCCTCAAGGTGATCGGTGAGTTGCAGCAGCCGAAAGGCACATGCTGGTGCACAACAGCACGTATATGGTCCGACAGACTGGGTCATGAGAAGAAAGAAACACCCATCTCTCTCCGCGAGCATTTCTCAAGCCAAATGTCCCCCTCCCACACAAGCAGCGGCCCACACACATGGCATGGCATCAACAACACTTGCTGTCACACTTGTGCAGCGAGCTCTTCATCATGCGCACGAGAAGGGAAGACAAGTGGCTGCAGACCCAAGTCACGGCCTGCCGCCTCTTTCCTCTCCATCTCGTCCGCATGATGGAGAGCTCGCTGAAAGAGCACAACAGCATGTGAGCATGAAGGGAAACAAACGCCGATCTCTCATACTCGCTCCAGTCGCGGGCAGCATCGTCACCATCTCGGGCGGTGGTTGCAGTACCCGAATGGGTTCTTGAAGAGGTACATCTGGTGGTAAATCTCTGCCCGCCAGAAGTCGTCAGGCTTGGCGCTGACGATCTCGGTCACGATGGGGCTGCTCCACCTGGCCTGCATCTCCTCCTTGACCTTCTCGGCCGCCGCCTTCTGCTCGTCGGAATGCACAAAGATGGCCGACCGATACTGCGGACCAACGTCGTTCCCCTGACACACAGGAAGTAAGAGAAGACACACATGGCTCTTTCCCTGTGTGTCCGTGTGTTGTGGTGGTCAGCCGCCCAACTCACCTGTCTGTTGGGTGTGGTAGGGTCATGGATGCGGAAGAGGTACTCGCACAGCTGCGCGTAGCTGACCTTGTCGGGGAAGTACTCGATCTGCAGGGCCTCGGCGTGGCCGGTGGTCTTGGAGCACACCTCCTCATAGGTGGGGTCGGGCTTGCTGCCGCCCATGTACCCCACCGATGTGCTCTTCAGCGCTGCCCCAAACTCATTGCGGAAGAACCTACACATCACGTCCCATCACATCACATCACATCACACGGGGAGGCTATGGCTCCTGCGCTCAGATCACTGACTTTTCGATGCCCCAGAAGCAGCCGCCAGCGAAAGACGCGTACTCCGAAGGCGCATCCTTGTCAGCGCCCTCCACATAGTTTGGCGCGGTGGCAGGCTTGCGCTCGTCGACTCCCAGGAAGGCCGCCATCAGGGGTGTGGTCGTGAGTGCTCGCCTGAACGGGCGGAGTGCGGCAGGGGACTGCTGCACGAGCCGCTGCAGCGACTGTGAGGAGGGAAGGGTGAAGGAGAAAGATGGGCTGAGTGCGACGGACAGGGCTACGCAGATCTTCAACGAACTCATCGCATTCCTTCCTGTTGCCGTGTTGGTAGTCTTTTGCAGCCGCGACGGTTCGTGTCTTTGCCTCGCAGAGTTACGGGCTAAAGTCCGTTTCGCCTTCTTAAAACGGAAGTCCATGCGGCTGAGGACTGAAGCGGCTTCTGTTCGCTATCGTGGCCTTCCCTTCCCATAGGCCGGCCTCGAGCACGATGCATTGTTGATAGCCATCGGCAGTCTTAGCTACCGCGCAACTTGTGGTTCCGCTTCCCTCGGCCTCTACAATGACCGACAGGATGGCTCAAGTTGCGGGAGAGATACAGTGGGGCGTCCCGGCGTACCCCCTTCATCCCATTCCCACCTCCAGCCACCAACCTGAACCCAACGGGGTTCTTTCGCAGCCCCCCGCCATTTCGCGTGCCATCTACGAGCAGTACGCTAGCTACCAGGCCCTTGCTGACCTCTACGGTGGCCTGCCCGTCCCGCAGAATCCCCCCCACCTCCTCCCCAGCCCCCAACCGCACACACGCAGCTCCCCGGCCAGTGACGCCATCGGCACGGCGAGTTCGTCCTCGTCTGCACACCAGCAGCAGGTGTGGCGGATGCCTAGCGGGCATGAGATCGCTGCGGCGCACAGCTTCCACCGCGCTGTGGAGGCCATGCAGGCGGGAGCCGGGGAGGGCAGCAGCGCACTTCTGCAGACGGACCATCCGGCTCCCGGCCGTCATCTGCAGCTGGTGTCGGCCATCCAGCAGCGAGAGATGGCCGACGAGCCACACCCACACCCACCCCAGGCTGCGTCCGATGACCACCAAAACCACCACACCGGTGCCGGCAGTAGCAACGGTAGCAACAAGCGCCCCCTCACCGAAGAGGAGGTGCCCGAGTCGTCGATGGCGGTGCAGCCGTACGAGATGCCGGCGTTCAAGCCGTTTGACGGCGAGGCGCCGGTGCTGGTGCAGGGGGTGCTGCGCAACAAGCGGATCGAGATCCGCAAGGCATACCTGCAGCTGGAGGAGGAGGTGATAGCCAAGTACATGTCGGATGCGGAGCCGGCGCAGCTCGTGTCGCGACTGGTGCGGGAGAACCGGGATTGGGTGTTCGGGCTGTACAGTAGGAGCTTCCCAGGCTGGAGATCTGGCGGCGATAAGGCCAGAAAGTAAGAAGAGAACCACGGACGGGCCCTCAGATGTGTGTGGGTGGACACGTGTGTGTGTGTGTGTGTGTGTGCAGGTTGCGTCCGGTGTGGTGCCGTCACGTGGAGATCAACACCACGTACGCGGTGGTGGACAACTCGAGCGGCGGCATCATCAAGGCCCACAGCAGCCTCAAGTACCTCCCCACTCCGCCAACCGCCCACACCTTCGTCTGCGTCAAGCACATCGAGTGCAAGCCCATCCAGGACAGTCAGATGGAGGAGGCCCGCGAGAAGGGCATGCAGGTGCTGCAGCCCAACCCGATGGTCAAGATGGCCATCGTCGTGGTCCCACACGAGGAGCGGAAGCCCAACCACAACTTCGCCGTCACGGTAGCGACGCTCAACCAGGAGATCGCCATGAAGCAGGCCAAGAAGCGATACGGCACGGCCAAGAAGCTGGCGGGGTCATCGGGAGGGAGCAGCAAGGGGGAGGGTGGTGGAGAGGACCAGGGCATCGAGCACCCCATCACAGTGCCCCACCCGTCCCTCTCCCTCCTGGCCGGCCTCCCGCCCCTCGCACCCCCGCTCAACCTCCCAGGTGTGGGCGGCTTCGCAGAGCTCGCCATGATCCAGCAGCAGCAGCAGCAGCAACAGCAGCAGCAACAGGAACAGCCCACCACCGGCAGCAGCAAGCGGCGCCGGAAGGGTGGGGGCAGCGGGAGCAAGCGCGAGGCGGCGTTGGCGGAGTTGGCGCAGGAGGTGAACGTAGCTGAAGCGATTGGCGGCGTGAAGGTGGAGCAGGCGGATGCTGCCGCCAATGGGGAGGAGGGGCAAAACACTTAGGATAAGGTTGACGAGAGGCGGGGTGCGGTGGTGTGGGGTGTGGGTATTGTAGAGATGGGGTGGGGTAGATGCGTCCATTGCCTGAGAGAAAAAGGGACTGACTGCCTGCCTGGCTGGCTGGCTGGCTGAGGAGTGGCGTCATGTCGTGTCATGACTGGTGAGGAGGTGTCATGACTGCCTGCTGCATGCAGATACACCTGTATGATCGATATGCCATACCATGCTTGCCTGGATGTATGGATGGATGGATGGATGGTTTTTTGAATGCCGCTGTCTGTCTAATTATTGGTTGACTGACTGAGTGGCTGCATACCATATGGTATACGCTGGTGTCACTCACTTGTGCAGACGTGCGGGGCGTGCGCTTGATGATTTGTTTGGCCGACTGACTGACTGACTGACCGACTGGAAGGAACCGCTTGGGTGTTGAGATGAAAACCAATGCATCGCACAGACGCGGGATCAAGCTGATGGGGTGGGTGGTGTTCACACGCTTGTCTTTCACCTTCACCTACTAGCCCACACACCGATTCCCCCCACTTTTAGGAAGGCTAGCGACACACATAAATGCATAAATGCGCTCACTCATTGACACACACACACACACACACACTCGGGCGTATATACACATGGGGCTGTGGGTATGCAGTCGATCAGCAAAAACGCGACTCTACAATCCACAAAGGGATGGAAAACTCACACAACACTGCGCATACACGTGTACGCACCTCTCTCGGTCTGCAGTGAGCGCCTCTTCGAGGCCTCACGCACACTCCGCCCCCTCTGTGTGCACACAGCACACTGACACACACACAGAGGGGGCACAGATGAATGTCTCCCCAATCGACTCGACCCCCAGGAAGCACAAAAAGCCCTCCCTCCAGGTAGCAAAAAGCAAGTTTTGAGCAAAAGAGAAGAGCTCATCGAGATCTCCTCCATGTTAGCCGAATCTGAAGACCTCGAGCATGAGGTGCATCCTGCCGTTGCACCAGCCGTCCGCCTGCGTGAAGCGCCACGCCTCCTGCGCCATCGCCTCGGGGCCGCACACAAACACACCTACGCACACACACACAGACAAACACGCCGACCATCCACACACAAAGGGGTGTGGTGTCGCCAGCTCACCGATGTGTTTTGGTGGGTGAGGTGAGGTCTGCAGCTTCTCGGCTGCCTGTGTGAGGAAGTCCGTGAGATTCCCCCTCCCCCGCTGCACACGCGCGTCGCCCTCGCCGTTGAGCGCGATCAGGTCGCTGTCGGTCGCTTCTTTGTTGGTCAGAAAAAAGCCGCACCTGACACAGACAGACAGACAGACAGGCAGACAGACAGGCAGACAGACAAGGAGGATGGGTACTAAATGTGGTTGTGTCGTGTTTGCTGTGTGGCTGGCTGGCTGGCATACTTGTCTGTGGGGATGTGCCTGAAATGGTTGGCCATCACGTCGAACATGCCGGCGTCACGGAATGACCAGTACGCACAGCCCACCTGACAATCATACACACACACACACACACACACACATGGGGGGGCGAGCTTGACTCATCCACCATTTATTCTCTCTCTGCGTTCACCAACGCCCTGACCACCGACCGACCTTCTGTGCGTTCAGCGTCGCGACAACGGATGCAACAGCCGTGACACCAGAGCCGCCCGCAACGAACAATATCGCGTCATAGTGCTTCATCTTCTGCTCAAAGCTGTGGCCATACGGCCCCCCGATGGCAACGAACGGCATCTCCACCCCTTTTGCCTCTCCCCCTCCCAATCCCCCGGCCCCCTCCCTCGCCCTCTCCTGCTTGTCCTGCAGCAAGGCCACCTTCTCCGCCAGTGCGGGCGTGAAGGCCTTGTACAGGCCGAGACGCTTCTTGGGGTCCATGACCTTGACGAGGAGAGCGAACCTGCCGTCGACAGTGGGTGGCGGGAAACCCTCCCCCTCTCCCTTTCTGTGTGCTGCCGCTGTCGTCTCGTCGAGGACAGGGACGATGCTGAAGGGGTGAGAGATGTTGCTGATGGATGGCATGAAGAGGGAGCACCACTGGCCCGGCCTGTGGACGAAGCCGCGCTTCTCGATCTGCAGGTAGACGGAGCCGTCGACCACTCGTGGGGGGCAGGAGGGGTCCAGCTGAGATCTCTGGTAGGTGACCGACATGATCGCCTCATACAGGTAATCGAGGACCACCAACGCCGTCGCGGCTGACATGGAGAGAGAGAGCAAGCCATCCTTCTCGCATCTGCCTGTCTGCCTGTCTGCCTGAGTGTGTGTGTGTGTTGCCTACCCAGTACGAGGTAGGAGAGGTTCCTAGCGTCTTCCCTCCAGGTGTCGCCGCCAACGTCTAGATGGAGGGCGATGAAGATGCCCGCTAGAGGCATCAAAGAGTGGAACTGCCGGAACACGGCATACGCCGGCACCCGCATGAAGCCCGTCAGCACAGCCACCCACAGAATCGCACCTGCGCCACACACACACACACACACACACACACAAGAGAGAGAGAGAGAGGGACAGAGAGAGAGAGACGAATCGGTGAGATGAGCGATGGGGAGCGGTGGCAAAGGGACTGACACACCGGCAATGATGCCCCACAGGAAGTTCTGATCCAGTTCCTCGATCAGGATGATGATGAAGTGGACGACGGTGAAGTAGGCGGCGATCAGGGAGAAGAAAATGTGGTACTTGAGCGATCGCTCGAACCCAAGACCAAACGCCACGGGATTCAACGTCATCTACACACACACGAGGTACTGGATGGTGTGTGTGTGTGTCTATGTGTGTATGTTGCCAACGGACCTTTCTCGGTGTGAGGAGCAGAGCCGTCGTGAGTGCGAGTGCCGTCCCATGCTGAATCGCGAAGCCGATCGACTGAACAAGACACGCAGGCCACGCACAGGCGAGGTGGGATGAAAGTGGGTGAAGGTCGGGCGGGTGTGTGGTGCTGAGCTGGGCTGAGCTGAGCTGAGCCACCGACCCTTCTGGCTGTGAGGGCGTCCCTGAGCTCGTTGTACTGGTGAACCACCATATAGACGATGCAGGCCGAGATGCCGCCGACCACAAACACACCTGATGATTGATGCGATGCCACACACGCACACGTCGCCCACCGGACATTCGCTGGCTGGTGCGTGGCTGCATCCGTCCCGCGCTGTCCTTCCTCACTTGTGAGAGACATGGAGCCAAACGTCTCCAGATACTCGTAGCCAGATCTGAGTCCACACACAAACGTGCTTGCGCGCGCCCTCCCACAGGTGACTCACTTGGGCGGTGCGAAGAGTGGCCTGGTGAGGATGGCCCGGAGCCTGTTGGTGGGCGGCAGGAGGTGCAGCAGCACCCCCAGCACCAGCACCGAAACCAACACGATCAGGTACACCCACAGCGGCCAATTGGTCGACTCCTCCACCTACGATTGTGCGGGGACGGGACGGACACAGCAGGCCATATATCATCTGTTTGCACCGCATAGGTCAATGAATGGTCTCTCCGTGGTGCTCGCTTCGCTTACGGCTGGGGCGTCAGTGACGGTGAAGCCCTCACCGACAGACGGCGGGAGGGTGTCAATGGTGGGGTCATCTTTCGCAAGGGCAAAGTCTGTCACGGGCGCCTGAGCCGAGATGCCCTTGCGGTTCCTGAACACACACGCACGCACAATCCATCCACCCATTGTGGTGTGTGTGTGTGTGTGTGTGGTGGGTGCAGGGGCTGTGCCTGCCATCCATTGTCTGTGTGAAGCTCACTGGAATGCTGGTCTCACGAAGATGCGCGTGGCGTTCTCGACGGGCATCGATTCTCCCTGCAGCGGCAGCACAAAGAAGCTCTTGTCGCGGCCAATCTAAGAAGCACAAGAGGGCAGAAACAAGAATCTAAGGAGCACAGGAGCCCAGGAGGACAAAGCCGTCCCGTTGACCTACCGAGAAAGTGAATCGGTCCGACTCTCCACTGTCAAGCTCGAAGTAGACCTCGAACCGCCCGAAGCACACACACGTGTTGTCCCAGGAAGGATAAGCACCCAGATTCACCCGGGCCTGCACCAACCTGCACACAATTATCCCAACAATCAGTGGTGCAGCGAAGCGCGACTGGCCAGTCTGTCTGCAGACCCACACATCGCACACGTGCACCCACCCTGAGTCGACGGAGGTGACGAGTCCACCACCAGGGACGGCCGGGTCATCGAAGGTGCACGACGGCTTGGGGGTGGTGTCGTCGCGCTCCGAGGGATGAGAAATGTCGTCAGTTGCGTCCCTGTGAGTGAGGAGATAGAGGTGCGGCGTGTGTGTTGTTGGTTGATCTGATTGCCTGCCTGACGGGCTGCTGACAGACCTGATGTAGGCTGGGTTTCGGCCACCATTGCTCTGGAACACACAGCACGGGTCGCCCAACTCATCGCCGTTCGTCTTCAAGTCGCCGTCGGTGTCTTTCTGTCAATCCACAAGCAAACCACACACAGGCACCGTATCTTCTCCTTGCCTGGAGTGGTGTATGGTCCTACTTCGCACAGTGCAGTGGTCCATGAGGGAACGCAGCTCAGCGGCTCCACGTCACCACAGCTCAACGACACCACATCATTGCCAAACTGATCGATGAGCAAACCAAAGCAAACAGACAGACAGACACATGACGAGGTCCAACCAGTGCTTGTTTCGCTTACATCGTTGAAGTTCGGTCCACTGCCGCAGCTGGGGTGCGTGATGCCACGGCAGCCAGGTGGGTATCTGGGCACAATTCTGGTCTCGTAACCGGTATACCCCTCACACCTCCAACACCTCAGCAGCGGCAAAACCAGAAGACTCCCAACCCACGAGCCAAGTGCACGAGCCATTCTTCTCGGGAGCTTAGGGCTCCAGCTGCAACAGCTTCAAAAGCACCTCGCCAAGCGTCAATCTTGGTGCGAATATCAATGCTTTCAGGCCTCCGTCTTTCGGCTAAGCTCGCAGTTTCGAGCTCGCACGCTAATTGGAAAGCTTCTCGAGAACGCCACATCACAGCTAGATTCACGTTGTCCCGATGGCCGCAGTGGCGATGAGTCCCATGAGGACAACGCTGCCATATGACTCGCTGCCTGAGGACCTCGTGACGATGATGCTGGCCTTCCTGGACGTGGACTCGCTGATGCGCACCCGCAAGACGGACCGCCACCACCGCATGCTGCTCGGCGTGGCCTACCTGCAGCTCCGGCTGTCCCTCGTGGTCAGCAGCCTCACTCTTGCACTCGGCCACACATTGGACATCCCTCTGCCGCAGCTGCCACTCCCTCTTGCACTGAGCGCCGTCTCTGCAACGACCATGGTGATCCGCGGGCTGGCGCGGCGACTCTGGATGCTCGAGAAGGGCGGTCGTTGGGCTCGGTGGAAGGCCATTCTCGAGATGGTCTTCTTCATGCGGGGTCGGAAGGTTGTGGTGCTGGGCGATGAGAGCTTTGGGGTGTTCAGCCGGCGGGAGGCCTTCCTGCGGGCCCCGGAGGCGGTCAGGCAGTGGAAGATGCTCAGCAGAGAGACGTGTGTGTACCATGCGACGAGCGATAGCACCAGGCCACTGATGAGCGGCGACGGGATCATGCGCTTTTACACCGACCCCTACCGACAGCCCACTGTGCGCGCCACTGCCAGCCCTATGTTCCCTTGCGGCTTTGACCGCACCGATCCCACCTCTGAGATCGACGGCCGCACGTACGTCACATACTCCAACCTGATCGCCTTCAACCTCATGCTGTGCATCATGCGCCTTCGCCCCGCCGTCTACCGCCACCAGTGGACCACAACCGCCACTGAGTCGGCCGCTTTCCAGCGGGCGACCACAATGATGCGCGAGGGGTTCGAGTCGACCGACACGCTGCTCCCGGGAGTGCACCAGATCTCCTACAACATGAAGCGCGTGATGCTGACAAATGGGATCGAGGACGGGTTCATGGCGTTTGTGCAGATGATGCAGTGGACGTCGATGATCGGCAGGTCGATCCAGGTGGACGTGCTGACCAGCGAGGGCGCGCCGTACGCCGTCACACGCGGTAGGCTGGATCGCGTGATGGGCGACGTGTTGGGGGATGAGGTTTGGGTGAAGGGCAAGAAGTACAGGGAGCGCAGGTTCTGGGAGGAGGTCGGGTGAGTAGTGAGGTAGTTGTGTAGCTGTGTCTGTCTAAGTTGCTTAAGGGGAGAAAGAGGGCGAGAGCTTGACGGTCTTTTGTTGACGCGTTGGATGTTGCGTCCACTTGGGCGTGTATGTGATGTGTGCGACCATTCAGTATGAAGTGAAGCGTGTCACCATTCACTCAGACACACCAGACACAACACATTAGATGCACATCATAGCATGGTGGTCACGCAGAAGAGAAAGTGTCAAACCTCGTCCGTGGATCCATCCATCCATCCGTCCGTCGATGACTGACGGAATGGGTGCATCCTGAATGACGTGTGTCTTCTCGCAAGAGCGGCGCACGTCCAGCTTTCCCAACCGAATGCGTCGGGAATACTGTCCCTGCACTGCCGAAGGAGGACACACGCCATGAGCATATCACCCACCCCGTGTGCGGATGGATGGATGAGCGAAGCGGTGCTCTAAATCTGCAATCTCGCCAGAGAGATGGGCGAGATGGGCGTCTGTGAGGTCTCCCAGCTTCTTCAAGGGAACAAAAACTGACCCTTGTCAGCCAGCCAGCCAGCCAGCCAGCCAGCAACACACACATACATACAAACATGCCACGGTCAATCTCTCTCTCTCTCTGCCTGCCTGCTGGACGCAGGCGACTCGACTTGACTTGACTTGACTCACGTGACTCCACTACACTGCCAGCATATTCACCATCCCTTTCCCCTTGCGAGTGAGAGTGAGTGTGGCCGTGGACAGTAGTCCAGGCAACTCAATACGCACACAAACACACAGAGCCAGCAATTGAGTATGCGGACGGCCACACCACACCACACCACACGCACACACCCGACCCCGGCACGCACCCCAACGCAAAAAGGTACATAGATAAGACTACGCGAGCGAAAAAAGAAACCGCCCGCCAGCGGCCGATAGATGGATGATGGGCAGGCCCTCACGCCTTTTTCTCCTTGGCGAGCTTGCGCAGCACGTACTGCAGGATGCCGCCGTGCTTGAAGTAAACAACCTGCACACACACACACACACACAGACACACAGGGAGAGGGGCCTCACGGGTGCATCTCTGCAGTCTGCAGTATCTGTGTGTGCAAGTTTGTGTGGCTGCTGAGCTGACCTCTACGTCTGTGTCGATTCTGCATTTGACTTTGAATGAGGTGCCGTTGGAGACCTTGACCTCGATGAGCTCGCCGGGGGTGAAGTCGCCGCCCTTCATGGCGATCGAGAAGCGCTCGCTGCCACTCAGACCCAACGACTCGCCCGTCTGGCCGTCCACAAACTGCAGCGGCAACACACCCATACCTGGCACCATCACACAGACACACACACAGAGAGAGAGAGAGAGAGGGGGAGAGGTGCCACGGTCCTGGGTGTGGTTTTTCTATGTGGTGTGGCGCTTACGCACCGACGAGGTTGCTCCTGTGGATGCGCTCGAAGGACTCGGCAATGATGGCCTTCACGCCCTGCAGCTGCACACCCCTGGTAAGGTAACACAACACAGGATAACACGATGCCACAAATGGCCGTCATCTAAGTGTGTGTGTTACTTGGCCGCCCAGTCTCGCGAGGATCCGCTGCCGTACTCGGCACCCGCCAGGATAATCGACGGGGCGCCCTCAGACGCATAACGCTGAGATGCACACACACACACACACACACATATAGCGACAGAATGCCATCCACAGTGCCTTCTGAGGTTGGGCCTTTTGTGTGCCGTCACCTCAGCGACGGTCCAGACGGGCAGGAGGTCGCCTGACGGGTGATGAAGGGTCTTCGGACCTGCACAACACACACATCATTGAGCGCTTCTCTCTCCCCCTCTCTGTGCGTGTGCGTGTGTGTGTGTGTGTCTCTGCTAGGCAGGTGGCTGACCAGACTGTGGTGCCATTTTGTTGATCAGACGGATGTTGGCGAAGGTGCCCCGAACCATGCACTGAGGAATGACACCAACCACATGAAATGACGCCCGTCCCATCCACCACTGACTAGGTCAGTCACCTCGAAGTTTCCTCTTCTGGCGCCGTAGGTGTTGAAGTCCTTTCGCTCGACGCCGTAGCTGTTGAGGTACTCAGCCGCCGGGCTGTCCTTGGAGATGTTGCCGGCTGGCGAGATGTGGTCGGTGGTGATGGAGTGACCCACGTTCAGCAGGCAGTAGGCGTCCTTGATGTCCTCTACCTGGTGGCATGGCAACACACGGGAGAGAGAGATTGTGTCTTTGTGTGGGTGCGTTGGGTGGGAGGGGGGAAGGGGGGAGGGGGGGAGGGTTACTTACCTTTGGGGGCTCCATGGTCATGTCCTGGAAGAATGGCGGGTTGCGGATGTAGGTCGACTGCTCGTCCCAGGCGTACAGCTTGCCCGGCGGCACCTGATGCGATGAACAGTAAGCACAGCTCAGCTCCTCGTTGCTCTCTCCCTCTCTCTGTCTCTTTCTGTGTCATGGTGGACCTGCAGTGAGTTCCAGTCGTCAGTTCCATTTCTGATGGTCTCGTATATCTTGGAGAACATCTCGCCCTTGATGTACTTCTCCTCCAAGGCCTGGACCTCACTGCAGTGCACCCATCACAATGAACACAATATGGCAGTGACAATCGCCCGCTGTGTGTTGGTGCTGTGTGTGGGTCTCGTCTGCACCCACCTGAGTGTGGGCCAGATGTCTTTGAGGAAGACGGGCGAGCCGTCCTTGCCAGTGCCGACCGGCTCCTTGTCGAAGTCGATGTCAACGCGACCTGCATCGCACCCACCATGCCCATGACCACACACATGTGTGTCCATCCCTCTCTCTCTCTCTGTGTGTGTGTGTGTGTGTGTCTGCTGGGATTTTTCCGACCGGCGAGCGCATGCGCGACGACCAGCGGTGGCGATGCGAGGTAGTTGGCACGGGTCTGGGGGTGCACACGGCCCTCGAAGTTGCGGTTGCCTGACACACAAACACATACACATACACACACAAAGAAAGAGATGGGGCCGGCTGCCTCACTGGTCGCCTTATTCGTGTGTATGTGTGTGTGTGTGTGACCAGAGAGGACGGCGGCGACGACGAGGTCCTTCTGTGTGATGGCATCCGACACCTCGGGGTCGAGGTCGCCGCTGTTGCCGATGCACGTCATGCAGCCATAGCCGGCATGGTAGAAACCCAGCTGCTCACACGAGAAAAAGAGAGAGAGAGAGATCCACATGGAGGGAGGGATGGGTGTGTGTAATATGACCTCCTCCAGGTCCTTATCGAGGCCGCTCAGCCGCAGGTACTCAGACACCTGACAGGCGCACCCCATGTGTGTGTGTGTGTGTCTGTCTGTCTGCATGCCTGTGTTGTCATGTGTGTGTGTCGCAGCGACATACCGCCTTAGATCCGGGTGAGAGTGAAGTCTTGATGTACGGCTGGACCTTGAGGCCCTTCGCGAGCGCCTTCCTCGCCACCAGACCCGCACCCAACATGACCGAAGGGTTGCTGCACACACACAGAGGGAGGAGGACACACAGCGAGTCGGGCAGATGTGATGTGGCCGTCTTGCTGCCATGTGCCTGATTGAGGGACCTGGTGTTGGTGCACGAGGTGATGGCCGTGATGACCACAGAGCCGTGCTTCAACTCATACTCTGCACAAGACACACACACCAGCCATACGGGTGCTTACGCCTCATCATCTCTGTGTGTGCGCGTGTGTGTGTGTGCGGCTCGCTCACTTTGTCCCTGGTACTCGAAGGACACGGTGTCAGCTCGCTTGTCGGCGGGGACGTTGTAGCCCTTGAACCCAACAGGGCTCTCCAGGCAACTCTACACACACAAACCGAGACACAACAAGGCACACACGCATCGCTTCTCTCTGTCTGTGCGGTGGGGCTGGTGTGTGTGTGTGTGTGTGTTGCCTGCAGCACCCACCAGGAAGTCCTGCTTCATGTCCTTGAGAGGGACGTGGTCGTGCGGACGCTTCGGACCAGACATGCACGGCTGACATCGACATCCACATACAGATACACAGGAGAGAGGCCTGTCTGCCTGTCTGTCTGTCTGTCACTGTGTGTGTCTGCCCTCCCCTGGTCTGCTGTGCTCACCTCGACGGTGCTAAGGTCGAGCTTCATGGTGTCCGTGTAGACGCAAGGGGGCGAGCCCGCCTCACGGAACATACCCTGGACGAGCGACAAGCGCCCACACCCACGCACACATCACACACATGGCATGCACTGCACTCTCAAGTCAAGCGGGTGCTGCTGTGCTGTGGTGATGTGACCCACCATTGCTTTGAGGTACCCCTCGACCAGGTCTAGTTTCTCCTTGGGCCGGCCGGTCTGCGACAGGTACTTGATCGACTGCGAATCAACAGGGAAGAACCCCATCGTCGCTCTGACAGACAGACAGAAAGGCACCACACACATACCGCTCATGAGCGAGGGACAGAGAGAGCCCTTCTGCACACCCACCCACACACCCACCCACCCGTATTCCGGCGACATGTTGGCGATGGTGGCGCGGTCAGCCAGGCTCAGGTTGGCGCAACCTGCACACACACGCAATCGGACAGACAGGTATGGTATGCAGGCAGCCACCACATGTCGTGCCGACCGCCCGAGCGCGGCTATGCAGGTCGCTCACCGTCTCCGAAGAACTCGACGAACTTGCCAACCACACCGCGCTTGCGCAACATCTGACACACACAACACAACACAACACAACACAAAACAGCACAGCACAGCACAGCACAACAGACAAGAAGTGACGACACACACAGGAGGATTGGCAAAAGTGGATGTGTGTGTAGCTTATTACCTTTGTGACGGTGAGGACGAGGTCAGTGGCGTTGGCCCTCTCGGGGAGGGTCCCCGTCAACTCGAACCCTATCACCTCGGGCAACACCATCGATATCGGCTGAAAAATGGAGAGAATAAAAAGAGGGACACACACCCATTGCTGCTGGGGGGAGGTCTGGTGATGGACGCACCTGTCCGAGCATGACGGCTTCGGCCTCGATGCCGCCCACGCCCCAGCCGACAACGCCCAGCCCGTCTATCATGGTCGTGTGCGAATCCGTCCCAACCAACGAGTCTGAACACACACACACACACACACACTCACTGGGTGAGCAAGCACACCCACCCCCTCTCCCTCTCCCTCTGTCCCTAACACAGATACACACTGACATACTGACACACTGACATACTGACATACCAGGGTAGAGGACGTTGTTGCTGTCGAAGACCACACGGGCGAGGTACTCGAGGTTGACCTGGTGGACGATGCCGCTGCCCGGCGGGACGATGAGCATGTTGTCGAAGGCCGTGGCGCCCCACTTGAGGAAGGCGAACCGCTCGGCATTGCGCTGGAACTCGATCTTCTGGTTCTTCTCCAGGGCGTCGGGCGAGCGGCTGAAGTCCACCTGCACACTGTGGTCGATGACCAGGTCTACCGGCACCAGGGGGTTCACCGCTGAGGGGTCGCCGCCCAGGTCCTTCATGGCGTCGCGCATCGCCGCGAGATCGACCACGGCTGGCACGCCACTGAACAGACACACACACACACACGGACGATGGCATTGTGTGTTTGTGGGTGTGGTGTGGTGTGTGGTGTGTGGCGGTCGGTTACGTGAAGTCCTGTAGGAGGACGCGCGCCGGCATGAATGGGATCTCCTTCTGCTGCGCGCTGCTCTTCTTCCAGTCCAGGATGGTCTCAACGTCCTTCTCCTGAATGCTGCACACACACACCACACCACATACCGCAGTGACAACACACACTCCCCGGCTGCTGCGGCTTGCCCACCGACCTGAGTCCATCGCAGTTTCGCACAGCCGACTCGAGCAGCACCCGGATGGAGTAGGGCAGCTCAGACACACGGGGGTCGCCCAACGCTACGTGAGCCAACAAACACACACACCCATCTTCCTCTCATCATTCTGCCTGTCCACCCACCCACCCACCTGTGATGTCGTAATACTTCTTGCCGGTGTTGCCGAGGGTCTTGCACACTTTGGCGTCGAACGGGTTGGAGTAGTGTCGCTTCTGACCCGCCCCTGCCCCAGTCCCGTTGGCCACCACAGACATCCTGCCTAAGCTGCTAATCGAGGTGCTAATTCCGCTAAATCGACTCAACGACAGGAACCCTCTGAGCATCGATACTGCCGCAGAGGGACCTGCACACACATAGCACACGCCAGACACTCGAAACCATGAACAGGGGCAGGATTGGCTGCCATCTTTGTCTGTGCGCACCTTCTGGCAAAATCGGCGGGTGAGGCTGCCGACGGTGCTCTCAATGGACGAAGGAGCAGGTTGCTTGGTGCGTGAGCGGCAAAAACACGAAGCGCGGAGAAGAGCGGCTTTCGGGCTAGAGACGGGACAATTGGAGACGGGCGAGGAGAGGTCGCGGAGAGAAGCGCATTGTCGTGTCTACGAGCTTTGCGTCACTTCACAGTATCCTGTTTGTCCCAGCATCTCTCACTTGCGTCATCAGGACTCCCACCCATCTCGGTTACCTTCTTGAGGGATGCCGTCGTGTTCTTCGGACTGCGAGTCGCCATATGGCGTGGTTTATCGGCGTATGTGTAGTCTGGAGGAAGAGCGGCGTCCGCCACTGTGCATGAGGATCAGCACCTGGTGCTTCGCCTTCTTCGCTGGTATGCTCTGCGTCATCGGTCTGGTGACGGCCGGGCCCGTCCTCCAGGTGCGTACGGGCACACAGACGGAGAACACAACACACGCTGATGACAACTGGAAGATGCTTGTTGGATCTGCAATGCAGGAGGGTGGCCAGCGACCGATGACGCCAATGACAGAGGCCGATGACGCCGACCACACAGCGACGACGAGTGACGGCACCAGACACACACGGTCAGCCACGGGCGGCTATGAGGACCTCGCCCTCCTCTCCCTCCATGTGCCACCGCCATGCCGCCATCGAGTGGCATTGCTGTCGTGTCCGCACCAGCCGGGCGAGCGATACGTTGCCTTCAAGCCGCCCGAAGAGCCGACCATGGGCGCGGTGATGGCGGACAGAGATGCTCGCGGCACCACGGAGACTGCCTGTCTGGTTCCCCAAGAAAACCAAGACGGGCAGCTGACACACGGGGAGGTGGTGGCCATCAGGTCGTCGAGCGGCATGTATGTGGCGGTCACTGCCAGTGGAACCGTGGAGGCTATTAGCGATGCAGTGGGCCCTTCGGAGCGGTTCAAGGTTATCAACGAGTGTATGGCGGCCAAAGAAGGGATGGCCGATGGCCTTGCAGCAAGTGGCCTTGCAAGTGGGTTGGGGCGGAAGTGCGTGATCCGGAAGAATGGCGGCCGGATCAGCGATGGCGACGTGATCGCGTTGAAGAGCACTGCTTCCGGACACTACTTGACTGCCGAGGGCTGCAACTGGCGCGTCAACGCCAGTGGGCCCGCCATTGGTGTCGAGGAAAGGTTCATGGTCCGGTTCGTGTGAGGTGAGTGGTGGATGGACGGCTGGATGTCGTGCGGTGTACAGTATGGGGAGGGGTCTATCGCTTTTTGCTGCAAAAGTACAGACAAACTGCGGAGAAGTCTTCGGGTGCCCGTGATGGGTTGGTTGTTGGGGATTGACTGACTGGCTGGCTGGTTGCTGGGTGCAACAGCGCTGGCTGGTGAGTCCAGTCCGTGCCGTGTGTGGTTTTAATTGAATGCCATGTGTGGTGGGTGGGTGCATCAACACGTGTGCGACCGACCGACCGAGTGGGTCGCAATCAGCGATACGGCGCGTACGCGATCGTACATGTGTTTTTCCCCACCTCATGAGGGCATGGGGGCAGGGCGTTGTGGCCAATTTTGTACGTATGGCTGCTGCGTCTGTGTGGTGTGACGTGATGTGATATGATATGATATGGTGTGCGGTCTCTCTTTTTGTTCCCTAGTTGGGGACAGTAAAGGAAATAAAGGGAGTATTGCTCATAGGGTGGGCTGATGGGGTAAGGGAAGAGACCCCGAGGGTGCATAATCGAAAAGGGATTGACGTGATCGGACTGGACTGGACTAGTCCACTCGCACTCGTGCAGCAGAAAGCTCATTCAGACCACTCACACAGACAGCAGCACTAGGGAAGGGAAGAGCCGTCCCATCCGTCCACACCACTCGACACACACACACACACCACACGCAATAGGACTGTACATCTACCGCACGCGAATGCGCTCATTTTCAGAGCATCGGTCGACGATCGATCGCATACCAAAATCTGTCCATCCTTCTGCGATACATACGAGCACATCACGTCAAAGTATCCCTTGACCCCTCCCCCCCTCTCCCCACAAGACACGCCACGCTCCCGTGCCTGCCATCCATTCATCCATCTAGCCCACACACACATGCATCAAAACCATGGGCGCGCTTGAAAAACCAACCACAAGAAGCGCACACAGGCAGGCAGGCAGGCAGGATGGCCATTCAGGTACTCAGGCAGGTGGGCATGCAGGATGCAGGACTCCCCCCCATTGGAGGGTGCAGACTCGCGCGTTGGTAGTGTTAGCTGACACGTGTGTGTGTGAACACTGTCTATGGTGCCTCGTGCACCGCTGCTGCAGCGTAAAAATCGTCATTGCGGTCGTCTGCAGATTGGTGCGTCTGTCTGTCTGTCTGTCTGTGTGTCTCTCTCTCTCTCTCTGTATGTCTGTACAGGAAGGAAAACGATGACCGACCGACGACAGAGGGACGGACTTACGGACAAGGAGAGCGGTCTTGTCTTCTCCTCCATGTGAGCTGAGCGTTGAAAGCGACGCGACCGAGCTAGTCGAGAGGACCACGGACGCACCTTTCCTGTCTCTTCTCTGCCTACTTTCTCGTTCTTTCTTTGTTTCTTTCTCCCTTTGTCCTCCTCAAAATCTAGCAGACGAGTGAGTGCCCTCTCTCTGTTTCTGTCGCCCTCCCTCCCTCCCTCCCTCCCTCTACCTGTCCGAGGAAGTGAGTACTCAGGTGGGGTAAGCAGGCAATGCAGGTGGCCAACCTGAGTGAAAATATGTGACTGAGTGAGAGAGTGTGTGGGTGGGTGGGTGGATGGATGGGTGGTGGTGGCTACCAGTAGGCACAGGCACATCACACGCTATGTGCAGAAAAAGAAAGTGGCGCGTTGATGCGCGCGCCATGCCCGCCCATCGGGACAAAGGCAACTTCACTGCGGACGGACAAGTGTGTGTATATGTGAGAGTGTGTGTGTGTGTGTGCCCCCATCCATCCATCCATCCATGTGTCCGTGTGTGGTGTTCTCACATCTCCCATAGGTGAGCACCGGTCACTTCATTCGCAGACAGGCAGGCAGGCAGGCAGGCACCACACACACGCACATCAATCAATCCATGCTGTAAAACCAACAGCGAGCAGCACCGCTGGCACATATGTGACCATTGGCCTGCATTTCTTCACACCGCCCACCGCACCCACCGCACGCACCCTCAGCCCCCTGAAAAAGCTTGACCCTGCCTGGCTGTGTCTTCTAGCCTTAAATTCCCCCACTCGCACACAAACACAGAAAGAAAACCCCAACCGGCCGCCGCGCAAGGGAAAAACAAAGCGCGCCAGGGAGAGAGAGGGATAGATCGGCAAAGGCAGACAGCAGACGCAATCGAGTAGACCGTCATTCATCCCCCCCTCTCGGCTCCTGCCGGTTTCTATGTCGCCGTATTGACGGCGACCGGTCGGTCATGGTGTCGTGAAAGCCGGGTGGGAGGGGGTGATGCCGTTGCTGTTGCTGGGGTGTATGTGGGTGCCTCTCACTGTCGTTTGTGGGGCCACAGGGGGTGGATGTAGTGGGGGTGGGGGGCGATGATGCCTCGTCGCTGCTGCTGGTGGCGGCATCGCTTGCATCGTCAGGTATGGCGATGCCGTACTCGGTCTCGATCCTGTAGCAGATGAGGTCCTCGATAGTCGTCATCACCAAACCGTGACGCCTCGCAAAATCCTGACATACACACACACAACATACGTGCACGAATAGCTGTTGTGTGTGTGTTCTGCTCACCTTTAGCTCATCCATCCTGGCCATGTCCGTGGGATCCCTCGCAGAGACGATCTCTCCGATGACCGACACGGGCTGCAGGCCAGCCAGCCGCGTGAGGTCCACCGACGCCTCCGTGTGGCCGCCCCTCGTGAACACACCGCCGTCTCTATATCTCAGAGGGAACACGTGGCCCGGCCGGATGAAGTCGCCCGCATCTGCCGACGGGTCGGCGAGCCGCCGGATCGTCAGGGCTCGGTCGCGTGACGAGATGCCTGCAGAGGGAGAAGACACGGCCGACACATTTGGTTCATGTGTCTGTAGTATGTCTGTGTGGGTACATGGGGGCACTCACTGACCTGTTGATCCGTTGTCTATGTCGCACGAGAGTGAGAAGGCGGTCTGTCGTGGGTCCTGGTTGTGCGTCCGCATTGGGGGGAGGTTGAGGGCGTCCAGCCGGCTGCCCTCCATCGGCACGCACAACACTCCACTCGTGTGACGAACCTGAGAAGAACCACACGCACGCCCACATGACATGAGCGTTGCAGTGCCATGGGTGTGTGCAGCACTGGCCGTCTCACCCACCATGAATGCTATGTCCTCGGGCGTGGCTTTCTCCGCCGCCATAATGAGGTCCCCCTCGTTCTCGCGCTTCTCGTCGTCAGTGACGATCACCATGCCACCCTCCCGCAGCGCCCGTATCGCCTCCTCGACCGACGTCCTGCCGAGTCGCCACCTCTTGGTGCTCAGGTCAAGATCCACGCCGTGGTACACCTGCACCGTCATTCGCGGCGCTGCTGATGGTGCTACTGATGCTGCAGCTGGGCTGGAGCAGGGGAGGCCCGGCTTGTCGCCGCTTTGGGGGTCGTCTGGGCACTTGCGTGATGGGGGTCGCTTGTTGGGCACGATGGAGGGGTCTGTCAGCTGGATGAAGGACGATCCTCCTGTGGTGCTTGGCGGCCTGTCGTCATCGGCGTCTTGTTCGGGCTCGTGGTGGTTGCTGAGCTGCCTGTCCTCGCTGTCGTCGGGTGGTGACTTGTGGTTGTTGACTTGCTTGAGTTGGATGCCCTCCGCGGCGAGGTCCAGCTCCTCTGCGATGTCTAGCTTGGCCTTTTTGGTCTGGTAGAGGAGATCCTCCCAGTCCTCGAGAGGCAGCACGTGCATCATCCGCTGAGACTTGGTCTCCAGGTACTTCCGATTGAAGTCGTTGGGCGACACCTGACACACACACACAGACGTGTCGCAAGTGAATGTGTGTGTGTGGCGAGGAGAGGGAGGGTGTCTGTGTCTGTGTCTGTATCTCACCCGCAGCGGGATGATGCCTTCGATGTTGACGCCCAGCTGTATGAGGTGCTTGACCTTGCGGGGGTTGTTGGTCATCAGCACAATCGACTCCACACCGATGTCACGCAAGATGAACGGCACCGACTCGTATGAACGCGTGTCGTCCTCGAAGCCGAGATGACGGTTGGCGTCCACCGTATCCATGCCCCTATCTTGCAGTGCATACGCCGCTGCACAAGACAGCACACCACCCACGACACAATGAGCCGCCTTGCTTGCCTTCTCTCTCCGTGTGTGTTTGTTGTTGCCTCACCGATTTTGTTAGCGAGTCCGATGCCCCGTCCCTCCTGCTGCAAATAGATGACAGCCCCGTTGTTACGCCCCACATACTCCATGGCCATGTCGAGCTGGTCCTTGCAGTCGCACCGCTTGGACCCCAGCGCTTCAGACGTCATGCACTGGTCGTGCACACGCACCGGCACATCCATCCCGCCCTTGAGGTCGCCGTTGATCATCACCACTATGTCGAACTGCTTGTCAGGCGCGATGTGCTGGTAAGACCGGAGGCGGAACACGCCATGGTCGGTGGGCATCTCGCACTCCGACACGAACTTGGTGTAGATCTTGGGGCCACCATTGGGGAAGACCGCTGGCGGCGGGCAGGGGATTCCTGATTGCGGAGGCTCGGCCGCTCCATCGAAATTGGAGATCCGCCGACTCACTTCGGGCAGCACTGGTGTGGTGTGGGCGTCGCGCATGCGCAAGGGGACGAACGGCCGACCGATGAAGTTGTGGACGGCGCTCGCGCGCCTCTGGTGCAGCCGATGCAGTCCGCCCTTCAGGTCAGGACACGATAGAAAGAGCGATGAGGGGCACTCGCCTGGCGGCTGAGCGGCTGAGGACAGCAAGCTGTGGCACCACGCCAGCTGGCGAGATGAGAAGCTCCACAGGCAGATGAATAAGATCACCAGCGGCTGCCTCCTGACCGCGCCCCTTCCCCTCCTCCTTGGTCGTGCTGGGCAGTCACTCTCTGACGGTCGAGAGATGCTCGAGTGCCGAGCAGGTCGCTCCTTCGCGCTGACGAGAGGAGGAGACACCCGTGTGGTCGAAGAGGCCGGTGAGCCGTCTGCAGGGGATCCCGGATCCGACCGTGGTGAGGGTGCCGACGTCATAAAACGCACGCGGAATGCCGATTTCCCCACTTCCATCGCTGCTGCCAGTGCTTCCGCTGCAATCAGCTTTCTCGTCAAAAGCACGCACGCAGCAACACTCTCGGTGCTACGTGGAACGTCGCGACACTCTCCTGCAAACCCAAAGACAGTGGCGTGCGAGCTCAGCATCATATGCGAGCTAAGCCGATGGGGAGGAGTGCCCGACAAAGATGTCTGGGGATCCGTCAGTGGGTCAACAACCGCCCATTGGCGGCATTCAGTCTGCCTCCGCGTCCCCCAATTTGCTTCCCCAAATCTGCCCTTCCCGAATTTGCATCCGACAGCTCGCAGTATCTGGCTCTATCTTCCCTACTTGCTGTTGGTAGTTGACAGGTAGCACAGCAGCCCCCTGCCACCATTCTTCAACTTCACGTCCCTTCGTTGCTTCCCCGCGTAGTCCCCAGCCTCCTGTAAGCGACCCCATTTCGTCAGTCCGCCCATCGTTTTTGGCGCCGCCAGGTCATTTTCCCGCTCTGCATGACTGCAGCAGCCTCACGAGCAGCCAGCAAGAAAGTACGTCTCAGTCTGACAAGCCGAGACAATCCGTGAGACTGTGTCAGTGGGTCAAGGATGGCGAGTGGAGACAGAGCATCAGAGCCCTCCACCTCAGCAGCACCCGAGCAACAGCAGGAGGCCGGTGACGTGCTGGCTCTTCTCAATGAGGTGCGCGTGTTCTCCTTGCGGCAGCATTTTTCGTATCATGAGCCCCACATGGCTATCTGCCTGTCTGCAGTTTGTGGTGCGGATTCAGGCGAGGGAGTTTGAGCGGGCAATGGAGCTGTCGCGGCAAGGTCAGCCGTTCGGACATGCAGCCAGCTATCCGTCTCTTCGTTCTCACTTCTGTGGGTGCAGTTTTGGAAATCGAGCCCGACAATCGGCTGATACAGGTGAGATGGATGGGCCACACGACAGCACATTGGGGGGGGGACGGCATGGATGTATGGGCGTGTGTGCCACACATGGTGGGATGGGTGCAGCGCTATCAGCCGATCTTGGAGCAGTTTCTGAAGGACCGTGAGATGCTCGATATGCTGAATGACAGCGACGGCGATGAAGAAGAGGATGGTGGAGACGAGGAGGAGGAGGAAGACGAAGAAGGAGGGGAAGAGATCAACGGCGAGAGAGAGGAAAGCAAGACGGACAGGGCGGGGTAGCGTCGTACATGGCCCAAGATTGTCCTCTTCTATCTCTACTGCTACGTCTTTGTATGTGGCGGGTCATTTTGTTCAATGTGGGCTGTAAGGGCGGTGCATGTCTTTTGTCATCCATCATCCATCCACTAATGTGTCCCAGCCCTTACAGCGTGTCAAGAGAAGACATGTATGTGTCCGAGCCAAGTTCATGAGCCCTCCCTGACGAAAAACAAGACAGAAGGGAAGGAATAGACTGCATGCATTGTGTGCACTGGAAAATGAGGCACTCACTCACGCACACACGCACAACTACAAAACGACACACGACAAGCAGACAATGTTCGCCGACACACGATTTCTCTCTCACACCGCTGTTGTGTGAGTCGCAAAACGAGCGTCCGTCACTTTCTTGGCGTGTCGGTCTGTGTGTGCATCTGTGTCGACTTCCGACACTCCTCCAACAGCTGCACCAGAGGCCAATCAGTGGATGACTCCTGGTTCAGCTGATGGAGAGGGGTGGCAAGACAACATAGATGCGCACGGACCGGCACGACACGCAGACCGATAAGAGAAAGTGCTGACTGACTGACACGAAGGCACGTACGAAGGCCATCACGAGAAAGGGACAACTAGCACCAGGCTGCCATCCATCATTCTACCCACTACAAAACCACCCAGTTCTCTGCACCCCCCACCAAATACTATCAAATGCACTCGCCGCCACACCAACACGCAGCTGGCTGTTCATGCATCAGTCCATCCATCCATCCATCCATCCATCCATCCACACACACACGCACACTCCGCTTCCCTCCGTCTGCTGTGGCTCGGTCGCACGTATCGTTCACAGCAGCCTGCTGTTGACGAAATCCTCCACCCCCTGCTTGCCGATGTCTGGGTGGTCGACGAAGACCCCGTCGATGCCCGCCTCGAGGAACAGCTCCATCTCGCCAATCATGTCGCCGATAGCCGTCTCGTCGGTCCCATTGCGGAAGTTGAGAGGAAGGAACTCGTTCTCCGCTCTGAAGGTGAAGGGGTGGACGACCAAACCGGCGGCGTGGGCGTCATCCACGAAGGTCGTCTTGGTGTCGGCCGAGAGTGTGTCGTCGTCAGCCCGCGGCATGATGAAATGGTATTTCTCAGGACCGACCCCACTAGCATACTCCGCGATGGCTTTGAGCCCGTCTGCTGTGGCCATTTCGTCGTAGGTGAGCGTGCCGTTGCTGAGGACCTGGTCGAAGGGCTGGCCGGACGAGTCGAGCAGCTGCACCAGGGGGATCTCGGTCATGCCGGCGAGCTTCTGCAGGTTGGCCACCTCGAAGGACTGGATGAAGACGGGCGCGTCGGGGCCGGAATAGCCGTTCTCGGTGAGGACGGCGAACAGGGGCTCCTCCATCTGTAGATCCAGCGAGGCGAAGTGGGAGGGGTGCTTGGTCTCGGGATAGACGCCGATGGTGCGGTTGACCACGCTCTCCATGGCCTGGACGAGCGAGACGATCTCCTCCAGCGTCGGCACCTCGAACATGCGATCGAACCGGGTGTTGGCAGGGCGCGTTTCAGGAATCCGCTCAATTGCTCGCAGGGTCTTGATCTCTGCACATGGACGATACATCAACAGAGTCACAACACACAGAGAACGGTTCACGAGTGGCTGGACGTCGGCAGTGCACGTACCCTCCAGAGTAAAGTCCTCACTGAACCAGCCCTCGCTCTCCTTGCCGTCGACAGACTTGGTCGTCTTCCGGTCAGCAAACTCAGCTCTCTCAGCGATGTCTGTCGTCAGGTCGAGGACGTTGTCGTGTCGCCTGCACAGAGAGAACAACACCGCACAAATGAGACCTTGGGTGCACCCGAACAACCCCAAATCGACAGATGCACTCACGCGATGAGGTGGCCGTCTTTCGTCATGACAAGATCTGGCTCAACATAGTCGCTCCCCTGAAGAATGGCGATGGCATAGGCGGCGAGGGTGTGCTCAGGGATGTAGCCGGACGCTCCCCTGCGACGGCAGCAGGGCCAGCAGGCATGATCATGTGTGTCGATTCGTGCATGCATCTCTGCGCGGCGTACCGATGTGCGATGACGAGGGGATACTCCACCTGGCAGAAGGCGATGGTCGCCAGAGAGGCTATCGAGAGGAGGATGCTGACGGTGTGACATGACATGGCGATGATTCAAAACAAAGCAGATCTACGAGGTTGAGAGATGACAGAGCAGATCTACGCAGGGAAGGCGAGAAGCGAAGATACGAAGGCTGGGGAGAAGATCCAGCCGTCGGACTTTGGGCTTGGCCGATCGCTTTCACAGGTGAGACTGGGGGCACAAACACAAAGGTGGAGGAAGGAGACGATGGCGCTTATCCAGACGCCTCAGTTCTTCATGACGCCACAGACGCGTCGGAAGACCCTCGATGCAACCATCAGGAGGCAGAACACACACAGGAAATCCATTCTCCACAAGATGGGTGGGTGCCTGGCTTCAACGATCGCACGAACATACAAAGGACAACCACACAAAGACGCGGTTCTGCGCGTGCATGTGTGTGTTTGTAGGATTCGGCGAGGACTCATCCTCCAAGGCCTCCCCAAAGCCCTCGCCGCGAGGTTCCAAGAGGTACAGCAAGAAGTCATCTGCTCTCGGAGCGGCAGCCTTCGCCGCCATCAACGTCGGCGAGCGGGGACAGGAGAACAACACCAACGGCTCGCCTCGCACGTCCACGGTGGCTAACAGGGCGTCCTTCATCAGGGCCGGTACGCAGTCGGGGTTCGTCCAGAAGGTAGACAACTTCATCAAGCGTCAGGACCTGGGTGCGTCCATCGGTGTGCGGGTGGGCATGTCCCGCCCGCCTGGGCAGCGCAACGCGGAGGAGGTGCAGGCCATTCTCGCCTTTATGAAGAGCGTTGAGTTCTTCCGCAGCTTGGCGGAGAGTCAGCAGCTGCATCTGTGCCAGCGCGTCACGTGCATCACCTTCCCCAAGGGCGGTGTGCTCTTCAAGAGGGGGGACAAGGGAGACGCCTTTTATATCGTCCTGTCGGGACGGGCAAACATCTTTGTGCCATCGGAGAACTGCCCGAACACGTGAGCCCACGAGACACCATAGGACAAGAGAGAGAGAGAGAGACAGCGCGGGCACTGTTCCTTATCTCTCTGTGGCGGGCAGGGTTGTTCCGTGTCGGCCGGGTCAGTGCACTTGTGAGAGAGAGTCCATCTGTGTGGCCAAGCTGGGCGCAGCCCAGGGGTTTGGAGAGCTCGCCCTTTTCTCGGAAGACAATCAACGAGCGGCGACCGTCGTGTGCAGTGATGCGACCGACCTCGTCAAGATCTCCAAGCAAGACTACCTGGACACAATGGCTGAAGTGCATCGCGGCGTGCTCTCAGAGCGACTGGACTTCCTGAGGTCGCTTCCATTCTTGGCACATATCGATCAAAACGAGCTGCAACAGGTGCAATCGACAGCACACCTTCCCGCGTGTCTTTCGATGGCCTTCGATGGTCTGCCTGCCTGTGTGCTTCTGCAGATGGCCAATCTTCTGGAGAAGAAGTTCCGCATTGGTACCGAGGACCTCCTCGCTGTTCAGGGCAAAGTGGCCGACCGCCTAATTCTCGTCTCCCAAGGCTGCTGTCGCGTCATCAAGGCCGTCCTGGTCAGCCCACAAGGCCGCGTTGTCACCGACGCCGACCGCAAGCCAAAGAAGCCGCCCAAGATTACCTTCAACGCCCAGGAAGAGGAGTCGGCGATTCCGCGGCGGAAGAGCTCGATGGAGACGCTGAGGACGCTGAAGCAGCAGGGCCTCATCAAGAGCCGCTCGCGGAAGCTGAGTCGACTGACCTCGGCTGTGACACCCAACAGGGGCCAGACCACGCGGCCAAAGGTACATACGCACGGATAACCAGGTCCAAGGCAGACTATATACGGTCAGCTATCGGGTTTGGTTACTTGCCTGTCTGATCAGCTGGTGCAAGTTGGCACATTGCGGCGGGGTGGCGTTTTCGGGCTGCACGAGGCCCTCAACAACCTGTCATTCTACTCATACAGCCTGGCGGCCGATCCCTACTGCGAGACCCTTGAGATATCGCGAAGAGCATTCGTCAAGCGGCTCAGCAGGGTGGGTTGGCGGGCAGTCTGTGTCTCCATCTGTGCCGGCTGGCTGACAATTGTGTGTGTTGTGTCTGCAGAACGTCGTACGTGCGTTCGCTGAGCACACCGACGACCTTGCATTGCCGACAGTTGCCCAAATCGCAGACGAAGTGCGTCGAGCGGATAAGTAAGTGGGCAGAAAAGGTGACTTGTGACTGGTGCTTGCCTAGATGCGCTTCTTCAGGTGGCAGGCCTTCTGTAATGACATGACTGAGAATGTTGTGGTGGATAGGATCTATAAGCGGGCGCTGCAGGCCACAGCAGGCACACAAGCGGTGCGAGATATGCGTCTCTTGTGCATTCAATGGATATGTGCGCTTTTCTGTAGGTGACTCGTGGCGTCCCTCTCATTGATGCGGCCCTCCGCAGTTTGAAAGACCCTGTTCTGGCGCAGGCCTCTCGAAAACGGCCCCTTCTCCCCAAATCTCGTGCTGGCGAACGCGCAGAGCCTGCGTCCGCTCCAGAGACGGCGCCAGATACCATCCTGCCCATCGACATGGGAGCCCTCGAGGATGAGAATGGGCCGAAGAAGTCGGCCAAGACCTCCTGGCCCCAGTCCCACCGACCGCCTTCTGTGGCTGCCCCTGAGTCATTCGCCGCCCGCATCGACGCCATCATACTGGAGAAGATGAGGGAGAAGGAGGGCCTTGAGGACGTGGAGACCTACCCTTCGTATAGAAAGCGAAGGGCGTCAGTGTCGTCCATGAGCGACCCCTGGCACCGAGGCAGCCCCAGAAAACCGCCGGCAGCACGAGACACGACCAATGCTGATCAGGGGGCTAAGGTGAAGCAGGTCGCCGGATGGTCATTCGGTAAGGAGAGCGGCTGCGCACGGGGTCTCGTGGGGCGGGTGGATGAGCGGCTGTTGAAGAGAATAGCCCTGCTACCACTTACGGAGGTAAAGTTCAACGAAAAGGTGAGATGAAAACGGACAACCGTCACGCACAGGGCATGTGAAGTATGATGCTTCGGTCGGTTTTGTGTCTAGGATCTGTACCAGTTCGGGGTGACAACCAGCCGCTATCTCCAGGAGATGGAGAACAACAGCTTGTATATCCCCTCCACGTAAGTGCCTGCCTGCCCGCCAACAGACACAAGCATGAAGAGCACATTGGGTGTCGCGAGGAGACACATGTCTTCTCTCTTTCGTTTGTGCCGGTGCTGGGCGGTTTCAGTGAGATCCAGACAATGAACAAGTCTGCGGGCCCTCTGCAGCTGCTGGCGCACGATGACGCTCTTGCTGCAGGTCGATCGAGCGTACTTAAGCTACCTAGTCAGGTCATCAGGCAGAAACTATAGGCTGGCAATAGGGGACGAGTCGTGCGGGCCAACTGGGTGAAGTAGATCTGGGTAATATATTTTTCCTCGCGCGAACGGAGACAGATGGTGTGTGTTGTAGCAGTGTAGGGCGCTTTGCTGACGCATGGGACATTCAGCCAATGTCGCAATGTCTAAATGCTCACACGTCTCATACCACAAATCGCACCCTGCACATGTAACCACGATTCAACTCTTCCGCCCGATTCATCCATCCATCCACCGATCGCCTCTAGTCACTCACTTTCCTGGCTCCTTGTAGCACTTGACCGTATCAGGCTTCCCGAATTTTCCACCACAGTCCGTGGATTTCAGACACTGACGGCTGCCATCCGTTTTTTCACAGCAGCTGAGAGACAGACGAACGCAGATGGAGAATGCGGCTCTTTTCATGTGGTGTCCCATTTGTCTATGTCCCTTACCAGATGCCCCGGTTCTCCCCGGCACATGGCCCCGCCTCGGGTTTGCCGCACTTGATCCCCTTTTCAGGAACCGCTGCCGCTGTCGCCGGCTTCAAAGGTGCCGTGGTCGCCGGGTTGGGCACAGCGGCGGGCTGTGAGCAGGAGCCTTTGGCGGCGCCGCAGGCTGCGGAGCAGGAGTTGGCTGTGGCGAAGGGGCCGCAGTTGGCTTCGGTGAAGCTGGCTGTGGCGAAGGAGTTGCCGGCGGCGTTGGTGCGGAAACCTTCACTGGTGCCTTCGTTTCTTGCTCTTCTTTTGATGGCGGCTTTTTCTCTTCTGGTGGCGGGTTGTCCTTTGAAGCTTCAAGGGCTCGCCGGTCACTCTCGGGGGTGGCGGCTGTCACCTTGTCTCCAGTGAAAGCCGATAATGTCAGATCGGTGATAAATGTCTCAATGGCGTCGCTGACATCCTTCCACGAGTCAGCATTTTGCAACGAGTCGATGACTGTATCTGACAGAAGGAAGCCATGACGTGTATCGAAGCTCATGTCACTTTCTTTCCTCCCGCACCTTTCACAAAGCACCAGCTGTCCCCAATATAGTGTTTCTTTCTCCAATCGACCACTTCCTTGTCGGTCGCAGGGAACGGATAATGCGACCGGTTGAACGCCTGGATTTGCAGCCTATCCATCTTCTTTGCGTCATCCCTCGGAGTCACCACCTCGGTCAGTCGATCGCAGAAGAGCCGATCGACGTCGGCCCAGTCCTCCGAGTCAACCTTCTTACCGAGGGGTTTGGTTCGTCGGTAGTAGTGGATTGCGGCCGCGGCGTATTTGCCGATGGCGTCTCCCCAGACAGGTATGCAGATGCCGGGATAAAAGTCATCTGTCGTCACTTCAGCCGCTGCGCTTGCTTCCTTGCCAACTTCTTCCTTGTCTTGCTTCTCCTTCGAGCCTTCCTCAGACTTGGGCTGATCTTTGTCATCCTTGGCCGTCTCATCCGACGAGTCGCTCTTCTCACCCTTGTCTGGCTGGCCTGAATCATCTTTCTTGTCTGGGTGGTCTGGATTTGTTCTTCGTGGATGGTCAGATAATTCCAATTGAGCACTCGCTGGCTTGTTGGGTGTCCGATTCACCGGTGTCTCCACAGAAAAATTCATCGTTACTTGCTGCGTTTCATACTCCCGCGGCTTCTTCTCTGCTGAGCTCGGCTGACTAGTCCGCTGCGTGGTTGTGGCTGGCTGTATAGGCTGTGCTGGTGTTGTTCCACGAGTAGCAGCTGTGGCTGGCAGTGTCTTGAGCATAGCTGCGCTCTGGCTGGCCGTTGTTGCAGACGCCTGAGGAGGGACATTCTGTTGCTTTCTGCCGACAGCCTGCTGCCCAATCGTTGTTGGCTGCCCAGATGCTATCGGTGTACCTCCAGGAGCTGTAGGATTGGTCTTCATAGCTTTCGCATCCTTCAGTTGGCTTTTTGGGTTTTCTTGCTGCTCCTGAACTCCCTTTTCCTCTCCTGGAGGGGCCTCCTCAACGACCTTCCTTTTGCTGTACCACTCTTTCGTCTGGAATTCCTGCTCCCTCTCTCTGTTAAGGTCTTCAGCCTTTTTCTTTAAGTCGTCCATCTCAGCCTGAGAGTCGCTGCCGTCCGTCTCCTTCTGCCCCTCCTTCATGTCTCTTGCCTTGTCTTCTGCAGCGCGATAGTCTCCGACCTCTTTGGCGGCTTTCTTGGCTTTCTCTGGACCGTTGGCAATGGCGTCTTCGATTGCTTTCAAGAGCCCCTTCCTCTTGTGCTGTTTCAGGTACTTGCTGAGTGTGTCCTTTGGAACAGCTGCACAGATAGAGTAGTGGCCCTTCTCGGAGGGCTCTTTGCAGCTGTAGGTTTGGTCGATGAATGGCTCCGTAGTCCCCTTTTGGATGACGCACCAGCCGAAATGCTTGTCTTTCTGAGCAGAGGCCACCTTTGCGAAGTCCAGGCATTGAATGACAGTGATGATTGCCTTGTAAGGGTCCTTGGTGATGTCTTCCACTGGGGGCAGAGTGCAATTGAACTCGGGCTTTGTTTTCTCTTCTTCAGCCGCTTTCTCCTTGCTGTCGCTCGCTTTCTCTCCTTCAGTGCTCTCGCTTTCCTTCTTGTCCTCTCCCTCTTTTGAGCTTTCCTCAGGCGGCGTCTTGGTGGTGTCCTCCTTGGTGTCATCCGTCTCGTGGCTCTTCGTTTCCTCAGCTTTCGCTGGCGCCTCATCCGTCTCCGATGAGGCGCCCTTTCCGGGCTCCTCCTTTGGTGTTTCCTTCGTGTCCTCAGCAGGCGCTTCCGTTGTGTCCTTGTCTCCATTTTTCGGCGCCTCGCTGAGCTGAATCATCGTTGCCGGTGTCTCTGATGGCCAGTGACGGAATGCCACAACTGCAGTGATTGAAAGGAAAGCACGATTTCGTGTGATGGTATGTACGGGAGCGGACCTTGCAGAAAGGAAGCCGTTGAACGCTTCAATCGTTGCCTTTGCAGTGAGTCGTGCAGTTTGCCGAGATGAATCCTGACACCTGGGAGCGGAATGCACACGGCGTCGTCTCTTCCTTCCAAACCGACACACGCTTGTGAGGAAGTACCTCTGCGAAGGCGATACGTGTCAGCCTCATCAGCAGGCGTGGCATGATGACTCCTCCTGCAAAGAGAAACGGTGGGACGAAACGGAACTTCAAGAGCCATTGCCTCCTCGTCAGTCCTACATTTGCCAAGACCTTTGCAAGGGGGGCAGGGCTCTTCGGTTTTGGACGAATGAAAGCATGAAGAGGACCATCAGAAGGCAGGATGCTCTCATCGCATTGATTTGTGGTGGGGGGCCGCGTGAAACTGATTGCGCGCTCAAGTCACGATCGGGAAAGATCTGCGCGAGGCGAGATCTCGCAACGTGCCAATGAGTCGTGGCGATGAATGCATTCCCTCTACGATGTGCGCACAAGTGCTCGTCGGCCACGGCGGCGCTGACAAACTGGTTTTCCACGACGACTGGCCAACACCTCGACCGAAATCAGATGAAGTGCTCATCAAGGTCGGCGCATGTGGGCTGAACCCGACTGACATCAACACGCGGACGGCGTGGTACTCCAAGAAGGTCAAGGAGGGGCTGACCACCGATGGCGGCAGAGGCGGTTTCGGTGCCGCGGATGCACAAGACGCCAGCTGGAGGGGCCTGTCCATCAATTTCCCGCGAATACAGGTCAGCACACACGAACACGGGGTGGCGCACGTGCAACAGCAGCATGCAGTGAATGGATGTGTCTTCAGGGAGCAGATGTCGTCGGCCGTGTCGTCGCCGTCGGCTCGTCCGTGCCGCCATCCCGCCTCAACGAGCGCGTGTTGGTCGACCCATGGATCAAGACGCATCCAGAGGACCCTACGCAATGTGAGTATCTCGGATCTGAGTGCGATGGCGGAGCTTGTGAGTACACCGCTGTGCCATCGACACACGCACTCGCCATCGACAGTGACCTGACTGATAGCGAGCTGGCGACTTTCCCCTGCACTCTTCATACGGCGGAGACGCTCGCGCTGCGGCTGGATGTGCAGCCTGGCGAGACCGTGGTCATCTCGGGCGCCTCAGGTAGGTCAGCCAGTGCACAGACATACGCTACTCGAACCACTGTTACATGGTGCGCTGGTTTGCGTCTGTTCTGCTATGCAGGGGGTGTCGGCAGTGCGGCCGTCCAGCTCTGCCATGTGCGCGGCGCCCGCGTGATCGCCATCGCCTCAAAGAGCAAGCACGACTTGGTCAGGTCCCTGGGAGCAGCTGCCGTGGTCGACCGCAACCAGCCACAGCTGGCGGCTGCCATCCTCAAAGCCGCCTCCAATCAGCCGATCGATGCCGCAATCGACGTCGTCGGTGGGACACTTTTCCCCCACCTGCTCGAGGTGCTGCGCAGGGGCGGCCGATACGCAGCCAGCGGTGCCATTGCTGGTCCGATCTGTGAGATGGACCTGCGGTCGCTATACCTCAAGGTGACTGGGGGGAAGGGGCTAACATGACTGGGGGGTGAAGATGGACTGATTGCGAGTGCATCTTTTTTTTCCTGCAGGATTTGCGCTTGCTGGGCGCGACGGTCACTCCTGTGGGGACGATGAGGCGGCTGGTGAAGCTGATAGAGGAGAGGAGGGTGCGGCCTGTGCTTGCCAAGACATTCCCTTTGCGGCAGCTGCGTGAAGCCCAGGAGATGCTGATGGAGAAGAAGCATGTCGGCAACATTGTGGTGACCATGGAGGAGGAGGAGTGAGTGAGAGTGACCAAGGGGCGCCTCTTTTTGCGCCGGGGCGTTCTTGGCCCTTGCCTGTTGCATGCGTGTAAGCTGCAGAGTAACTGTCCTCTGCCTTTTTTTCACCTGAGTGCGCTATGTGGCCATGAGTGGATAGCCTGCTCGCTATTTGGGTCGTCGCGACTTCGTGTCAGCTGGTGTCGAGCCTGACATGAGACCGTGACGACTGGTGGGTGAGCAGACGAACACTGTTGGTTCAACGGGAACTGCATCGAGATCGATTGGGACATTTATCGGTGTGTTGCATGATCCACGCATGAAGGGTGAAGGTGTCTCATGAGGGTGTCTGTATATCTTGGAGCCATCAAGATACTGCGGGGCACACCACACAGTAATACTGACTAGCGTCTAGGGGCAGCAGCAGCAGCAGCAGCAGCTGGCAGCTAGCAGCTACAGTACAAATCCTCCCTCCCCCCTCCCCACCTCACACCCACACCCCCACACACCCACTCCACCATCCAGTCATGCGAACACCCCCGGCCCTCCCCTGCCTCTGGGCGACACACCATCAGGCACACACCGCCCCTCCCATGGCAGCGGCCGGCCGATCGGCGGGCCCCTCTCCACATCCTTCAACCCCACAGGGACTCTCGCCTTCCTCGGTGACCGGCCCCCGTTAGTGAGAGAGTACATCCCAAGCGGATCGCTCTGCCGCCTCGGAGAAGACATGCTCGTCCCGGGGCGGGTCCGCGGCGAGACGGGCTGAGGGTGGTAGGACGGTCTGTGGCTCCCTTCTGCTGTCTTCGGGCGAGCCGATCGCCGGACGGCCGCGAGAGGGACGAAGAGCGGCGGCCAGGGTGGTCTGGGGGGTGGGGCTGGCTTGGCCAGAGGGCCGTCGATCGACGCAGCCGAGACGCCATAGGCCTTACGGCACTGGGCGGCCAGAGAGGGGAGTGCCACGGCCGTGGATGGGGCGTTGTCCTGGGGAAGGATGATTGGCAGGGGCTCGCGATATCGCACAGCTGGTCGGTCAGGCTCACTTGTGTCGGTGGCCATAGTGTCCCTAGTGTCTTGGACAGACAGGCTCGGCTGACTTGGCTGACCCTGCTGACGGTCGACAGAGTGATGGTCCTTGGCAGAAGGGCCGACCGGGGCTGCTGCTGCTGCTGCTATTGCTGGTTCTTGTCGTTGCTTGATGATGGGTGTGTCGTCTTCACGAGTGTCGCTATTCACACGGGGGGTAGGGGCAGGGGTGGGGGCGGAAGGTCCCTCTCCATCCGCCGTCAGGGGGTGACGCAGCTCTTCCAGGGCCAGTGTAGGTGCCGCAGGGACCGCAGCCACACCTTCCTTGACGCTCCCTCTGGGGCTGCGAATCGCACCCACACGCGTCAGGAGGTCCTTCATCTTGCTCTCCTTCTCCGCCCGGTCCCTCTCCCGCGCCCTCTCCCTCTCCCGTTGCTTCTCCCTCTCACGCGCACGACCGCTCTCGCCCCTTTGCAGGTAGGCCACACGCGGCAACGGGCTCCTCACCCCCCCGTCCGATGCAGCCGATGCACGCCGCCTGGCTCGCATGGCGTAGCTCGGCTCCTGGCAGTATGGTGAGGTTGCGAGGGATTTGGCGATTGATCCACCGCTGATGTCGCGCCGCATGAGCTGGGGGGACTGGGAGGGCGGGGAGAGGCCGGACGAGGTGTGCCTGACGGGGTGGTGGCGGGGCGAGGGGGGCAGAACCGTCAGGGCACGACGGTACCTGCACCAACACAAAACAACAACAACAACAACACAGAGAGATCCCACCCATCTAAGTACTCTAATTGGTCCCTTCTCTCATTCCCACGGCTCACCGCTCGACGGTGCGTCGTGCCCGTTCGATTCTGTCGTCACTGGTTGGGAAGCTGGGAGACGAGAGCCGATCGTGCAAGGGGGAGGGAGGGGGCGGGACTGGACACGACGGCCGCAGGGGCGAGGGTGGGCTGGCCACCCTCTCCCTCGGGGCAGGGGACCGGGGTGCCTGTGGTGGCTGTGGCTGTGATGGTGAGGGCGCTAGCCGGGGGGAGAGGTCGAATGGCGGCCGTGGTGGTGGGCAGCGTGGCTGCACTGGTGGGTGCGGACTCGTCCCAAAGAGAACTGAATACACACACCGCACACACAGACAGACAGACAGAGGGCAGACAGGGGGATGATGGGCTTTAAAGGCGGTTGCGTGTGCAGTAAAGGCGGTTGCGAGTGTTTGTGCGTGTGTGTGTGTGTGTGTTTGTGTGTGTGTGCTGGCTGGTGTCCGTCTGGCTGGTTGGCCAGTTGTGTTCGTACGAGTGAGTGGTGCTGCCTGTCTCCTGTCTGGTTGCCTTGTCTGTATGTCTGTCTGTCTGTCTGTTCTACTCTACCTCTCGGTGTGGTCGTTCGCATCAGTCTGCTGTCGGCCAGGTCGCCCTATCACTGAACCATACCATGCATTCAGCCAGCCAGCCAGCCGGTCAGAGACACCTCAGTCATCACCCCCTCTCTCCCTCGTGTGCACAGCACGAGTGTGGGTGTCTGTGTGTGTGAGTGCTGCCCTGCCTCTCTTGTGTTTATTGGCTTACTGAGGTGTGGCGCGGCGATGTAGGTGCTGGACCGGTCGATTCTCTGCCCCTGGTGGAGCAACTCAAAACCGCCGGTGTCGATTTCACGACGCTAAACACGACACAGCACACAGACAAATGGCAATGGCTGGCTGGCTGGCTGGATGGATGGATGGGCTCTTGTTCCGTTCCTCTCGCTCACTTGGTGTGGCGGCGCGTCAGCCCAATCGACCACGACCTGAGTGAGGTGAGTGAGACCAGCCACACACACAAGGGAAGGGGACGTCATGTCATGTGGATGCCATCCATCTACAGCTGGCTGCAAGAAAGACCTTGATGAGGTCGTGGAGGCACTTGCGTACTAAATACTCGGTCGTGGGCTGCACTCACTCACAGCCGGGGGAGGAAGCAGGCAACAGTGCAGACACACAGACACAGACACAGATAAAGCTGCCCTCGCTTTC